CGAGACAGGACTGGGCAATTGAGAAGAATGCAGTCCAATGATCATAAAGTTACGGTTGTTGCATCTCTATCGGAAAGTGACAATGACGTGACTTATAGTTATGATAGATACTTTTTAAAAAAAAAAAAAAAACTTGGATGGGTCAAATTTTCTTCCTTTTAAACGAGGTAGTACTAGTCAGCAACGGTACGATTTAATATTTACTGTTTGTGGAGTGTTTATAGAAAAAAAAAAAAAAAGGCTTATTCAAGGTTTTTTTATGGAATAAATAAATAAATTATCAAAATCTGGTATTTTAATTAAAATTATGCAAATGTTTAAATTTTAAAAAATGTCAATAAATATTAAAAAATAATTTATAATATTTTTCAAATATTTTATTAATATTTTAAAAATCATTATATGTGAGTTTTGATTTTTTTAATTTAAATAAATGATTTTTTAATATTTTTTATTTTTTATCTTTAAATTTTTGTATTTGCACCAAAAATTGTCAATAATCATTTTTAAACTCTATATTTTTTAAATTTTTATAAAAATACCATATTTCAGTATATATTATTTCTAAATACCATATATAAAAAAATAATTCTTTCTTCAGAGTATTTGTTTTAGCAAAGTCTAACTTGATGTAATACTTGTTGTCCTGAAAAAATAAATAGTTTTAATTATTTCAACAAAATTATTTTATTAATTTTGTATCTATTATTTTAAGAAATAATATCTTCAATTTTTTAAGATTTTACTTTTATTTAATATTTTTTTACAAAACATTAAAAGAATTAATTAAAGCTACTTGTGAACGAATGTAATATTTTTTTTCTTGTACAATTCTTTTTTTCTTCTACACACGCTCATACCTTCAGCAAATGCACAAAATCAATTTATTCTTTGGTAAGATATTTTGATAAAAAATTATTGCTAAGTATTTTTTATTAGAAATATCATGTTTGAATAAAATAAAATAATTATAAATAATAAAGTTCTTCTTTTTAGCATTCAACAAAGCCCTATTCATTAAAATTCAAACTTCAAATTAGATATTAAATTAAAATAATTCTTTCAAGTTGAATGTCATAAAGTATTAAAATTATTTATAATATTTAATTGTTAAACAATTTATCGAGTAAATTATTTTTCCAATTGCTACATTATTTTTTATGTAAAAAATATATTTATAAAATATTAAAAAGTAAGAATAGCAAAAAAAAAAAAAATGTATTAAACAGTAATTATTAAAAATGGACTAGACCAACTGATTCGATTATTTGAACTAGTAATTAGTTTGATTGACTCCAAATATGGGTAGAATAGAAAATTGATAAAAAAAAATTATGAAATCAATTAATACACTTTCATCAATCAAGATGGGACAAAAACAGGTTAAAAAACTGATTTGAATCGATTAGTACATTTTTTTATTTTAAAAATTAAAATAAATAAGAACATATACATGATTTTTATATATAATTTTATTATTATTATCATTTAATTATCTCTATAAATTTTTATCTTATAAAAAATGTAAAAAGATTATTTTATGTTATTTTTAAATTTTACCTAAATTTGTATAATCAGATATCAATGTATTTTTGATGAAAAATATTATACTAAAAATAACATCTCGTTATTATTAATCTAATTGTAGTATATTTACAAATAAACCAATTTCTTCATCGATTTATCATTTTACCGGCGAGTTTGATTTTATATTTTTTATTCATATAATTTTATAAATAATTTTTTATATATTATTTTATAATTTTATTTAAGTATTAACTATAAAATTTTTAAATTTTTATATTTTTAAATTTTAAATTTTTATATTTTTTAAATTATTTAAAAACAACACATATTTAATAAATGTTTTTAAAGTTTAAATAAAAATACAAAGTTGATAATGAAGTAACGTTAACTATATTAGTTAAGTCATATATTGTTATTAAAATATTTAAAACAATCTATTTAAATAAAGTTTAATATGTTAAAAAAATATATATATAACATTGTCATCATAAAAATTTAAAAATATAATACTTAATATTGTAAAATTCATGAATGCAGATAAATAATCTGTAAACTTAGAAAAATTAATAAATATTTATACATTTAAATTTTCTCTCATCTTAACTTAATATAATTTATTTTTAAAATAAAATAATTTAAATTGATAAAAAAAATATTTTTAAAAAATATTTTTATATGTAAAATAAAATGCTTAATTAATTTCAAATAAAATGATTTAATAAAAATAATAAAAAATGTGTTTATGACCAAAAATAATAATAATTATTAATTAATTTTTAAAAAATGTAGGTTAACACCTTTAACTGAAATTGTTAAAATATATTTAACTTAACGGGTGGAATTAAATATTTTACACTCATTAACGTATCATATTTTAGTCTGTCAAAATACATATCATATTTTATATTAAAACATTTGAACTATATTATAAAATAAAGCTTACACAAACAGAAATTCAATTTCAAAGACTGTTCCTTCATCCCCTGGCCTTGTCGCAATTCATTATCGATCCCCAAATACCCATATCACTTAATTCAGATATAATGGAAGGAAAATATTACGGCCTCTAAAAGTAATAAATTCTTATTTAAAAAAATATGCATTATAAGGAAAAAAAGTAAAAGTATAATAAATGTTCCAAAAAAATATTTAAAAAATTTACTACTTTTATATGCTTAAAATTAATTTTAAAAGTTATTTTTAACAAAATGAAAAATTATATATGAAGCAAGACATTTGATTCCGTATAAAACACAAACACGTCAGTTCATCTGCATTTCAAATGGAAGAATATGATTGAAGGAAAGGAAGTGAAATAGCCCAAAAACAAAAGTAAAACTTGGGGAAAATGCAGGCCGTGAAGGAGGCATGTGGTGTATGAGAAATGGAGCCCAGATAAGATTATAGTGTTTATGTAGTTTTCATAGAGCAACGTTAGCCTTAACAGTTATAGCGTGGACTTAGGCCTTTGTTGGGAGAGGAACAGGGCTGACAAAGCCTGCCTAAAATTGTGCTACCCTATCCTTTCTTGTTTTATAAAGGAATTTCTTTTTCCACTTTTTTTTACTCTACCATTTTTTTTTATTTTTCTTAAATTGTTCTTAACAAAAATTTTGAAATTAAATTAATTTATAAATATTTTTTAACATTTCTAGAAATTATTTTTCAGAATTCTTAATTGTTTTTAAAATTAAAATTTTACATTTTTTAGAAATAAATTTTCAATATTAATATTGTATATTTTTAAAAATTATTTTTCGAATTTATTATTTTATATTTTATATTCAATATGGAAAAATGTTTAATTAGAAAATATCCAGTTAAAAAATTATAATAAACAGCACAATATTAAAACAATAGTCCAAATTAGTTTTTTTTTTTTTTTTTGCTTTTTGTCCAGAGTAGTATTCCATAACAAAAAAAAATCGTCCATCATTCTGCAATAAATTTAACAATATTGTTGCAAACCCATTTTAGGAAAAAAAAAATAGCATAGTGACAATTTGACTATTTAATTAAATAATTTTTTTGTTAAATTTTTCATGTAGCAAAAATATATTTCAATTAATTACAAAGTCTTTCCAACGTTGTTACATTCCTAAAAATGAACCCATGTTTAATAAAGCACAGTGACATGTTGAATTTTTTTAATGATGTTTTTCTGTAATAAATTGATATAAAAAGTTTTTTTTAAGTAATTCAGTCTGTATTTTTACAAAGGAAATATATGAAAAATTGCACCTTAATTTTTAAATCAAAAGGATATAACCTTAGGATAGGAAAAAAATTCAATTATGTTTTTTTTTTCAACTGCCATGTATTGTTAACTTAATTCTAGTCATATAACAACTTAGTTCTTAAAAGTTTTTTTAAAAAAATTAAAAGAAATATACGTTAGTTGACTTAAGGATTGTCTGGAAGACTGGAAATAAAAATTTTGAAAATAAAAGGAGGGGAAGACATATTTTTTATTTTTAAATTAAAATAATTATATATTATTTACAATGACAAATATATTATTAATATAAAATTTATGTTACTATATTAATTTATATATTTTTAAAAAATATTAATTTTAAATATATTTATTTAAAATATAATTTCTCCTCTCCTTTTCTCTCCTCCAAAACCCCTTTCCAACACAATCCCTTAATATTTTAGCTTTCCAAATGCAGTGATAACTTTATTAAAAAAATGGTAATTTCTCTCTTTATTTTTTTTTATTGTCATTATTGGTCGCACAACTATTGTTCAAATAAGTGTCTCTTCCAAGTCTTACAAGTACCACGAGTTATTTTTCTTTCCAAATTTGGAGGGGAATTGAGAGAGGAAGATGGAGATGTAAAAATTTGTTAAGACCCAAAATTTTAAGCATTGGTCATCTTACAAATAACTCACTAGCTCGCACTACTCGAGTAAGGTTAAACTACAATTGTTGTGAAATGCAAAATTGACTCCCAACCCTAACTAGCCCTAAACTAAGCAACACAATAGAGAGACCCTTTTGGCATCGATTCCAAACCCAAAGGCTTCCTAAATTCATTGAAGAAAGTTCTATATAAGCATTACTCGCGTCAAGCTTAGTGTCCATGTTATAATATTTTATTCTTTAAGCGTATATATGAACACATAGTTTAAAAAATAATAGATAGTATGATTTTATTAAACATTATAATATTTGATATCATTCTGTATAATTTTGCATGCATTAAATATTGTTATTAAAAATTTATATATAGATTCTTATTATTTGTTAAAAAAAGGTATAATTTTTCCTCTTAATCATCTTTAAGGAGAACGAAACTAAAGAGCAATCAAAATGTTATCCTAAATTTGTTGACTAGTTAACAACGGTATGTTCTCAGAACATCAAAGAAGCAATAAATTTGTTTAAACATGTGCACCGCAATTTTAGAGAAATTAAAGTCACAACAAATGATTCGCTTACATTGATTAATACTTTCTATCCATCTATTCTGTAACGCTTTGATTTCTTGGGACACGTTTGTTGCTCCCACATCCTCCACTTCAACGCCTAAGTTACGTTACTGATTTTGGAACATGACAAAGGAGAAGTTCCAAAAACATCATCCATGCCTCCCCGGCAATAGCACGAACGAAATAATGTCAATATTAGCTACCATATGTCGATATCTACATCTAATTTGTTTCTTCCCAAAAAGAGAAACCCCGCGTGGAGACATATTAGAGGTAACGTTGATAAAATATAATTCGCCGTGTGTCCGTGGAACGATAGCAAGAGCCAAAACACACCATCAAACTTAAAAAAAAAGAGAACAAAATGGTTGAATGAAGAAACAGAAATACAAGTAAGGAAAAGGCCCCAGGGAGGCCTATTAGGTGGCCACGTAGACGATTTCTTGGGTGATAAAAGGGCGCGATTTGGCGTGAGCTTTGCCTCCTCCATCATATTTAAAAACTTTTCCATCACAAGCAAGCAAAACCCTAAACCACGCACGCCATGCTTCCCCACTCCTACAACTTCGATTCCGTTTCCAAATCGCAGGAACTATCAGCCACCATCCAAGCCGCGAACACATCGTCGCAAATAACCTCCGTCTGCGCCTCCATCGAATCATTCCTACACTCGCAGTCACCGGAGCAATCCCGCCACTTCTTCTCCCTCGCATTCCCAACCCTAATCTCCAAGCTCTTCGGCTTCGACGACCCTCGCTCCTCCAATGCCTGGATTCACCGCTCCGATATCGCACATACCTTATTCTCACTACTCTCCCCTGCCGGAACCCTCGCCGCCGCTATCTCCGCCGTGGACCGCCTCTCCCTCGTCAAATACCTCTTCCCCGCTGAACGCCTTCCTCACTGGTCCCACTCCCTTCTGCTCCTCTCCGACAGTAACGATTCCCGTTCCCTCTCCGATCTCTGCCCCTCGCTATTCAAACGCTCTTCTTCTCCCTCTCAAATCCAACTCAACGTTTTCCAATACTTCTTCTTCTGGTTCGCTTACTACCCCGTTTGCAAGGGCAAAACCAACAATTCTAATAACGCTTCCGTCAAGAGACCCAAAAAAATTAGGTTAGAGAATTGGAGTTCCTCGATTCCCGGTTTTTCGATCCCCAAGCGCACTGGCGCTGAGGAAAAGCCTTGCTGCGATTTGTACACGCGCCTTCTCTACGCTTATCTACGCGCCTTTGTGCCCATCTACGATCTCAACGCGCACCAGCCCTACCGCAGTTCGATTCTCCACTACGGTTCTGGTTACGATGCTTCCGTTGTGGCACGTGCGGAGTTTGTGGTCAACGCTCTTGTTCATTTCTGGCTTGTAGACAATGATTTCTCGCCGTTGCCGGTGAATGCGTGCAGGTCGCTCGGGGTTTCTTTTCCGGCGGGGGAGGCGCCGCCGGCGCCGGGATTGGGGGAGGTGGTTAAGCTGTTTGTGAGGTACTTGAATTTGAGCACTGTTGCGGCCATTCGCGAGGGTGGCGAGTGTGGGAGTTCTAGGTGGGGTTTCGTGGAGGGTGTGGTGAAGAACAAGGATTTGGGTTGTGCGCGCTCGCTTGGGTGTTGGAATTTCTGTGTGCAGAGGCCTCTGTATAGGTTTTTGTTGAGGACGTTCTTGTTTTGCCCCATGGCTGCTTCGGTGAAGAATGTGTCTCAGGTTTTTTCTGTTTGGATTGGTTGCTTGGAGCCTTGGGCGATAAAAGGGGATGAGTTTTCGGATCTGGATGCGATCAACAATGAGAAGAGGGAAAATTCCGTGTCTGCAGGTGGGGGTGGTGGATTTTCGCCGCTGTGGCAGGATTATGTTCTGGCTAATTACCTATATTACAGTTCCTTGGTCATGCACTTTTTTGGGTTTGCTCACAGGTTTCTTCATAGTGATGTCGAAATTGTAGTACAGATGGTGCTCAAGGTTTGTTTCTTATCAATGGTCTTTTTTCATCTTTTATGTATGCAGGGTTTCTGATTTTACGCAGCTTAAAGTTTTTACTTGGTAAAATTTACGCTGGGGACTGTTTTATAGGGATATTAGCCTGTCACTAGAAGTTTCTGCTTAGGATGTGTGGTGGAAACTGAAATTTCACATGAATCATTCTATTCTCTGGAGTTTGTATGCATGAAAATTGTGAAAAACATGGGAATATTGCTAGCATTGAAATGTGGTTATTGAACAATATTGGTGAATACTAGTATGGCTGCTTCCTGTAATTTTAGCTTTGGGAGGATCAATTGTCTTCCAGTTGTTCGAAGAATTATTCATAATTGTATCCATGGAATTTGTCAATCATAATTGGATAATTTGCCTTCAATTGACTTACATGCACACCACAAACCACATTCATGTGAATACCTCGTAAGGCACTTGGCTTTCTAGCTGTATGATTAATCTGAAACTCTCAAAGCAAGTGATGTCCTCTATTATTAGTTGACTGAGAACTTTGATTTTAAAGCCAGAATATTACCAACTTATCCGTATACTTAATGGCTAATTAGTATATTCTTAGTTTTAAAAAAAAATTAGGAGGAAAATGGACAATGTTTCGAAATTCTTGTAATTATATGATTTGTATACACTAAATCCTTAACCGCCGAAAAGGATATGTAGGCAGTGTCTGATAGATGTATTGGAATGGCACAGAACGTAACACGTGTATTTTATTCTATGTTTGGTGCATTTAAAAAAATGCAACAGTATTAGAAAGCAGAACATGGGATTAAAAAAGTAATACATTTTGGTTTCATTAAAAAAGGATCAAACTGATGAGAACAAATCGTAGCAGAATCATTCCATTCCATTCTTCTGTAATCTGCTGTGTCCACACACCAAATACTGCCTCAGTTCCACCATGTTCTGATTCTGAATCGGAAAAAGAAATTATCTGATTCTTGAAGAACTATACTTGTCATTTTTATTTGTTTTTTTTTACATTTGTTACTACATTTTTTACAGTACATTCAACTAGGGAGAATTATTTTAGACCTATCTGCATACCTTTTTGGTTTTAAAAAGTAACTAACTCTTTGTAGTGACTCATTTAGTTATTCCTATCATATATAAACAATGTTCCTGTGATTTTAACTTTCTGAGGCTGATAACAGCTTTTTGAGATTTAGCTGAATGGAGTTCTCACTTTGTAACCTGCTGTTACAGGTTTTGGACATCTTGACATCATCAAAAGAGCTCATTGACCTTTTGAAGAATGTGGATACCCTTTACCATTCCAAACAAGCTGGATCAAGCAAACCAATGTTGAATAATTTGTACAGATATGTTCCTATTATCCATGAACAGTTGCAGGTGATTTGATTTTTCTTTTCTGCTTATACAGTTTTCTCCAATTTCATTGAATTTTAATTTAATTGTATTTTGTTACATTTAATATAACTTTGCACCTAAAAGTTGATTCTATATTACCTGTGTTCTTTATCTTTCCTTTTTGTTAGAGATGAATATAAAATCAGTTGTGTCTACACATTCAGCTTAGGCTTTTGAGATTATTGGTTTTGACATGGTATTTTAGAGGTTTAGAGCCTCCAGACCAAGTGTAGAGTTTGATACTCACCACCACTCATTCTGCTAATTAAAAAAGTTGAATTTTAGCACAATAAAGTTGGGTTTGTGCATTATCTCTACTTTAAACCCAAAAGGGCTTTTGCATGAAGGGGTGCTGGTGATTAATATAAAAACTTTCACGCATCTTTGCCTCTCATGTGAATTTTTGCACTTGATTAGTTTGATTCATAGCTGGTTTAGGCACTTGGTTAAATGCTTCCGAGAGTAACAAGTAATATGCATGACCTTATATCTAAATACTTATTAATAAATTAACAATACTGGTTGTTTTAGGACTGGGAGGATGGTTTATGTGAGACTGATGCTGATGGCTCCTTCTTGCATGAGAATTGGAACAAAGATTTGCGGCTGTTTGCAGATGGGGAGGATGGTGGACAGCAGCTCCTTCAGGTCTTATATTTTTTTTGTTCTGATGAATTTATGTTTCTAACTATAGTATAACTACATGATCAATCATTTGTCCATGCAATGACAATGTTTTAGGTCAGTGTTGCTTGTACATAACCCTCCTCTCTAAGAGCTTGGTGTCCAGCACAGATGCTTTAGCATAGTAACTGTATTCATGTTGTATCCGATATCCATGTAGGACACATCCATGCCAAACACTCTAAGACAGTTCAAATACTTTTAGTTGTATTTTACAAATATTTAATTTTGTTTTTTAAACACTTGTACCAATGCAGATTGGAATATCACAATAACTTGATAGGTTATAGTATTTAAATTTTTTTTGCTTTCACATGTTTGTGCTGTATCATACTATCCATACATTCAAATTGGGACCGTGTAAAGATTGGTAATAAAACACTAAGCGGTGGAATTGTGTTACTGACTATAGTAATCATTATATATACTGTATAGGCTACTAACTTCTCATCTCATCTTTTGTCACTGCAGTTATTCATCTTGCGTGCAAAAGCTGAGTTGCAAGCTATATCTAGTGATAATCTTGTACCCAACCTTCAATGCATAGATTCATTGAAGTCAAGATTGGGGTTCTTATTTGATGGACACACTATAAAGTCATCAACCTGTCCAGAGCCAGTGCTGCATCAACAATCCCGTGATGAGATATTCAAGCCTAGAAGAGCTGGCAATCATGCATTTGCAGTTGTTAAATACAAAGGTGACTGGATGAGACGACCCATTTCCAATGATGAGATTGCATGGCTTGCAAAAGTGCTCATTAGGTTATCTGATTGGTTGAATGAGAGTCTTGGACTGAATCAAGCTGAGAGCATTCAAGCAAGCTCAACATGTTCCTATGTGGAGGTGTCGACTGATGTTGCCCATGTATGTGGACCTTCAGAGGCCTTGAAGGTCTTCTTCTGTACCATTGGTTCTTGGTTTCTCTTCTTGGGTGCTGCTTCTTTGGGTTTGATGCGAAAATACGGTATGAGGGTGAACTTAAGGATACTGGCCTCCAAGAAGGTTGTGACGATATTTGTTTTGTATGCTGTTTTTAGCATATTGAAGAAACTCTCTCGATCACTCCATAGCATGTAGGGAAGGATATAGATTGAATATACAAACTACAAAGTACATAGAAATGTCGATAGTACACAGGATTTTGTTCCTATCAAGTTATTGTGCATACGGTGTTTTTGCCTGTAATTACAAGTGGTATTAACCAAGAAAAAATGTTCATCCCCCGTTTCGCTCACTTGGAGTGCGGTAATGTAAATAGTTTACTGCATCCATTCTGCACTTGCGATCTTGCCCAACAACTCAGGTCGATTAATGTTATTTGTTTTTCTCAGAGGTCAACTATACGTCACTATGGGTTAAGCTCTACGAGTTAACCCATCTAGCCCTCTATTAAGCGGGACTTGGGTTTGACAAACTATGGCGTACTTCAATTTTGGTGGGCTTTTATAATTTTGGTCGGTTCGATATGGCTTGGTTTACAATTGGGCCGGACCAGTCCTTTTACGCGGTATTTATTTATTTATACTTCACAATGGATTTTTTTTACTTATTTAGTTTATTAATTGTTTATTTATTTGGGTTAGAATTTGAAGGTTTTTTTTTATAGAAAAGGAAAATTGAGGGTAAATTGATTTTGGCTAGACTTAATTTGCAAAAGGAACTTAAAAAGGATCAAAATTAGATATAGACCAAATTAAAAATATCAATAGAATAAAAAATTTCAAAATAAAAAGCATAAATAGACATTAAGATATTAATGTCTCCATTTTCACGGAAAAAGAAATCGATGTCCTCACAATAGGCTACATTGCTCATCTGAAATAAATATCAGCACAAAACAATCGAATTTGGAATATTTATGGTAAGCTGGCACTAACAATCCCAAATGCAGCATCACGAGAAGCACAATGAACAGGTGAGTAACAAAAGCACGTGTTGGTCGTGCGTTGATAATGTGCTAGTGGAAACCATAAACTGCCAATTGGGTGCCTGATTGATTTCCCACTAACTGAAATATGGCCCCTTTTTTATGAATTTTTTTTTTCAAAATATAGTATTTTTTTAAAAAAATTATAAAAATATGAGAAAATTTTAAAATCACGAATAATAATTTTTAGTATCACATTTTAAAAAAAATTAATAGTTTTGATTTTTAAATGTTTTTTAAGGTAATTTTTACATTTTACCATCTTTTCATTCTTTTATTTTTGAATTTTTTTACCTGCACAAGAAATTGATGATTTTTAAATTCTAAATTTTTATATTTTTTTAAATCACTATATTATTTCTAAATATTATATATAAAACAATAATCCTAACCATGGTCCAAAACAGTAATAATATAACGAGAATATCGCACTTTCATCATTAATTATTGACGTGACAGAACAAGGAATCTGACAAGACACGTTGACAGACACCAAAAAAAATTTCTCCCATGAATCCAAACTGGTCCTCCTCAAATTCGTTAAACAAAGTAACATTTTCTAAAGATTCATAAAATAAATAAATAAGATAATATTAGCAGCCGGCAAGAATGGTAAGAGAAATAATTATATTACTTGCATAAATTATTGTGTGTGTATATATATATATATATATATATTTTTTTTTTTTTTTGTTATATAAAAACATATTTTCCTTTGTGAGATTATAAGAGTTTGTTTATTATGTCATTTCCATTTATTATATTGTCACTAATATAAAAAATATTTTTTTTAAAATTTATTTTTATCTTCATAAGTTTACACAAGAAAATAGAAAAAAAAATTTGTTAATTTTTAATTTCTTGAAAATATTTTTAAAATTAAAAATAATGTTAACTAAACATTCTCCAACACACTTAAAAAAAACCTTTATTATTAATTTATTAAGTATAATTTAATCGAACCAACTAAGTAGAGAGGAAATCTTACATTATTTAGAGAAACTAATTAACAAGAATTCCACTCAATAATTTAAAAAATGTGTCAAACAATGAATTGTTAATATTTATTATTAATTATTTAAATTAAAATTAAAATTAGATCATAAATCAGTCAAGATTGTGTTTCGCTAGTTATATTAACTAACTTATATCATACACTACTAAAGCTATATTTGACAAAATAGTTATCAAACTATGAACAGGGAAATGTTAATCTAGAGTTTAAAAATCATTAAGCCAACTTATTAAGTTATAAATGTTTGGTAAAGTTAATAGTTGAACTACTTTATAAGTGAACAATGACATAAAAATGATGCTTAAATAATTTATATATACACATATATTTACAGACAAAATTATTCTTTTGTGCTTGTAGTTTTAGATTTTTTAGTTAACTTTGAAATTTTATTATTTTTATTTAAGTATCAAATATATTAAAATATCTAATAATTAAAATAAATAATATAATATTAAAGGAAGAAACAAATGGAAAGTTTTATTAATAATAACTTATAAGATCAAATAACATTTAAAAGAAGAAAAATATTAATCTTAATTATTAACTTATATTATTGAAAAAAATTTGAGAATTTTTTTTATTACACTTTTATAATTCCAATAAAACTAAGTACTTCTACATGTTTAAACTCAACTTTAAGAACTTAAGTCAACAAGACACTTAAAAGAATTATTAATTTTATTAATATTAACTCTGAGAATTTTTTTAAATATCTAAAAACTAAGTTTTTTTTTATATGAAAATACTACTACTTATTATATAAAAAATATAAAAAACATGATAAATATTTTTTTAAAAATATACCATTAAAATCAAAGTTAAGAACTATTGTTAACATGTTTCAAAACATATAAGTTAGCGAGATAAATTTATTTATGAAAGCAATCAGATACTACAAATTAGTTAAAATGATAAGTCAAGCTTACTTTTTAGAATAGTGTTAATGCTTATAACTTTTTTATTCATTTTTGTCATCAATATTATTCTATTTTTCCATTTTCACGAGCGCGCGCATATATATATATATATATGTTTTAATTTTAAATAAAATATTTAACCTTTAAATAAAATTTATATAATCTCAAAATTAATAAAAAATTTAAAATATAATTACCAAAAAATATAATTTTTATCTAAAAAATTATGTGAAAAAAATAATATAAATAATTATTTTATATTATCAAATAGTTTAATAGTTACTTTATTGATAACATTTAATTCAATGAATTGGTTCTACAATTGAAATTTTCAATAAAAAAAAGTTTTTTTTTTTTTTTAGTATTTGACTTAGCTTATTAGTTATTTTATCCATTAAATCTTAAAACGGTGAATGTGTGAATTATCCATAATAAATATATTTAAAACAGAAAATACTCAAATAAAAACAATAATAAACACATGAAAATTAGTACATAAACTCACCAAAAGGTGTCCTAAGCATTTAAGATTCCACTTCCCATTCTCGAATGATTAACAGTAACCGGTAGTTGGGGGGTTGCGATTTTCTTTGACCATTCTATATGAAGGGTAGATGTGTGAACTTACCGACGCTTCTATATTACGAAGAATAATGCCTTTGAGGATACCTCATACGTCCTATCCACAAACCCTCGTATAAAGGGAACCTTAGTTTTCATGCTCTCAACACCAAAACCCTCTGTTCCTAATGGCACCAAAGAATGATGGAGCTTCCAAAAGAACGATGAACAGAGGAACATGGACCCCAGAAGAAGACCGAAAGCTCTCTCAATGCATTCAAATTCATGGTGCTAAGAGGTGGAAGACTGTTGCTGTTAAATCAGGTTAGACACAATCTTACAATGTCCAAGTAAAATAAAATAAGAGAGATTTTTTATTTTGGTTAAACCTTGCTGTGTAAATATGTAAATAGACACTTTAAACTTTAACTCCGTTAAACTATTTTTAAGTAGACTCCTTCAATACTAATTTTACTTCAATTAATTCTTAAACTTCACTAATTTTGAAAATAAAAACCTCGAATTGTAATTTTATTTTTAATAATCTTTATTTTTTTTTATAAATAGTGAGTTTTCAAAATTAAGTTGAAATTAAATCACTAAGAGAAAAAAATGCAACCATTTATTTGCTGCAAAATTCAATCATTGGTTAATTTTATATAATTCCTTTTTTTTTACATCATAACATAATAAAAATTCTAAATTCATAAATTTCCAAAAAATAATAAAAATTTAACTATAGATATTATAGTTAAAAAGTACTTCTTTTTTTACTCTTTTTTTTAAAATAATTAATATTATTACATTTTACGTACTCTTTTATTTTTTATTACTTTTTGTGATTATTTTTCTTAAATTCAAAAAATTATTGTGTTTGGATGTAATTCTTAAGATTTAAGGTAAATTCATGGTAAAAAAATTTCTCCATACGTAATTCAGCGTTATTTGATTTATAAGAGATGTTTGTAAGAACTGTAAAGTTTAAGGATTAACTAGAAAAAATAAATAAATTTAGGGTGACTATTTGTGAAATTGAAATATCGATGGAACTAAAATTAAAATTGAAGTGTCTAATTATAAAAAAATAAAGATTAATTAAAATAAAAATAAAGTAAAGATACATAGTAAAGTATATAAAGTGGGGTTAAATGCTTTTTTTTTTTTTTTTCATGAAATAAAATAAGAAGATAACTTGAAATCCAAGGAATGCTACAATTTTCTTAAGGATAAATATTAGATACAATATTATAGATATTTTAATGCCATTTTTAATCAAAATCAGAATTTTAACTAAAAAAATAATATAACTTTTATTACGTTGATTATCAAAATAAAATTTAAATTAAAGAACAACACTTAAAGTATCTAAAATATTGTATCTGTTCATAACATTTTGGTAGGTTTAAATAGATGTGGGAAGAGTTGCAGGCTGAGATGGTTAAACTACCTGAGACCCAACATCAAGAGGGGAAACATATCAAATGAAGAAGAGGATTTGATTGTTAGGCTTCACAAACTTCTCGGAAACAGGTTTGTCATCATACAATTAGAGTTGGAAGAAGAATAAAACGTATGAATTTTCGTATTATTAAGTAAACAACGTTATGAGAAAGAAAGACGCAAAAATAAAAGTAATAATAATCAATGGCCCAATACAAAGTATTGGTAGATTTTTGATAGATTGATACTTTAAAATTGACGATGTAACTTAATCCAACTGAACACCGATGCACTTATTATATATGATTGCCTCCTCATCAACGTTTAATTTTTAATATATCATGTTTCCTTTGCATGATAATAATAAAAAATATATTATTATAACTTGAATATCACCTATATAAAAAACAATAATAAAATATAATTGCATTCATGTCTTAATGAGATGATGAACATTGCAATGAGATGATGATGGAATTGGATGTGTGTAGGTGGTCTTTGATAGCTGGGAGGCTTCCAGGACGAACAGACAATGAAATTAAGAATTACTGGAATTCACATTTGTGCAAAAAAGTGAATCAGAAAGAGGAGAAAGAAGAAACTTCCAAGACAACAGAAAAAACAATTCCCCAGAATCAGAACTATGGGGACAACAGTGCCACGTTCGAGAACGAGGAAACTATTATTGGAAGTGGCAATTCGGATGTTAGCTTTGATGTGAACGAATTCTTCAACTTCTCTGAAGGACCGTATGGGTATGATTGGGTGAACAAGTACTTAGAACTTGATCACATCCCTGAGAGCACACAAAAGATCTAAATGACCATTTTGTGGATCTAGTTTTGTAATGAACTGCCATATTCTGTGTGATCATGACTTGTCCTTCTACCTAACCCCATCGCAGAATCGTTGCTACATAATCCCTATTTCTCAACGCCGTTTGGTACAACCTTATTCTTGAAAATAACTTTTGTTCAATAAAATTTACAAAAGACTTCATAAAAGATAATTATCAAAATAAACTAAACCAAACTTGCTTCTTTTTTTTTAATTTAAGATATTTTTTTTCACTCTCTCGTCTCAAGACATGTTAATTTTTAAATTGAGATTTTTTTAAAAATTATAAAAATAAAAATATTAATTTTAAAATTACTAAATTTAAAAAAAGAAATATTTTTTATATTTTAAAAAAATATATAAATAAAAAAATATAAAAGATAATAATATCATTTACATGTACTGAAGAGAAATTTAATTTTCCTTCCTTTCCTCCAAAGTAATAGTAAATTGGTCATTTGCTTCCTAATTAAAAAATAATAAGGATTGTTAATATAAATATGTAAGAAAACTTTTGTCTTTGTAGAATTAATAATTATTAATATTATGTTTACAACAAAATTTTATTACAATTTCTACATTAGGAACAAAAACACTGAATAAATGTTAAAGGAAGAAATAAACAAAAAAACAAAAGTGTAAAGATCACGTTACTCTGATATAATACAGAACTGGCAGGGCAGTGGTGTCTTCCGTTACTACTGGTATTTTTAGTTAATAAAGTATATAGTAATATAGAAAATTGATTTGAAAATAGTGGGTATTTTAATACCAATTAGAGTATTAAATAGCAGAAGATTAATGCTAGCAACACGATTTTTGATATATATTACTAAAGTTATTCATTACGAAAATAGTTAACAGATAAAAGTGCGGATATTAATGTAATATTATTGGGCTGAAAATGACACTTTGATTTTGGGAATAGAGACAACATTTTGTCATCACATATGATATATTTACTTGTGAGATCCAGCAAATGAAAACGATTGAATAAATCACATGCACATTCAAACGTTGTTATAGACTATTACAGTGAAGGCCACCTTGTTCCACCTATTAGTGTCATTATTTAGCCGAGTTAAATAAGATACTCTGTGTTACGAGACTATCTCTCATTCTGTCCCATGATTTGTTAAAAAATACTATGGGTAGATGGAAATGTATAAGAAAAATAATAATATTTATATGGAATCTAAAAGAAATTTACACACAACTTTTATGTTTTATATTTTATTGAAAATATTTTTTAAAATAATATATAAATATTAAGAATTTTTTAAACATTACATAATTAAGAAAAATTATATTACATTATAAAATTTACTTTTAAAAATAATTTTTTTATTTTTATTCTAAATATATATTTTTATATAAATTACCTTTTCTTACTCTCTTTTCTATTTATTTAAATAAGTAAATAAAAAAAATTCAATATTTTTTTTGTCTTATTTTTATCTATGCAAAACAACAATTTTTTTTTCATCTCGTATTTGAATATTTCTTTCTCATTATATTTTTTCTACTTATTGTTTATTTGAGTAGAACAAAAGCTTTGGTGTTAGTTCTCATGAGAGCGTAAGGTCAAAAGAGATTTTAAAACTCGTCTTAATAAAGTTGTTTGTAACGGTGCAATAACATTCACAAACTTTTAAATATGTTTTAAACTAATTATTCAAAATTTTTACAATAACTCTTCATTATTTGATATCAACTCTTTAGATATGTTAAAATTGCATGCAAATTCAAGTTACTAAATGAACTGCATTAAACGAATTAGATTTATAATATTTTTTTTATATTTTTTAGTCTGAGGAAGTCATTGTAAATAAAATTTAACAAGTATGCTTCATATAAAATAGTAGCTTCCAAATTTTTTATTTTTTTTTCTATATTAAACAACTCAACCCTAGAAATGATTAATTTCTACATTAATAACTCGACACTTTATTATAACATAATCAATATCTCATTTAATTGAGTTCATGCGAAAGTTGCTAAATTTTGCATTACATGTGCTACTTATATCAAATGTAAATAAGCAAGTTATTTATTATTGCACATTTTTATCTAAGAAGTTTGACATATAATAAAGGTTCTACTACAATCAAACCTCTTTAAAAAAAAGACAGTCTTGTAAGACAAAAAAGAATGATTCATTAATGTTACTACAACAAAAACAAAAGAATGATTCATTAATGTTACTACAATAAAAATGAGAACAAATAAAAGTCTTTATCATATTTTTGTTAAATATAAATTATAGTGAGTAGTATTTCATGTAATAATAGCCAAAAAATAGTTTTGATTTATTTAAAAAAATTATACTTTTAACATCAAGATTATAGTATAATTTTAAATCTTATTTCTTCTGAGTAGTTTAATAAAATCATTTGAACCTCTTCAAATTTGCTCAATAAGATTGACATTATCAAAACTAAGGAGTATTTGTGTGAATTTCTTAGTCAAAATGGATGTATAAGTTCTTCAAATTTTACACGTGTTTGATCCAGAAGATATGCAAACACCAGTGGACAATGGAAATATGAATCCTCTAATTTTTCAAAAGTGATCCTTCTCTCAATCTATTATCATACTAGACAGAAGATGATGGGTCATGTGATGCCTTAATGAAGTAAATAAAATGTTTTCACTAATCATTTTCAAATGGAAATTGTTATGATTGAGTTTGTGCAAGTCATCTTTAATAAATTATATTCATACCAAATAACTTGAAACTACGGGCTATTATTCTCAATTCAACTTCTCCAATAAGAAGGTGTTAGTGATTTACCTCTTCTCTGACACTAAACCTTTTTACTTGTTTTGAACAATTTAAGGTATTCCATTTTATTACGTGTATATCCATTCTTTTGTTACAACCTTTTCAAATAAATTATATTTGATTTGTCTTTTTATACAAATATGTAATAAATTTAGTTTATTATTATTTTTAAATAAATATAATTACTATATTTACTATGTAATTTCAAAGTTACCAATCGGCTGACATTATCCAACCCGTATCAGATAACTAGCTAATATGAGTTGAGGTTAAAAAAATTCCAAATTAATTTAGCTATTTAAAATAATAATCCAACGAGAGCTTATGCCAGCGACTCACTTGAAAAAATCTATTTTAATGTGTAAAAGATATTAAAAAATTAGTAACAATTTTTTGAAACACAATAAAATTTCAAATTTTGATTAATTTCACATACTTTTATTTTTTTAATTTATAATTATCATAAATACAAGTATTTAATATATTTAACTAGATTTTTGTTTGCTTCACACAATAACATTTAATCCAAGACAAACTAAGAATAAATATAAAAACATCATCATCGAATAATAGTATGATCAATCATTAATATTATTTAAACTATTTATTAATAATTTTATTATACATTAGTAATTTTAAAATGCAAAGGCATAATACATAATTATTAACTTTCTAATCCGTCACTAAATGCTAGACTCTGATAACTAACAAGACTGTCTTCACTTCACTAAGATTTATTAGGGAATTCTCTTAAACTCACCAACGATTACAGTCATACATCAAATACGCATGCTATATCCTATATGAGATTTCTGATAAATGTCAATTTTATTAGACGTATCATGATACATTATATAAGCGCTAAACACATATTATATTTAACATTTATAATGTTAAGTGTAGAAAATTACAAACTCACCCCTAACACCATTAATGTTTATATAAAGGGAATTTTTTATTTAATTATCCTCACTCATAAAACTCTTATATTGGCCAAATTTTTCTAACTAAAACATGATAAAAAAAAACATTTACACATATCACATGTATTGAATTATCTCTTCATTAGGAATAAGTTATATAATCAGTGATCATGTAGAACTAAAAAAATTGTCAATTATTAATACTTTAATGTTGAGTTAACTTTTGTTAGTATTATTTATCTGATAAAAATATAATTATTAGTATAGTTTAAGATTGTACTAATAATATGATATATTTTACTAATAAATAATTATATCAACTATATAATATTAATATACACAGTCAATATATTAACATTTTTTTTATTAATATAATTCTTTAAATTTTTAATAATAATTTAATTATTATTAAATAAATTCTATAGTACCAATTTTCATTTTAACACTTAAGAATTTTGTGAAAGTCAATAAATGACAACTGATATGTAAAATTGCCAAAAATATTATACCTTTTTATAAAGAGAAAAAGAAAAAAAATTAAAAAATTATAGAATATGTAAACTATTCAGAAAATATGTATGCAAAATCATATAAAGGGTGGAAAGGATCCTAATACAAAAGTGTCAGAGATGAAGCAGCCACTAACTTAACCTCCTAAACAACATGACATACATGTACATGATAGAAGTTTTGCATAGTAGATATCTTGCAAAATAAAATATGTTTCCAAACAATATAACATAACTTAATCTGCATGAGAGATGTTTCGCATCATGAATATCTTGGCAAATAAAACATGTTGCATAACAAATTGTTAACACTAACGTATTTTGTGAATGTTGATAAATGACGATTGTTATGTAATATAGCAAAAAATATTATACAAATTGATAAAATAGATTAAAATTTAAGATAACAAAAAGATATTAATAAATTCAAAATTTTACTTATATTTTAATTAAAGAAACTTACGTCTTTTTAGTCATAACTTATTTTGTATTTACTCTTAATTACAAAAATTATAATACATTATTTTTATTTTTAAATTATTTTAATTTCATGACCAAAATATTCATTAATATCTTAAGAAAGTTACAACATTTTTTATCATATAAGACTATAATGATTTCTTATTAAATTTTTATAGTGGATAGAATGAAATTTTAAATTAAAATATTAATATATAAATCATTATGTTTGAAAGGCAGGCCTTTGACTTTTGTTGGTTGAAACTTATGAAAAAAAGAAATAGTGGAACATGAGAGCTAACAAAAGATTATAATAATTTTGTGTTATTGATAAGGAACTAACTAGAAATAAAGATGTGACACAAAAAGAGTTTATTGACGAATCTGATAGTCTGATCATTAGACCTTCTCATGAGTCAAACGAGGCTAATCACGTATTGAGTCAAAGACTAGATTCTCTTTAATCTAATGTTGTTGAGATGATAGTACATGACAAAATTAATGTGAAGAATGCACTTAGTAAGGTAAAGAGAAAGAAGCACGGCTCCAAGATATAAACTCAATCTAAATTTATAAAAAAATAATTCTATGAAGAGATTAAAACTTGGGCCAAATATTTGGAATATGTATTTTGAAAGTGGCTTGCAGTTGGCCTTTGGAAAGATTAATTGGAAAGATTAACTGTATATGTGAATTAGACTAATGATCTCTTGACATGTATTGTTAACTCCTTTAAGGTTGTAACGTGTTAGAATACCCTTTGTACCGTAGATGTTCTTAATAAAATAATGATGTTTAATAAAAAAATATAAATTATTAAAATTTATATTAATATCAAAATTACAAGAATAAATATTAATTAAAATTTATAAAAAAATATTGATGTGATATATAAAAGAAATGAACAAATAAATTATATTAATAATGAAGTAATAATTACTTTTTATTTAAAATTGATTTCAATGAATAGAATTATATCATATTTAAATTTTCTAATGCTAATCAAATTATGAGATTAAAATATTTTTTAATATTTTTTTATAAAATTAAAAGATAATATTTTTAAATAAACTAGTATAGTAACCCGAGCAATGCACTAATATTTTATTTTACAATAAATATAATTTAATAATTAAAGAATAAAACTTTATATTTTATAAATAATTATACATATATAATAAAGTAATTTTAAATAATATTTTGACTCAATTTTATATTACGAATGGTATGCATCAAAATGATAAAAATATAATAAAATTAAACAATTTTATTGTAGTTGTCAAAAAATAATTTTATTAAATGCCAATAATTAAGATATATTAATAACCATAAATTCAAAAGATAAGACTCTTTAAAATAAACTCCAAATTTAAAAAAATAGAAAACTAAAATTAATTTTTATTAATGTAAAAATAAGTATTCATAAAAAAATGAAAATTTATATAAATTAATAAGAAAAAGTTAAATAATGACTTAAATATTCAAATTTTAAAATAAAATTAACAAAAATGTAAATAAAAAATAAAACTATTCCGCAGAAAAAAAAATTCACACATTATTTTCAATTAATTTGAATTCAAAATGTACACGTGAGAAATAGTAAATAGTTTTACTTCTTGTTTATAATATGGAATTTGATTAACATGTGTAATGCGTGGAACTATAGTTAATATAAAAGAAGTAAAGTTAGGTTTCGAAATAACATGGCATTCCACTAGTTCTCCAAAACCGGTAACCATACAGTAATCGAATCTATACAACAAACTTATACATCAATATATTACCTGACTAAGAATCAACCATCTAGCTTCCTAGTTCCTCGCACCAAGTATTCAACTCAAATAATAAATTAAATTAAATCAATCAAAATTCTTATCCCCGTCGATAGCACTTTTGGCTCTTTCCAAAACCTTGTCCAAACAAGATTCGTGCTTTCAAATTTAATAACTCAATACCAAAATGATTTCTATGTTCGCGGAGTTTGAATCTGGTTCAACTTGTTGAACCATATTGAATGCAAAATCATATGAAATAGATCATATCTTATTGGTCTTGGGTTCCAAAGGAAATGCTTTTGTACCATCTTCACATTATTTTGCATTGTAACATATCTTCTTATAGGGATGGACAATAAAATTTCCTTCAGCCTGGGAATATCCTTTTCTGCCACCACAACAGAAAAAGCACTCCAGTTCAGAACTTCATTAAAAGGAAGGACAAAATTATCTGCAATGATCACAGGAACACACTCGTAATATATGGCTTCAACGATCCTAGGGCTGTTAACTTCAAAGCCCATTGGACATATACAATATTTACTTGATTTCATGTGTTGAATATAAGTCATCTTTTGGGAAACTCTTAGAGGTAAACGTTTGTAGATTTTCATGCCTTCATCTTTTTCACCACCCCAATACTTAAGAAGAGTGGGACGCACTCTCCCATGCATGCTTCCAGCAAAGAAAGCAAGGATTGGACGTAGTGATGCTCTATTCCCACCAAGATATCTAAGAGGTCTTCTTGGTGCCCTTATGGTAGTTTCTGGTAGGGAAACGTCTCTTCCTGCAACAAAGATTCCTTCAGACCTATCGGCATTACATAGAGCTTTTATGGTGTTTCTGGTCAGTTCCTCGTGCCCAGTCACTGTGTAAGGACCCTGCCATGTTTTGAACAGAAGGCATTAAAAAGGACAACGATTTCAATGTAGTAAACTCAAATGCAATTGATCAGGTTCCACCAACAACATGGATAACACTGAATAGACTACATTGCAAAAGGAAGATCTGTGATAATCAATCTCTCCCCGAACACATTCAATATAATATGATTTCAAGTTTTCAATCACACATTAGCCCTGCATGCTGCTTTACTAGTACAGAATTTTTTAGAAGTCACCAATAATATTTGTGGGTATTCACATGCATATAAGAAAGACGTATCTTGGAAAATTTCCAGCAAAAAAATGTTCACAAAAGATTTGTTCATTGTTCAATAATCACCAGGGAAAAAGTAATAAATGAGTGTTACAGGTACACAAGTAAACAAGGCAGACCGTCATACTCAGCATGACAGAGACTTGCATTGTTGCATATTTCAAAGTAATAGGATAAAAAACAAAGATATGTTGTTTTAGGGAAATTAGAATTTACAAATGGAATTTGACCTGTTGCAGGAGTAATGTGAAATAATAGCAGAGAGATTAAGGCACTAAGCAGAAAATTTTTCTTTGTTTTTTTAATGGGCAAGGGATGAAATGTAGATTAAATTATGATAAATAGGTGGAAACAATGAGAAAATAACTTTTCCAGCCATGTAACACACGCAGATACACAAACATCTTTAAAATACCGTATCTGTGTGCCCATACAAGCCATATATTTCCAACCATAAATAGTTATTTATTAATCTCATCATCATATAATATTTAGGTCAATCTTTATGAATCAAAGCCATCTCAAAGTTATTTTTACTAAAGAATTTCATTTTTCAATCTAATTATCTAATCAATGTAAAACATGCAGACATGGAAATATAAGAATTAAAAATCCTAAAACACTTAAACAATTATTAAGCATAGCAAAGTCAAACTATTAGAATCAACCAATTTAACAGAAAACAGATACATGCCCCATACCCAGTCATGGCAAGCAACAAGGAAATGGTCTGACCCATGTGTGCGATTCCAGAAGGGATATTTGGCAGCAATTTTGTTCACATAGTCTCTAAGAAAGATTGATAATGGTTTTAAATTATGTGACCCAGGCACATAGAGTGCCAATTCCATTTGGCGTGCACTGTATGGAAGGTAAAACAAGTGAGCCTTCTCAGGATCCTTGGTGATAAATTGCTTATTTTCCTCCATCAACTTCATAAACCATCCTTCAGAAGCATAAATTCCCTTAAGGAACGGTTTGTGAAAAATGGGCCTTGATCCGTCGTGATATATATATACTTTAAGTATCGTTTCCATCAATTCATAGCTCCTGAAGTTGAGACAAAAGTCCTGGTTCAAGATGGTTTTTAACATGGTAGACAATGCTATTCACATACCAAAGTTTCAGTACAGTCCAAAGACATAATCAGCACTCAGCAGCAATTAACAAGCATTGTGTCATATATTCATAATAAAAAATTCTAAATTGGTAACAACAAATTGAAGAGTTGTGAAGAGCATGGGATGGAATGGTTATTTTACCAATTACAAGGATTATTTTTCTTGTAAATGGGGAATTAATAATCTGTATTTGCACACAAAAAATTAATAAAACACACAAATTCCAGCCAACAAGTTACACATTGAGCTCCCAAGTCTTCAATATTCACGTCCTTAAAAGCTAGAAATTTTGGTGAAACTACTAATTAATTGGATCCACAGGTTAAGTTGCTTAAAAGATATTAAAATTCTAGACATGGTCTAAACTAAAATATTTACTGGATAAGAGGTTGACCACATTCATTACCGTGACTTCCTTGTTGCCACATTCTTCAGAATCTATGATGACTTTAAGCCTTGTACACTTTTTCAAGTCCAGAAAACTTTTACGTAAACAGAGTAGAACATTAATAGCAACCAAAAAAAAAAAAAAAAACAGAGTAGTACATTATTGATACTACTTGATAAAGATTTAAAATAAAAACAACCATTTTGGGACAGTTGGTTCATGACATGGTATCAAAGTCTCTATTTGGTTTAATGTTTCTAACACCAAACAGACATTCACTGCATCCAGATGCAGGTTTGGTTTCGTTTGGGTGGATTCCTGTTGGGTCACTGTTAGTTAGGATATAGTTATTTAGCTAACGGGGATTATAAATAGGAGGATTGAAGGGAAGATGTTCATTATGTTATGTATCACTTAGATATTGAGTACTTTCTCCTGGTGAAAGGAGAAATCCTTGGTGATTGGGAAACCCTCCGAGGAAAAGAAGTATTATTCCTCCTATTTTTTTATTGAAATCAGAAATTTCTAGCCTGAAATGGCTGAGATTCAAACTACTTCTGTTTTTGGAACTAAATATTTTATTTTATTTCATAATTTATTGTTTAGAAGACTGTTGAGTATATTTTCTCATACTTTTCAACTACCAGTGAACTATTGGTTTCTTAAATATTGTTCTGGTCATATCCTAGACATTGGTTTTTGTAGTTACAGCGAGTACCAATTTATTTTTTATGTTACGTTGAGTAGCCAATCAAATTGTTTTTATAGATCCTAGTGTTGATCATCCTACAAATCAAATTCTTGGGGGAACTTATTTTTCAATTACAATGGATATCAATACTGATGTGATGTTTTTATAAAGAACAAAAAAAGGAAATGTTTGCTTTATTCATAAATTTCATGCTTTCATGGTTGGCAATGCTAACAAGGAAGAAGAAAAATGTGATTTATAATTTAAAAAAAAATAGTTTTTTTATTGTTTTTGAAATATTAGCCTTTTGTAATTTGATTACATTTTTAATAGTCTGCTTATTTTTTAAATATATTCAAAATGCAAAAAAAATTGTTATATTTCTTTTCCAATAGAACAATGGGTAACAACAATAGGAAAGACATTGTAAACCCCTTCAAACTACAAAACCCAAATATTTTAAACACAATAAAAAGAAAAATGTTTTGTGGTTATAAATCAAATTTATCTTCTTCCTTGTAAATGTTGTCAACCATGAACAAGAAATCAACAACACTAATGAGTGACAAAGCAAACCATTTATTCTTTTCTTCTAAAACCTAACACATCGCTATCCACTATAATACAAAAAAATATTGCCACCAATAATTTGATTAGCTGCTCACTATAACACCTAAAAAAGAAAAATTGTCCATTATAACCAGAATAAACAATTGGGAGAATATCATTAGAGCAGTAATTATAAAGCCAAGAGACCAGCAAAAGTTCAAAAATGGCAACACCTTTAGAGTAGTAAGAAAAAATCATATTGCTCACCATTCAGACTAAACAAGAATCAAACCAAACCCTTTTAAACATCAAAGTTATCTTAAATTATGGAAGAATGCCTCTTGAATGACCCCTTCTCAAAAAAAAATGTCCAACCTTCTACCCTATGAAGGTTAAATTTGTCTCTGGCTTGTTGTTGGAAATTTAGCATTCACATTTATTTGTCCAATGGTGACATTTGAAATGAGAGAGTAGGGATTTCTTGATTCAACCCCAACCCACATTAGACGTGTGAATTGTGTTGAGGGTGAGCAAATAAGAATTCACCCAAATGCAACCAAATCTGAATTTGGATGCAGGGAACATATGTTTGATTTTGGAAACAATAAATCAAACACGCTTTCAATGAAGAAGCTCTCTTAACACAAATGAAGTGTTATTCTTGGAAAAGGGTTTATAGAGAACTATTAGTTTCTTTTTCTGCTTCAATTGAACAATTTAATCAATTGGTCTTTTATAGCATTTATGGTGAAATCAGCTAATACTGAGAAAAATTATGGAGTTTTAAAGGGTATAAGAAAGGTTTACGCTCCCCTCCTCCTCGTGGACAACAAATATCAGAAGAATTGGATTATATTCTCCCGCAATTCCTAGTTTCTGAATTGTAAAAGCTTATTTTGCTAAACAATATTTGTTCAACAGTTCAAGTATGTATTGTGATTTTTCTTAGACAAGTTTGTCTCTGATGTAACCAAGTAAAGATGTATCTGCTCTTACATTATTTAGTGACTTAAGATAAAAATGCACTTTAGATTAAACTATAGGTGGATAATGGATACACCCTTACATGCTAGCTTTAGAGAAGCTTTTCCTTTTCTTTTCAATCCTCTAAAAATTTTCAGACAAATCAATAAACAACAACAGCAATTCATGACACAATCATTAACAAGATGAATAAATATGCACAGATAAGAAAAAAAAATCGAAGTATACCTTTTGAAAACAGAAATGTTCCTAAATAAAGGAGCATAAAGATTAGGATCTTCATTAGCTGAAGGGGCATGATCAATCTCTTTCTTTGCATACACAAGAGCCTTGTCAGGTGGCAACAACCATACACGTCTCTGAGATATATATATCCAACAAAGTATTGGTGATTCCTTCCTCATCATACTTAAAAAAAAAAAGTCAGTTCAAAGTCTCATCAAGTTCTACCTGCTTGCCAGAAGGAACATCTCCACGATGCGACGGAGACGTTGCTGTAATTCTTATAGCATCAACAATATTTTTGTTCTTAGATACGAAATTCTTCTGCGGAGCTCGAGAGTCTACATTATCTTCCTCAGCTGAGAATGATTGGACTAACTTGTCAGACGAATTAGGCGAAATAACAGAGTTAGGAAGAGTGAGGTGAACCTGTTGAAGTCTGGCCCCTTCCAGAAATTCATTTGAGTGCACAGTGCTATTACTATTAGAGGACTGATAAGATGAATCAGTTTCATGAGGAGAGCGTAACGGTGTGTTTGGTAAAACAATAAAAGGATGTACAAGCATCTGAAACAGAAAAGCAGATACAGTCAAAACAGCCGCAAGTACAAAGAATCTTCGCCAGTCAATTTTGTGCCCAAAACAACGCCACGATAGCTCCCTCATCAGGATTAAACATGTTTTCTCGAAGGCCTTCTTCATCTCATTTCTCAATGCTTGGGCGAATCGCAACACCGATACCGATTTCTAGTTCCTATTTCACCGGAACAAAGTACTGAACAAAGAACATGTTAACGTCACACGTCACAGACAATTTCCTTTTATGTGCCATGAACAATGCATGGAGTGAAGTGATGCATAATTACTAAATTTGGAAATCGAAGGTTAAATGAATGCACACGATAATGCAATTTTTACCTTGTTCAGATTATGGATCTGAATCTGGTGAACTACGCCACGGATCTCAAAAATGAGGATACTGAAAGCAACGTCACAAACGGGGAATAGCAGTCTTCGCTTACTGACTGTTACGACTTTCGACGATGTTGATGGCCAAATCAAGGCAAGAACAATGGCCTCTGGCTCCATTTGGAGTCAAATTTTTTTATCTTTTATTTTTCTGGTGTTTATATTTACCATGAGAAAAGATTCGATGATGTAAAGACAAATACAGAAATTTTCGAAGTAGTCGTGGTCTACGTACACTTTATAATAAAAGTTAAATTCCCTAACTAAATAAGATGAGATCCATGTTAAAATTATTTGTCATTTTTTTTTTCTAATAAACGGAGTTAGAGAGCCTAAAAAACAACACAAAGTTAGCTTACAAGCCTAGGATACCATGATCCATAATTCCCTTAGTCAATTCTCTAATCTCACTAATAATAGAAAATAATGGATGATTACAATGAAAAAAATTGACAACTAAAGAAATGGCTTCCTTAAAATTACATTCCACACAAGGAGAGAGCAAAAATTAAAGGTGTTATGAAAGCCAGCCACAAACAGACTATAACTATCTCCAGTGAGGCCTCTAAAGTTAGCATCACCATCCACATTGAACTTCAGTTGGGATCACAAGGGGACACCCATCTAGTAAAATATTGATTTGTTAAAACAGTAGAGGAAATCTTCTTTTTAGATCTGCATAGTGCAAAAAAAAATCCAAATCGATCTTAATTCTATAGAACAGAGAATCGGAATCCAATGAATAATTCTGAAAATATCACAATTTTGATTCTTCCATAAATTTCAAAGAACCATGTCAAACAAAACGTTCCAATAAAGATATTTAAACAACTTATTATTTGTCAAGTTAAATTTCAACCAACTAGACAGTCTTTTACTAAAAAAAGATTATCAGAAGTTAGGGATAACAAGTCTATTCCAAATTTGTTTAACAAACCAATAATCCCTGAAGACATGTATCAGAGATTCATCAGCCTCCCTACACCTGGAACAAATAGAAGAATTAGCCAAGTTACAATTGCACCTTTCAACATTAGTAAGGAGGCTACCATTAGCAATTTTCCATAAGAGAAGTTGAATTTTAGGTGGACCCTCCCAGTCCTAAATAAAATTAAAAATACTGAGAGCAGAGTTATCATACATACACAACATCTTATAGGCAGATTTTATCGAGAAAAAAACCATTACTAGAGTGTTTCCAGAAACACAAATCCTGGTTTCCTGGCCAGATAAGAGGATTGATGAGAGCAATGGACTCACACACAGAATCAGGAAGCAAAGGTCTAATTCGACTCCAATTTCAACTATCATGAGTAGAAAAAGCAGCTACTAGCTCACTCAGATTAGAACTCTAGAGAGGCAATAGGGCATGGCTTCTAAGGTCTTGATAGGTAGGAACCCAGTTATCCATCCAAAATCTAATTGTCATCCCATCAACAACTACCCAGCCTAAGCCTTTCAAAAAATATCCCAAACAGACATCATATTCCTCCATAAATGGGACTGAGAGTAATTACTGCCATAAACAGGAGGATTCCTAATGGAAAATTTGTATTTTTTGTAGAGCACTTGAGCCCACAAATAGTTAGGACAGGAAATGAACCTCCAACACAATTTCATTATGAAAGTTTGATTACCAAGCCTTAAGTCTCTGAAACCCAAACCCCCAATTTCCTTAGGTTTGCAAATTTTCTTTCAGCTAATTAAGTGACATTTCCTGCTTCCTAAAGATCCCCAAATAAACCTTTTACATAAAGAGTCAATTTCATTACAAATAGACTTAGGAATAAGCATAGGCAGCATAAAATAATTTGGAATACTCATGATACAGGATTGAGTTAGCTTAATTTTACCAATCATAGATAATGAGTTCATCTTCCACTTTGATAGTTTTTTTCTTAACTTTATCAATTATAAAGGAAAAATCTTTCCTAGTAGGGCCTAAATAACTAATAGGAATGCCCAAGTATTTTTCAAAATTATGAGAGTGATTAATTCTGAGGCTGAGACTAACCTCCCTAGAAATCTCAGGGCCACAATTTTTAGAAAAGAAAACAGAAGATTTATCCCTATTAATAAAAAGACCAGATGTTGCACAAAAGTTACTCAAAACAAAATTAATGACAGTAGAATTCTGTTTATCAGGTTCAGTTATTAAAATTAAGTCATCAGCAAAAAGTAAGTGAGAAATATAAGGATCCATCTTTGATCAACAATTCTATCTTGAATTAAGTGAGTCAGTCTTTCAATATAGAAAACAAAAATATAAGGAGAAATAGGGTCCCCCTGCCTAATACCCCTGCTAGGATGGAAACTATCAGTTCTGTTTTTATTCCAATTAATAGACATAGTTAGAGAGGATATACAATGGTAAATAAGCTCAATTAACTCATGGCTTAACCTACTTTCTGGATAGTGTCCTTAATGAAACCCCAATTTAGCTTATCATAAGCCTTTTCTAAGTCCAATTTAATTAGCATGAAACTATTCCTGCTTTTTATATTGTTAAAAGAGTGGATAAGTTCTTGAAGAACAATAATATTATTTACCCCTTACCTACCCTGAATAAAACTAGTTTGATTAGCAAATATTAATTGGGGCATAGAAACCCTAATACGGTTAGCTAAGAGTTTAGTAATTATTTTATAGCTAACGTTACATAAGAAAATAGGTCTATAATTTTTCAGAGACTCTAGATTTTCAGATTTAGGAATGAGAGTAATGAAAGTTTCACTTACAGCCGCAATATTAGAAGGATTAGAGAAAATATTAGAAACAAAATTAAAAATAAAAGGGGCAAGAAACTTTCATTGATTTTTAAAAAATAAAGCATAAATCCCATCAGATTCAAGAGCTTTTAGATCTCTTATACTAAATAAGGCAGCCTTAACTTCTTGAATAGTTACTTTGAAATTTAAAACAGCCTTAGCACAATCCTCTAAGGGAGGAAAAGTTGAAACAATATTAAGGATATGTACCACATATGAAGAATCAGAATACAAATTTTTAAAATAATTTACAGCAAGGGATCTTAACTTGGTAGAATCATATTCCTAATTATTCAAATCATCCTTAAGGGCCTCAATCCTATTTTTTTGCCTACGGATTATAGCAGCTTTATGGAAAAACTTATTATTTTTATCCCCCAAATTTAGCCAATTAGCTTTATACTGCTGGTACCAATAAACTTCTTCATTATCAAGAACTGTTTGGTATTCAGCCCATAAGGATTTCATTAAATTAGAGAGGAAAGAATTATTACCCAAAGCTAACTTACAAGAAATACCTCTAATCCTATTTAATAACCTAATTTTCTTTTTGAAAATATTATCAAAGATGTTTGAGTTCAATTCAGAAATATTATTTTGAAAGGTAAATATGTTATCAACCCATTATTTGGAAATCACCCAAGAATTTAAAAGATTTATTGGTTGGATGAAAACTATCTTTCTCTCTAATTTTAAGCCAAAGCCCATCATGGTCTGATTTGAGTAAGGGAAGATGGATAAGGGAACTATTTTGGAACAACATCCTCCAAGCGTCATTGACAACTACTATATCCAATCTTTCCTTAATTTGACCATTATGCCAAGTAAAAGGATAACCTTTAAACCCTAAATCCTGCAAGTCACAAGTATCCAGACAATCTGCAAATTGCTGGATAAGGCTCAAATTAGCTGGTCTACCCCTAAATTTCTCATTTTCAAATAAAATAGAATTAAAATCACCAGCTACAATCCAAGGTTTACTCACAATGGTACTAAATTCAGTTAGAAGCTTCCAGCACTTAGCTCTTAGCCCTTCTTGAGGGCTAACATATATAGAAAATAAGACTCACTTTCTATTACCCATACAAATATTAAGATGAATTATGTATTTATTTTTAATAACAGAAGTAACTTTAACTCTTTTAGAGTTACAGCAGCACCAGATGCCCCTAGAGAACCCAATAGCATCCATTTTAACAGAACTATCTAGATTGAATTTCCTAATCACCCTATCAGCTTTGTCCTTACTGATTCTAGGTTCAAAAGTGCAATAAAGTCAAGCTTATAAATTTTGATTAGATCATTAATCAGTTTATAAAAGGTCTTATTTCCTGCACCCCTAGAATTCTAGAAGAGACAGTTCATAAAAGTTATTGATAAAAAATTGATGCATCTTCTTGATGTTGGGTTATGCCTATGCTGTCTCTTATAGGAAAAACAACTTCATGAGTACTTGAAGAAACTAAATGGTGTTTACCTAACTCCATGAAAGGGATTGGGTCAGGGGACCTATAGGGCTATGGTCCTGAATATCCTGATTGAGCCAAAAGAGATAAGAGTTCATACCTAAGAAGTCTTGGATAGAGTGTCCTACTTTTACCTTATTCTGAATAGTTTTTTCAAAACTACTTGCCATATTTCTTAGATATTGAAAATATTATATTAATTATTTGTGTACTCAAATTTTTTTTACTAATAACTCTAAAAGAGATATCTGCATTTTTTTTTCTATAGAGTCGACTTTAGATATTAAATTTAAATATTTATATAACAATAAATTTTTATAAAATATAAAATAAATTAATTTAATGATTAATTTTGAAAATTTTTATTGCGCTTGTGTTTGGATGCCAATTAAAATAGTATATATACTCTTTTTAAATTTATAAGTACGTCAATTTTATAAAATTTTATATATAAAATAAATTAATAGGTATTCATTATGTTACTTTATTTTAATGTGTATTGTACTTTTAAAATATAAATAAATATCAAGTTGATAAAATATTAAAAAATATTTAAATTATATAAAATTTAAATATATAGTCATGGAAATAATATAACATGATTCAATTATTAAATTAATTAATGTTATATTTTCTAAAAAGTTATTAAAAAGTGTAAATGGGCAAACTTATTAATAGTTTCAAAGAATTTAACTTTTTCTATTATTAAAACGATATATATTTTATATTTTAGTTTTATGTTTCATTGCTTATTTTTATTTTTTATGTTACTAATTTGACTTGTGTGATTTAGAGTCTAATATCTAACTTCAGTTAGATAATTTTATTACTATCACTCCTTCTAGATTTACCACAAAAAGAATTATATGTTGAATTCACCGTTAACTATGATCATAAACCTTATATCAATCATAAATCATTTATTCATTCTAAATAAACTATTGCCCAAATTCATGTCGAATTTGGTTGTCACCATGAACACCAACTTCTAAAGGTCGTTGGAATATCATGAGTAAACTATTACCAAAACTCATCTTGAATTTGGTTGCCACCATGAACACCAACCTCTAAAGGTTATAGGAACATAACGAGGAATCCTCTTCAGCTCTCTTCTTTACTCACCTTCCAACATTTTATTTGGTAAAATTGTTTATTTTTTTAAAATCCTAAAATAACATCATTTTATAATTTTTTACGTGTTACTTAATATAATAAATCATTATTTTATTATTTAATTTTAATATTTTTAATAATAAAATTTAAAGCAATTAAAAATTATTAATTTTAAAAAATAACATTTAAAATTTTAATTTTAGAAGATTAATTTAAATAATATTATACATTTTAAAGACTAAAATAAAAGTTTACTCCGTATTTTGATGATAATTTTGAAATATCGTATCTAATAATATATATGTAACAATTTTTTTTTATTAGAATATTACAAGTTTTAAAAGTATTTAGTATTTTAATATAGTTAGAAGATAATTACATACGATACAATAAATTTACTATATAAAACAAAAATAAAAGGTGAAGTATGACATGACATCTATCCATTTAACTTTACATGTTAAAATATGTGATACGTAGTATTTTAATATATGACACTTATTTAAATATGTTGCGTTTATGTGACACAACTTATTAAATTTTATGGTTAAATTAATTTAAGCAAACAAAATTTTAATTTTTTTTGAAATAATATTATTTAAGGGGGAAAAAAGTCTCAAAGAAGCCACCCTTCACTTTACTCACAAGTAGAAGCATAATACAGTGAAAAAAAAGAAACAAAGTAAGGATTTTTTTAAAAAAAAATCTAGGAGAGGATAGAGACTTGAGTGTCATGCGGTTTAAATCCTGTTCTTTATCTTCTATGTTTTTTTAATTTATCACCAATTTTGTTTGAGAATTTGGAGAAAGAGAAAGAAAAAGGATTTGAAAGAGAAGGAGAGGAGGTAAAAGAAAGGAAATAGAGAAAGAATGTGGTTAAACTCCTTTCTTTAAATGTTTATATTAAAAGAGAAGGATACATGAAATTTAATTATATAAATAATATTTTTTTATTTTTAAAAAAATAAATAATTTAATATTTTTTTTACAAATTAATAATTTTAAAAAAATTATATAAATTTTTTAAAGAAATTCTTAGTTGAAAAAATAACATTTATATATATAAAAAAAAGTTAAAATCTTAATCATAAAAAAGTATAAGAGAATAAAAAAGAAAAAACTTTTAAATCTTTTTCCTTCCTAGTTAAGTAACTTCTGAACAAGTCCACTTAATTCTTTTCCTCCCTCTTAAACATAAATTTTGTAAAAAAAATTTATATTCTTATATTTAGATAAAATAATATAAAAAACTAGTACAAATTTATTATGAAATATTTCTCTATACGAAAATTTATACTATTTTCTTTATATATATCATAAGTTTTTTTTTTTATTTAACACAGTTATTTTGATTAAAACTCAAATACGAGGTAATAGATTAAGTTCAAATAAATTTTCTATTAATTAATCAACATGTTTAATGATAAAAAATAAATTATACTATTATAATTTTAAAAATATTTTTAAATAATAAAAAATTACTGTTAAGTTGAATATCACTAACTTAGAAAGTAACTATCTTAATTATTTCCCATGACGTGTTATTTTGTTAAATTTAATTTTTTTACAGAATACTATTAATTCTATACACTACTAATACAACACAATTAGAAAAAAAAAAAAAAAAAAAGGTCAAAGAATCTTACTCAACAATAAGGGGAAAAAAAAAAAAAAAAAACTTAAACAAAATTTTTACTTCTAAGAGCCGCTTCTACCTCAGTTGTTAGCAAGGACAGTCCTTATGTTTTTACCTATTATTTTGGGTTACTAGATCAATTTTAGTTTTTGAAATTTTTATGCAAGTAGATTACAACTTATTTGACCCTAAATATCCATATATAATGTAAAATTTAAATAATATTTTTTTAATCGTACCATCCGTCTTTTTTAGCATTGAAAAATTAATTTTCAATTTATTTTTTTACAATTAATATTTAAAATTAAAAATATTATTTAATTTAATATTTAAGATTTATTATTATTGATTATAATATCTTTTTAGATGACAACTATCCTCTATTGAATAACTCTCATCATGTGCTTGACAATTATTGATTACAATATTTGTTTTCTTTTAAGTTTATTAAATTTTAAAATAATGATATAATATATCTTATTTTTATTTGAAAACTCGCAGCTTACAAGATATTTTAATATGCACCATTTACAGTTTTGATCACGCTATGTTAGCCAATAGGAATTAGCCAGCAGCAAGATTGACAACTATAGCCAATAGAAAAAAGCCATGTCAGAATGATAGACACGTGTAGCATAAATTGCAAGAACAAAGTCAAAGAGGGAAAAGAGTAATTTTTGTTAAAAAAAAGAAAAGAAAAGCTTTAACATACCCGAACCCCCCAGTAACCCAATGTATCGTCTTCCTCTCAATTAGACTTGCTTGCCTATGGGTATCGATTGATCGACCAGATCTGTGTTCGATTGGGTACCAACTATATTATTCAGTAAGTTGTTATGCAAGAGAAGTTGCAATTTGACATTATCACTGTAATATTCAATTGCGAATATTTTTCTTGGTTTTTAGTTGCGTTTGAACCTCCATTAACAATGATTTTCGACGGGTTTTATCTTATACTGCCTCGATTTTGTCTCAAGATTTAATTGAGAGTAGGTCTTCTATTTAAAGGTGCTGGAGCAACTACTGAGGCACAGCATTGGGCGTTCTCTAATTGTTTCTAGTTGAATCTTGTGCATCTTTTGTTTTCGCGAGTATAATTTTGGTTATGTATCTGGGTTTAATTTTTCACCACAAAGAATATGTGTGCATCCATGTGCTTTGTTACTTTGTTATCTGGTTGGTTCTGAGCATGAGTTATCAGAAAAGAAAGTGAAATAAAAATGCTCAAGTGAGTGGATCAGTGTACTGGATCATATAAAAAAATAAGCATTCAGGGAAGTGTTTTTGGGATCTAGGGTTTTTTTTTTTCTTGTCTAGGAGGCTGTACTTGTTTGGTGTGCAAAAGCTTTCTGTAGCATGTGGAATGTTTAGAAGGATGATAAGTTAATTGCCAAAAGATAAAACAAAACTGTTATTTTGATATGGGGTGAATATATCTTTTGTGACTTTAACTTCAATTTGATGCTGAATCCTGAGTTTAGCAATTTATTGCTCTAAATATTGTCAATATAAAAGATAATGGCTGGCATTGTGATTAAATATGTCTAATTCACATTTATAAAATAATGATAGAATAATGCCAAGTTAGTAATATTTTATTATCATATGATTAGTTGAATCATTCTATCGGTTGTCAGTTGAAACTTGTTACATCCAAACATAAGAATTTACGACATGATCGAATTCAAATAAATTCTACAATAAAAACTCAATTAAATTCTTCATGGATATGGTTCCAGATTGGCCGCCTTTATCTTTGGTGAGTTCAAAGTAATCCCTGTGTCTGAGCCATGGCTGCACCGTTTTTCTCAACGCCTTTTCAGCCTTATGTTTATCAGGTACTTGCATCAATTCTTGCCCTTGACAAAAGAATATGTTTTTTAAATTTTTCCTTGGCTCCAATCAATTGCTTTTGGTTAATCTCAATTCTAGAACAGCTTAGTGGAGTTTGAATGGTAATTTAATGTGTTTGATGCCTCAATGACTTCTCAAGTAGATTTTAATTTGTGAAATTGGAGTTTTCCAGAAGATTAATTTGTGTCTCTTTTATACATTGCTAAGCTTTTGCAATCAAAGTTCGTGTTACATTAGTTTGATGGGGTGGCTTTGTGGTATAATCAACAAAATTTACTTTTGAGTTCAAGATCTAAGATAATTTGCTCCTTTGGTCCATGCCTCCATTGAACTTACATACCTCCTCTGGAATGTGCAAAATGCCATTGTCTAAAAAAGAACTTTTCTTTGATGTTTGGTCTAGTACTGTGTATTATTAAAATTGATAAATAGGTAACACTTTTATTATCATGCTTATTGTTCTCAGTAAAATAGCTGTGTTTCTTAAGGTGGGGGGTATAACTGATAAGGAAGTAAGGAGAAGTTAACCTCACAAATGACCAGCAAAACGTATGCTGGAAAATTGAAAAGACTGACTAGCAATTCTAATGCACAAACCTAAAGAAAAAGGAAAGTTTTCTTGATATATTTATTCATATATTTGCTTGTGAGCATTATTTCTCAAGGGTGTCTCAATGCCCTCAACTTCTTATGGGATAGGATTCTATCATAAAAGGAAATGCCTGACATTCTACAATATGCATTTGCTCTTATCAAATATCCTTATATATCTTGGTGAATTTTTCATGTTATGCTGTTCAGAGCCCGCAAGATGCAATTATACCTTTTCAGATTTTAGGGGGTGAAGCTCAAGTGGTTCAGGTAAATGTGACCTTCCAAAATTTAAATGTCAATTTTATTATATTTTATACTATCTATGGCTGTGTAATATTATTCTTCATTTTGTTCTGGCAATACAGATAATGCTGAAGCCACAAGAAAAAATCATCGCAAAGCCTGGTAAGTTGTTAGGGACTTTTATTCATGAATCTTGATTTTTGTTTTTCCTTGATGATCTTTCTTTGCAGGCTTCAAATGTAAGTTTTTTGCTCTGTCATTTTGAACTGTAAATATCAATTACATACCTGAATATGAAACTGATCCAAACATTATTTTTATATATAATAATGAATATTGCAATGAAAGGTAATCCTTGGTGCAACAGTGAGGTTGTTGTCTTATGACCAAGAGGCCGAAGGTTCAAATCCTAGAAACAACCTCTCTGCTTGTAGGGATAAGGCTGCATGAATTTACCCTCCTCAAACCCCACTAGATGGGAGGCCCATATCATGCGTTGCAATGGAGGCTTAGGTTAATTATGGGTCATGTTGTTTATCTCTTTAACATGGGTGATACTGGCTGGTCATGACTCTTCGTCAAATGGGGATGAAATAAACTATTTATTTGGTTTGCAAATATTTAATGATCTTTTCAGTCTGAATATATTGTTTTAATTTGCTTAAAATATTTGAGAAACAACTGGATAAACGTAAGGCCAAGAAGTTATTCAGAAAAATAATAATGAATTCCTTGTTCTTAAATTGATTTATAATTGTCAGTACTGCACAAGCTTGCCTGTATGCCCGTTTGTGATTTTCTTTGGTCTCCCTAATTCATAATTGAAGTATCATTTAGTACGGGTTACCTGTAAGTAGATTTTAGTGGGAGAGGAGATATGCGGATAATTTGCTTTGATCTTTTCCTAGTAGTCCTCATCGTGATATCTTATATAATGTATATTGATACCAATAAATTCATCCATGTTCGTGTCTATATGCATAAATAACTTATAGTTGGATTGCAATTTTTGGATCACACCTATCAATATTTTTACAGAATCTCTATGCTATTTTAATTGTAGGTTCCATGTGCTTTATGTCTGGATCTGTTGAAATGGAAAATGCCTACCTTCCAGAAAATGAAGTAGGCATGTGGCAGTGGTTATTTGGCAAAACCATAGCTAGCATTGTTCTTCGCAATGCTGGACCAAGCGATGGATTTGTTGGAATTGCTGCACCTTATTTTGCAAGAATTCTTCCGGTTATACTTACATGCCTCTTCAAATTAATTGAATACTTCATTGTTACTCTTGCTTTAAGTCTCAAATTTATCATCTAAAACACATTCATATTCATCTGACTGAATTTCTTTTTGTATGTGGTTATGTGTCTGTTACTTGTTCAAATACAGATCGATTTGGCAATGTTCAATGGAGAGATATTGTGTCAGGTATAACTAATTTGTTTGCAATTTGCTGTTTGATTGGATTTTAAATTTCTATGGCATTACTGTTTGATTTTCTTTTAAATAACAGAATACAACATAACCTTATTTTGATTTTTGAATTTTTCTGTAGCCAGATGCATTTCTTTGCTCTGTGGGTGATGTGAAGGTTAGCAACATAGTTGATCAGAGGGGACGACATGTTGTTGCTAATGCTGAGGTAAAATAATTGGGTTGTTTCTCATTATTATTATTATTGTTGTTGTCGTCTTCTTTGTTACTAACTTATACTTGATATCACTGGCCTGGCAGCCAATCTTAGTTTGCTTTCTTAATAATAGTTAATATTTTAGTTTTGATACATTACATGAAATGGACGTTGATCTTGCTTTCCAAGATGTTGCAATCTGTGTAGGTTGCAATGTCGACATTGAATTGTTGTTTGCAGCAGAAGATATCATTGACATTAAATAAGTTCTAAGGATACATTGCTTGTCGAATAATGGATCTTGGTGTGATTGATTGTCAACTTCCTGTTCATAAACATTTTTTTTGGGTTGCAATTGCATGTATGATGAAATAAGTCTCCTTGTCATGCATATCTCCATCTCATTTCTTTAAGATCATGTTCTTTTTGTAGGGATTCTTGAGGCAGAAGCTATGTGGCCAAGGACTTGCATTCATACTAGCGGGTGGATCTGGTATTATTTTCTTCTTGACTGATATGTGCTCATAAAATTTTATTTTTTTGTTCCATTTACAATTCTTCCTTCCTTCCCATTTATTTTCCAACTTTTAAATGCCATTCTGATTAAGATCTTGCTTTGGAGTATTTTCAATTTTCTTTTTAACCATACTCCCTTATTACTTCTCATTGGGGCACTCTATTGGATTCTGTTTATTGTTAGTTGTACAGAAAAATCTTGAGATCGGTGAAGTTCTAGCTGTTGATGTTTCTTGCATTGTTGCTGTGACAAGTACAGTCAATATCCAAATAAAATATAATGGTTCTGCAAGGAGGACAATGTTTGGAGTAAGTAAAAGCTTCTATTTCTCAAGCCTTTTTCTATTTCCTTTTTTAAAAACCTTGCATGGTTGGTGTCTTCCTTTCTCCCTGATAATGGTAGGAATTGATTTCAAATTTTTATGCTCATTGGGAAAGACTTTACGACCTGAGAACTTCAGTAGTAAACTTTGTAATTATTTGAGCAGGTATGCTGGCAAAAATTCGTTATTTGTTATCTATAGGCAACCAACGGATCCAAGTATTCAACCCTTAGGTTGTGTTTGGATGGATAATTTTAAAATTCTAAAAAATTTGAAATTAATAATGAAAAATGGTCAAAGAGAAAGTGAAGTATGAAAGAAGTTATGAATGATAAATACAAAAAGTTAAGCATAACAGATATTTTTAAAATTTTTCCAAAGACAAGTCATTTATAGTTCTTTCTATTTAGCATAAAAATATGTAGTTAAAATTTTACAATATTTTAAAAATATTTTTTCTAACTATCTAAATACATTTAATATAGTGGTTTTGAATTACTTTATCCAAATCCAACCTTAGTTCCAAGCATTGTAGATACTTTGAGACAGGCACTAGGCTGCCCCTTTTTATGATTTGTTAACTGGCTTCTACTGTTTTATAAATTTCTATTCCAGATGGATCAACGAGATCCTCAATAATTGGAAATTATATTGTATTAATAGGGATGATTCAGGGTACGGCCACCTTTTATACAATGTATAAGAATATTCCCTATGGGGACCTCATGCCACCCTTAATCTTTCCTTAGCTTTCTTTTAACACGTGTCATGACGTAACTACATGTGAAGAACCCAACCAAAAAGATTAGTCCATTAATTAAGAGAGCCTTTCATGACTTAAGTATCACATTGAACATCATATTCTATTTAACGTGAGATTCATAACAATATGCATCTTGATTTTCTCAAAACTATGGTGTATATGATTGTGATCTCAATATTGCAGGGTGACAATGCGGTCACGGCTCTTCTAACCGGACCAGGCATTGTGTTCATGCAAAGTTTACCATTTCATCGACTCTCTCAACGAATTGCTAGGTATTGTTGTGCTTGAGTAACAAAGTGAAATCTCAATATCAGTTGAATAACTGTCATGGTCTTTCTCGTACCGCTACTTTTCTGCTTGCATGCTTTCCATTTTTCCCCTCGTATGGGGTATAAGCGAGTTTATAATATTTTATACTTTTCAGGGCGGTGACATCACCAAACATGAGGGAAAATCCAAAGTTTTTCGTACAGATTGCTGTTTTCTTTTTTCTGGCGTATGTTGTCATTATATCTTCATTAATATTAACAGATGTATGAAATTCACTTTATATTTTCTTTTGTAATTTTTACTTTTCTCCTGTTATACCATCATAGATACAGTAATGAGGGGAGAGGGGGAAAAATTAAGCCTTGGATTCCTCGGTTGATAACGGATTTCTTGTTGGCTGATCCTCTATACCAATTAGAAAATGAAAAAACATCCCATGTTATGTCTATCACTAAAATAGAATTTATTTAATCGACTTTGCCGTTCTTATGATAATTGTGGATTAGTCTCAGCCTTTTAATTACACTAATTTGGAACAATTAGAAAAACAGCCTGGTTTACGTTATCAGATCATAGGATGTATAAAATTAAAATACATGGAATGTCATACATGCAAACGAAATAGCTATATTTGAATAATTTAAATTTGGACGATTTGATTATAATTTTCTTAAGATTGGGAATACGTCATTCAAATTAGTTTCTAGAAAAATAAAAATTAGGTTCAATATTTTAGGCGTTTCTTTTACTGTTTACTGATTAAATTAATTATAGTTTAATACAAAAATTAATTATATTTTAATACAACAATCAAATTTTATTTCAATAGTCTATAATAATATAATATGAGAATATTTTATTGAAATATGTTTTTAACCAATAAATAGCACTAATAACACATTAAATATTTTATTAAAATAAATTTTTAAAACACAATCATACACACAACTTCAATTCAAGCATGCAAAATGAGGTTGATGTTCAACCAAGTTGACTTGAATCTATCTGATACAGTGTACGACTTTAGTTTGAATTAAATTTAGGTGTTTTTAATCTGATCTGATCAAGCTTCCTGAAAAAATAAAGTTTCAATAGGTCGGATAATCTTTTTGCCAACTCTAACTTAAACTATAATAAAATTAAATACAAGAATTTCAATAAGGAAATTATATAAAAATAAATAAATAAATAAATGACATAATAATGATGAAAAAAGTATAAACTTATAAGTTCAAATGCTATTTTGAAGTTGCATAATTATAAAACATTAAAACTAATAACAAAATGTCAAAAAAAATTATCTTGATGAAATGAAATTTCAAGTTAGTTAAATAAATTTAAAGTTAATTTATCTATCTTATTTTATATGTTTTGAGATTTAAATAATAAGAATTCAAGTGATAAAATGGTTGTTGGCATAAAATAATTACAGCACTTCTAATAGACACAACCATTTCTTGGTGTAGAAATGGCAAAAAAAATTAAATAAATAAATCATTAATCTTAAGCTTGGTTTGTGCATTAGACTTATTTTCTTTTTTTGCTGTACTTCTCTTTAGTGATTTTTATATAATCTTTTATAGATGAAAATAAAGAAACGGCAAAGTAATGTTGACAAAAAAAAACTTTAAATACCAAACGTTAAAATAAAAATAAATAAATTCTTGAATGCATGCGAACTGTTTCATATTAGAAGGGTTAAAGACTTTAGAAATTAAAATTATTAATGTATCATTGATCTCATGCACTTGTGAACGAGATATGATTTTTTAAAAAATTTATATCTTAAAATTAAAATAATTAAAGTATGCATTGTATTATATGTACGCTAAATAATTATTTTATTGAATTAATATAATATTTTTATTAATATTGTTTGAGAAATTTTAGACTAATTATTATTTTTTATCATTAACGTCATTTTTGAAATTCAATCGTACATTAAAATATAAATATTTAATTAATTTTCTTCGATATCAACATCTAAACTCAACTCTGCAATATTAATAAAATTTAATTTGGTTGATTTTATTTGATCTTTATATTTTAATTTAGATTTAAATTTCTCATAATGATATGAGATTCATTTAAGTATCTATTTGATTTTTTTTGTCACGTTGTAACTAAACTTAAAGAAAATAGTTAAAAAATAAAAATTTAGTTAGAAAAGGCGGTTAAAATCCTTGTCTTAGTGGTTAGATAAAGGTATCTTTATTTAAATATAATTTATTTGAAAGTTTTATCTTGATTTTCTTGGTAAACTATATCTTAGCAAAGTATACATCATATCACAGCGGAGTGAAATTATATAAAACAAAGGCGGTGACAGTGTCGAGACGCGCATAGAACAGCGAGTATAAAACACGCCGACTCCTGCAGGGCAAGCAAAGCAAGCCATTCATTCAAATCAAATCATTATAAATATAAAAACTTAGCATTATTTTTCTAGGTTTGTCAGGAAATACCCCCAAACAGCCACACCCTCACCCACGTTCAATCCACACCACACCACACCCTCTTTTCTCTTTTGCTCATTCCCTTCCCACTCTCGCTTCTCTCACCCAACCCTAGCCCCAATTATTCCCTATCATAGGGTTTCAATCGCTCTGCCCTATCGTCGATTCTCCACAACCGATCTTCGATTTGCTTCGCTATTCTTCAGAATCGTTTCAGATTTTTTGCTGCTTTTACAAGGAGGAGGAGTTTTTCGCGACTCTCGTTTGAAGCTTCCGTCGCTGCCGATCGGAGAGGTTCGCGCCGAATCCGAACGCGCTGTCGCTTCGTGGTTCGTTGGCTTGAGTCTTCACCGAAGGAACAAATACTCTTGTTCCTTTTCTTCGATTCGATTGCGTTATTCTGCCCTAACTGTTGCTGCTGCTTCTGTGGATTTGTGATTTCAAAGGGCTTTGCTTCTGCGAATTTGGATTCGGCTGATTTTCATCCACGATCGTACGATGACGATCTTGTTACTCTGATTTTGATTCTCTGGACGGAATCTGAAGTCTCTGGATTCTGAGTGCGCTCGGGTTTGTGAGACGAAGACGAAGATTTTGACCGTTTTCTCGTGAAGAGTTCTAGAAGTGCTCTCATCGTCGTGGCGGTTCGATTTGTTCGATCTTAACCTTAGTAATCTGCAAGTTGTGGAAAAAAGAGAAAAGAGAAAAAAAAATGAGCTTGGATATATTGTACTGTTTGATTTGTTTTTAGATTAATAACAGGGCCGTTTCTAAATTTCAGAGGCCCTTTGATTTATCGTCCTTTGTTATTGCTTTGAAGTTAATCTTTTTGATTGATAGAAAGAGAAATATACCATGGCGGTGTATTATAAATTTAAGAGTGCAAGAGATTATGATTCAATTCCCATGGACGGTCCTTTCATCTCTGTTGGTACATTGAAAGAAAAAATTTTTGAATCCAAGCATTTGGGGAGGGGTACTGATTTCGACCTCGTGGTCACCAACGCCCAGACCAATGAAGGTTGGTTCTGATTTTGATTGAACTACTGTCTTTAACTAGTGGGTTGGGGCGATAATATGAGTGTGGGCTTTAAGCTTTTAATTCGAGGCTTAATTTTAAATTTTAAAAATTAATCTTTTGCATATTCTTTAGCTTTGAGGAGGGGTTTCTTGGATAAATTCACAGTATTTATCTTGTACCTCTCTCAAGTACACATTTTTACTAGTCCTACGAACCTCTCTGTCGCTAAACTGAAATATATTTTATTTGTATTTGAATTCACTTTCCACTCCCCTACATAAAAAGAAAAAAAAGAAATACTTAAAATTGAAAGTGCAGAGTGTTAACCTGGGTATTAACATTAAGTTAGGCTACAATCTAGCTATAGGAATTAAAGGTGCCTGACTTTGCGAAATTTCTAGTGTGGTAGTTCATATAGTTGGCTTCATGAGTAGCATATTTACAGTGTTTTATAGCTGCTCTGTCTGTTTGGAATTTCAGAATATCATGATGAAGAAATGTTGATTCCTAAAAATACTTCAGTGTTAATTCGTCGGGTTCCAGGACGGCCACGTTTACCAATTGTTACTGAACTAGAGTACTATCTCAAACTTATAATCTCATTACTGTTGTTAAAATTTTCATCATTTTTCATGCATTTGGTTTCTAAATTTGTTAAAATGGGTACTCATCAGTTTGTATATAGGGGCGCAACCAAAAACTGCACTATTCATTCCTGAGATTAATTCTGTGTTCTTGAGTTGCAACTGTCTTCTTCTTTTTGCAGACAAAAGGTGGAGAATAAGGTGGTGGAAACTGAACCTGAAAACAGCAGCTTGCCAGCTGAAGATACATCTGCCATGAAACTTGTAAGTCTCTTTTCTTTTCATTTTGTCTTTTATGAACAATGAACAATTCAGATTCAATCCCTTGGAGTTTGAGCTCTTTATACAACTTGACAGCCTGAAGATCTGGATTGGGATGAATTTGGCAATGATTTGTATTCAATTCCTGATCAAATTCCTGTTCAATCGAGCAACATAATTCCAGAGGCTCCTCCAACTACTAACAAAGCTGATGAAGAGAGTAAGATAAAGGCCCTGATTGATACTCCGGCCTTGGATTGGCAACGGTGAGTAGAATATCCTCATTTCTTTTGCTGTGTTTTTTGGTTCTTGGAATAAGCGTAGAATGGATAAATAAGAAACAAAAACTACTAATTCTATCCCATCTGCAAGAAAGGGTCATCTCTTCAAGGGGCATTGGGAATTCTTCATCTGTAGAAGACGTGGGTTGGCATAGTTATTCCAAGTTTTTTCCTACCAAACTAGTCATGTTTGGGCATCTAATGATGGCACAACCGAATGCAATGGGAATGGGTTATAATGAAATAAAATTATCATATCATTGGACATTTTATGATAAAAAGATGATTAATGAACAATAAGTTAGTCATGCCATGCCTCCAAAATTGTGGAGGGATGGAAGAGAAAATAAAGGTATTGGATTGGATGGAATGGGATGCAATAAACTCCATCAGGTTCCAATCCATTTGACCTTACTGAAAAAAACTCAAACAATGGCAAGTAATTTTATTCCATTTCTCACGTTCATAAATTCCAACATAGCCTAAGGAATCCCTTTTCCTACCAAAGATTTCTTTCCATAAATGTGTTTTTGTTTTGGTTAAAACATTTTCATTTTGTCTTCGTAATATTTATGCTAGTTCTTTTTTAATAATTTTGACATGCAGTCAAGGTTCAGACTTTGGCACTGGTAGAGGTTTTGGGCGGGGTATGGGTGGACGGATGGGGGGTGGACGTGGTTTTGGTAATTCTCTTTGCCTATTATATACTTTTTTTGAGTTAGTTGCTACTTTTCATACAAATAGTAGTGTTATGATCAACAAATGCTCAGTCATTCACTTGCTGATATCTGGCAGGGTTGGAACGGAAAACACCTCCACAAGGCTATGTATGTCACAGATGCAAGGTGCCTGGTATGTTAATGTTTCTGAACTTTTTAATTCCCCTCTGCTTGCAAATTTCTGGATAGCATTTGTCAGTTTTATTGGCTTACTTCCTTTTTTTCTTCATTTTTTGTTTAGGACATTTTATTCAGCACTGCCCCACAAATGGTGACCCAAATTATGACATCAAAAGAGTCAAGCAACCTACTGGTATTCCTAGATCCATGCTGATGGTAAACCCACAAGGTTCCTACGCTTTACCAAATGGTTCGGTAGCTGTCCTGAAGCCAAATGAGTGAGTACATCTTGATTATGCTTGTTCATTCTATCATGAGAAGACATGAAGTTGAATTTCATCTTGTCCTTGCAAACAGGGCTGCTTTTGAGAAAGAAATTGAAGGGTTGCCATCAACACGTTCTGTTGGGGACCTACCACCTGAGCTCCGTTGTCCCTTGTGCAATGATGTCATGAAAGATGCTGTATTGACAAGCAAGTGCTGTTTCAAAAGCTTCTGTGACAAATGTATGTTTTTCAAGCATATGTTGTATTTAGAGTTTTCAGTACTATGCTCACTTTTCCCTAGTGTATAGTTCCTCTTCCTCATTAAGCAAACACAGAACAGTTTAGATGTTTTATGTCTTCTATGCTTTTTTTTGCCCTGAACTATTGTATGAAGTTGTATCTTGAAGTTTTATTATAACTTTCTGAAAATTTTTCAGGTATAAGGGACTATATTATCTCCAAGTCAATGTGTGTATGTGGTGCAACAAATATTCTTGCAGACGATCTCTTACCAAATAAGACACTTAGAGATACCATCAATCGTATATTAGAGTCAGGCAATAGCAGTGCTGAAAATGCTGGGAGCACTTTCCAAGTTCAAGGTTAGTGAAACTTTTATGATGTGAATCTTGCTTGGACTATTATCTGTTATAAATTTGTCAATGTATGCATTTTAATTTCTGATTTTGATTTTTCAGATATGGAGTCGGCTCGATGTCCACAGTCTAAGATTCCATCCCCAACATCATCTGCTGCATCTAAGGGAGAACTAAAGATTTCACCTGTTAATGAAGGAACAACTAATATACAGGAAACTGCTGACAATAGAAAGGCTGTTTCTGCTCCACAGCAGACATCTGAGCCAGTAAGGAACCCCAGAGCTGCTGATGTATCTGAAGCTACTCATGAATCAATCAGTGTAAAGGAACCAATCTCACAAGGGAGTGGTCAGTTGGTTGAGGAAGAAGTGCAACAAAAGGTGGTTCCTGCTGAGGCAGGTAATGTAGATAGCTACTGTCACCCAAGTTTTTTTAATATGATTTGGTGAAAATGGGAAATTATTAGTCAACATTTCTTGAACTGCTAAAATTCTATTTTAATTGTTGATTTTCTGTTGATGTTGTTCTCATTTGATTTTTAAATTTTGCAGGAAAGAAAAAGAAAAAAAAAAAAGTCCGATTGCCCCCAAATGGTAAATTTTCTGTTGTATGACGTGTACCCCATTATATGTATTTTTTTTTCTGGATCTGGTATCATGATAACTTTTAGTGATTGAGGGCATATACAGATGCTTTTTTTCATTGGTTTTTAACAATTTCAATTAATTTTTTATTTACCTTGCAGATTTGCAGTGGAAAACCCCATATGACTTTGGGGCTGAGAACTATATGATGCCAATGGGCCCTCCTCCTGGCTATAATTCGTACTGGAATGGCATGCAACCTTGTATGGATGGATTTATGGCACCATATGCTGGTCCAATGCAAATGATGGGTTATGGTCTAGGCCCCTTGGACATGCCATTTGCAGGTGGTATGCCTCAAGACCCATTTAGCATGCAAGGTTACATGATGCCTGTTGTTCCACCTCATAGGTATATTAATATGCTATTTAAAATCAGAATTCAGCACTTCTGCTACTTCCACCAACTCCCTTCTCTTATTCTCACTCACAGACACACCTGTCCAGGATATTTATATCTTTTTGATGCTGAGGGTGGGATTTGAGGGTTGCGAAGTGAACACTTCTGGTGAATTTGGTTGCATGTTTGTCTGACTCTATTGATACTTTGTTTTTTAAAATGCCGAATTGTAATATAGTAACTATGACTGTTCAGGGATCTTGCTGAGTTCAATATGGGAATGAATGTTCCTCCTCCTGTTATGAGTAGAGAGGAGTTTGAAGCACGGAAAGCTGATCTGAGGAGGAAGCGTGAAAATGAGAGACGGGGTGAAAGGTAAATTGGAATTACTATTTGGATGGCTGTCATGTTCTGCTGTGTGGTTATGTTTGATTCACTTTTAACTTTTTTAAACACTTTAAATAGCAGCAGTTAAACTTAAGACATTGTCATCTGGCCCCTTTAATCTTTGTAATTTTTAATATGAATATTCAACCTACTGCCCCCAATAAAGAGCAGCGATATTATGCTGTGGTTTTTGGTAAAATAATTGTAGAACCCTGCTTTACATAAGATATATTCTTCCGTCCTTTTTTTTTTTTTTTCAAATTTAGTTGCCAAAGTTTTTTAATTATTCATAGTTCTCTAGACTTGTCCCAAAATTTGTTTCTCATGGTTTTTTTAATGAGTTTATTTCCTTATGGAGCAGGGACTTCTCCAAAGATCGAGAGTTTGGTAGGGAAGTGAGCAGTGTTGGGGATGTTTCTTCAATGAAATCAAAAACTGTATGTGCTTTTTATTGTCTTAGTTTTGCTCTCTTTTACCGTGGACTTTTGCGTGCCATTTTCTTTTTTGGGTTTTTCTACCAAAAGTTCAGCAAGAAACCTCAAGCTTGCAAAAGAGCACTGATTGCACAAGATAATCCCACTTATTATTTTTGTTCCTTTAATTATAGTAAGCTTTGACAATTAATTATTTTGACTTCATTTATTGATAAAAAGATTTGTTCATCAAGTGATACTCAGGTTGATCATGAAATTGTTGAGGGAGCAAAAGCCCACGTGTTTTACCATTATTTTTTGGGTCAACAGCAACCAATTGATTTAAAACGTATTAAAAGAACAAAGTAGTGGATAGTGCTGCATCTTACTAAATGTGACGGTGCAGTACTATAATTAAATTTTCATGATCCCAGTGTCAAAGCCTTTCCGTCATCATCTATTCAGGCTTATGGGCATGCTTTAAATCATTGAACAGATTCAAATCATTTAACCCCTTAGAATTATCTTTGCAATTTGAAGCATTTTCTTTAGGTTGTATTTGGGTGCAGTGTCAAGTTTTTGTGGATTCATTCAAGACCATCATGTCTGTTTTCTCTGTATCTGGTTTCCTGTTGGTAATCTATGTTTACTGATGAGGGTGGAATAAATTGATTCATCAAGTTGGGGATATTTATATTTTGGATAATTTGATCTTGAACTTAGAAATTGTCGAGCATATGTATAGTATAATTAATGGATGGAATGTGGATTTTGTACGTTAGTCTTTTCATTAATAATTAATGGGTTACAATGAGTGAATGGTGCCAGTGGGAGTTGACTGTTCTCATTCAAAAGGGCATCTAAAGGATCTTGTTGCTTATTAGTTTCTGGCGATGTTTACTGCATTTGCAGAAGTTTGTTTTACTTAACTCCCTTGGCCTGGATTCAGCTTATCCCCCAATTTTTTGTTTAGGATATGTGCATAATTCTAGTCACACATAAATCCACCTTATCTGGGCCACGAATGGTCCATGTAATGTTTAGATGAAAACTGTTTTTTGGAAAGAAACACCATTTTTGTTACTTAGGTTTTCGAAAACTGAAGTTGATTATAAATGCTTTTGAGTGGGACTTGGGGTTTAGGGAAAGGTCTTGTGCTGTTGAATATTTGGCCCGACTGATATATAGTTCGTTGAACGCGAGTGGGCTTGGGCCTCTTATCCTCCCGCGAAAAAATAAGATGGATGATCATTGTTGTAATGTTTTCTATGATTTTTACTTTAACAGTTCAACTATTAATAAATGTATCGGGTGCGTTGTACTTAGCGGTGTCTTGGTTATTTTGTTTGGTTGCGTCTATGATTTCAGTCTAGTTATTATAAATTGTTAAAGATGAAATTTTATTTTAATTTTTTGGAAGTTCAAGAAAGGATTTATATCGGGAAAAATGGCAGTAACTAGGAACCAAGCGAATTCATCGCAACAGAAATTATGACAGCACTAATATTGCCAATAATGTGAAGACTGTACAAGTTGTACATATAAATGTTTAAAATTTATACGGTTGCATTAGCAAAAAAAAAAAATTATTCCTCTTTCAAAGTAGATGACGCAGTGTTTTAATTGCCGTTATGAAAGAAGTGCATTTTATTTGGGTGGAATAACAAATCTTTCATATGATGGTGGATGTAAATAAATAATATATAGTAAATACGATATAGGTATTAGGAAGCCCAATGTTGCTGCTTGAGTCAGATATACATACAGTTGATATTATATTTTAAATTGAAAGGGTTAAATAAATTAAAAATAGCAATTTTCTAATTTATAGAACATGGCCCTAACAGTTTGGCGTTTCTATTTTGGTGCAGAAGTCAATTCCACCGTCTTCGGGTAGCGATTACCATCACCACCGTCACCGTTCAGAACGGCTGTCACCAGATCGGTCTCCACGCGAGGTGGAACCTCCGCGTCCGGTGAAGAGAAAGTCCGACCACCATTCTGATCGCGAACGCGAAGAAAAGGATCGCGAGTACGAGCACGAACGGCACCACCATCCCCGCCATCACCGTTCGGAATCCTCATCCAGAAGGTCATCGGAACCGGTGACCAAAACTTCATCGAACGCAGCAGCAGTAGCGGCGGCAATAGCTGCTGATCGGAAGCAGAAGGCCAGCGTGTTCTCCCGCATAAGCTTCCCGGCTGAGGAGGAAGTCCCTAATAAGAAGAGAAAGGTCAGCACTTCTTCCACGACGGAACCAGTGACTACCACTGCCAGTGCCTCTTCGGCCCACCTCAAGACAGGGCCGAACGGGTATTACGAAGTGAGGAAGAGCAACGCCGCTGCCGATTACGAATCTAGCGACGATGAGCGGCATTTCAAGCGAAGGCCGTCAAGGTATGAGCCGTCTCCTCCGCCGCCGGCTGCCGATTGGGAGGATGAAGGAAGGCATTCGAGAGGATCGAGGGAGCGCAAGCATAGGTGATATTTTGTATCAACATTTTCATTGCTCCTCTCTTCCAACGCCTGAAATAAACTTCTTGTTGGATGCAATTTCAATGTAACTTGTGACTCACTTCTATCAGTTTTCAATAATTTTCTCATGTAAAATTATCACTTTTTATTCAAATCCAATGAATCTGTTTATTGTTTTCCTTCAATTCCATTTGAATTTTCTTAATATAATACCAACGCTTCCTCTAACTTCTGGTTATTCTATTTTTGTCAATTAGTTTTGAGAGTGCATGTTGCATGTATCTTTTTCCTGTGATTGAGATGGATAGAAATTTAAGTCATATTGTCATTTAATATATTGAAGCGATTTTATGAACATTTCGCTATACCCGTTGGAATTTTCGTTTTTCCTCTTTTCTCAGCCCCTTTGTCGCGATCGCGAAATCTTAATCAGTGCCGCTGCATTGCTTCTATACGATGAGTGACAATTTGTGCAACAGGTTTTTTCCATTTAAAATTTTAATACTGAAATTTTTTATATTAAAATTATGAAAGTTTTGCTATGAGGGAGAATTATGAATTGATACACTAATTTTTATTTTTTATTTTTGCAATCAAAGATATATTGATACCCCAAACTCAGTTGTTTGTTCCTATCCAACAAGTCATCTGTGTGTTTAAGATAGTCACTATTTATCACAACCTCTTTTTTTTTTTTTTTTTTTCTAATTTTGCTTTTATATATATATTGAGTAATTTGCTATCGTTTTATGTGATACTAACGTCATCTTATGGATAACAATGGGATAGAGTACATTTGTCAATATTATCTTCATATTCACTGTCATTAAATTGGTGTTACATGGGTGAAGGGATAAGAGAGAAAAGAAGAAAGAAAGAAAAAGGTATGAAATGCGATAGATGATGTGATAAAAAAAGAAGATAAAAATTAAAAAAGGAGTATAAAAAAAGTGACTGTAAAAATATAATTTTTAGAATATATTTAAGTTATTTTGATTTAGATTTCTTAGGTGCATAATAATCCCTAGACAATCAAACTATGTGACAAAAATTATTTTTTATGAGAAATATTTTATTTGGGGCACAAATTATGACCTGTCCCTGTGTGAATTTGGAGTCTGCATACACATTATTATTAGTAGTAGTAGTAGTGGTGGTGGTAGTATTAATAGTAATTACTAGGTAAAAGTTTAGTTGGAGAAAGTTATCTTAATAAGGAGTGGGATGTCCAAATTATGATAGCTTAGGTAATTATGTGTGACCTAAGTTAGCTTGATTATCAGCACATATATCAGAATAATATATATATATATGGGGTGATTAAATCTTCCAATGTGAAACAATGATAAGATTGAGGGCAAAACTAAGTTAATAGCTTAGAGTTATATTTACTTCTAACATCTAGCAATCCATGTCCTTTACTTGGAGAAGACCCACACCAAACTCTTGGAGTTCAACTTTGACATAGATTCATCTAATGAGAATGTAGGAAAAAGAAACCTCTAATAGATTTTCTAGAGTCATATTACCATAGGCCACCACAAGTGGCCAAATATGTATTAGATTTTATTGACTTATTTTATTAAGTTTATATGCATCTTGCTTAGAAAAAGAACAAACAAGGATAATTTTGTGATTTTCTTTAGGGAATAAATGGTTTCGTGTATTTTTCTCCATCATCTTTGCATAATTCAAAGATAAGAAATATAGAAGAAGAAAAAAAGGAAATACAAAATGACTAGGAAGGCTAGCTAAGGAAACTAAAATAATTTCAATATTTTCAAAACAACAAATCAAAGAAAGTTCAAAGACTTTAGCTAAAGAAATCACTTCAATCTTTTAAGAGTGATTATAATATCTTCCCTTAAATAAATAACTAAAGAAATAAAAAAAGTAATGCTTTTTAATAAGTATAAATAATTATGAACCATTGATATGATTTTGTAATAAATGAATGGTTAGGATTTAATCATTTTTGAGTAAATTTCTTATATAATAACAAGTTATAGTGTGAATAATGAAGGACAAATTAGTAATTTGCCACTCCCCCTCCTCCATTTCTTCCCTTCTACTTTGTTGTTGTTCTTCTAAACATCACAAGAAACATTTTTCATCTCTAGTTCATCCAAAATTATAGAACCAACTATCGCAAATAATTATATCCTCTATGGACTGTGAATTACAAGAGCTTTCAACATCTATATCACTATACTTTTCAAAAGGAATATCTTTGGGATGGAGAAAAACAAAGCTATTTGATTGAGAAGTTGAAGTACAACCAAAGTTCATTAAAAAAACTCATTAATTTAAATTGTCACCGTCACGATCATGTTCGTTTAATAAAACCAAATTAAAAGGCCAAAAATAATGCAACAAATAGATCCATGTCACTTCAACATGGGAAAAATATTTCTCATTGCCTTAATCGAAACTCTGTTTGAGGTGGATAAAATTCAGATTTGATGTTATCGATAGAAAGTTGAAGTTTTGCAGTAAGCGAGTTGACTTAAATTAAGTTATGGACGAGTTGGGCATGACAAATGTAGAAAGTAGATTAAAAAAAATAAAACACTAATTTCTAATTCTTTTTAAAGAATCAACGTCGAAAGTATATATTTTTTTAAATGCTACTTTATACCTCATTCTTCTGGGAGAACCAATATAGAAAGTAGTGAAATATTATAAATTTTATTGTCTTTTAACATCGTAAACTAACTTTTAGCATAGAACTCATATTTGTGCAAATTATATATAACTTTTCAATATCTATTTAACCTAAACAATCAAAAGGGATTTGGACAAAAAAAATTTTTTTTTTATAATTCTAACATTTTCTAATTTTATATTTTTGTGTACATAATTCTAGTATTTGTGAATCCTTGATGTTGTAAATTATAATTTATAGTCATAGCGAAATGAAAAGTAATGCCAATAAAAGATAGAGAGTAAATGAATTCATGTCACATGAATGAGATGAAAATGAAAGAGAAAAAAAAAAAGTAAGAAGGAGAGGAACAAGAAGATATATATTAAATTACCAATTTATTATTTGATAAATTTAAATTGTATCATTAATTTTTTATCTTACACTTTTAACCATCCAATCTTAATCAATGGTCCATAATACTGGCAAGCTTTTCTTAAAAAATATATATTTACCTTACTTTTCCAAATTTAAGAGAGGATGTTAGAAAAGTAAGTAAATATATTTGAAAAAAGAAGTAAAATATATTTACCTTACTTCAACCACATATGCCACACATCCTTTCAACTTTTTTCAAGCTAGTAAGCAACTTATCATACTCTATTTCTCAAATTGAAGTTTTGATTTGCTTAAGTCTTAACCATTTCCACACCAAGTTAAAAACTATATTAGTCTATAATTATCATTCACATTAGATATTACAAAAAAATATTAATTACAATCCTCTTACACAACTCGTAGGTCTACTATATAGATTACTCATAAAATTTTTCATTTATTCCTTTTAAAATTCATTTTTCATAATTCATAAATAAAAAAGAAGAGAGATTTAAAAAAAAAAATACACTTTTTTTCATTGAACCAAATAAAATGTAAAAGCATTTGAAGTCAATCCCAATTACATAAATTTAAAATAACATATAATTAAACTTGGTAAAAAATACATATAAAAATTTGCAAATTAAATAAAATAAATGTGCAAGGAAATTGTTAGCTCATTTAACTCATACAAGTTAATTTACTAGTTCAAGTTTAATAATTATATTTTTTTTCAGATATAAAATATCATCTATATCTACATTTATTTATATTTATATATAAAATTGACTATGACTATTTATTACTGTATATATTTACAAAAAAATATATGATTATTAAATTTTAGAATGCTTAAAGTCACTTATAATATTAGTAATTGCAATTACTTATTACTTGGTATATTTATATCAAATTTTATGATTATAAAGATTTAGAATGATATGTATGGTTAAAACTATCAAATTTTATGACTATAAAGATTTAGAATAATATGTATGGTTAAAACAAACGTTAGTAATGTGAGAAACGAAAATAACATATTGACAGTGAATTATATTTAATAATTACTAATTAAAATTAATTATAATATTTTATATAACTTAAGAATTAAAATTATCATTAATTCATAATTATTGTCTTTAAATTGTATTTAAAAAAATTCTATTAAAATTTATTTTATATAAAAATTTTATATGGATAGTTATACACTTTTACAAAAAAAAAATAACAAATTTGCTATAAGTAACATTTAATAAAAATTATTTACATTTACAATAAAATTTATTATTATTAAACTTTAGAATGCTTAAAATAACTTACAATGTTATTAATTGCAACTACTTATTACTTTATATATTTATATTAAATTTTATGATTATAAAGATTTAGAAAAATATGTATAGTCAAAACAAATGTTAGTAATGTGAGAAATGAAAATAACATATTAACTATGAATTATATTTAATAATCATTCATTGAAATTAAATATAATATTTTGCATAATTTAAGAATTAAAATTATCATTGATTCATAATTATTAACTTTAAATTATATTTCAAAAAAAATTATAAAATTTATTTTATATAAAAATTTTATATGAATAGTTATACACTTTTAAAAAAGTTAATAACAAATTTGCTATGAGTGATATTTAATAAAAAAATTTAAATTTATTAAATATTAAAAATAAATTAAAATTTATTGTAAAATATTTAAAAAAAGAAAGAAATATTAAATTTCATAAAAATTGAATAAAATTTTCAAATGATATGATTTTTTTTTTACTAATAACTCAAGTCAAAACAAATGTTGGTAATGTCAGAAACAAAAATAGCATATTGACTATGAATTATATTTAATAATTATTTATTAAAATTAATTATAATATTTTATATAATTTAAGAATTAAAATTATCATTGATTTATAATTATTATTTTTAAATTATATTTAAATTTTTTTATTAGAATTGATTTTATGTAAACATTTTATATAGATAATTATACATTTTTAAAAAAGACAATAACAAATTTGTTATAAATGATATTTAATAAAAAAAATTTAAATTTAATAAATATTAAAAATAAAAAAATTAATTGTAAAAACTTAATTGTAAAATATTAAAAAATAAGAAACAAATATTAATTAAATTACATAATTTTTTTTTTTTAAAATTAAATGAAGTTCTCAAGTGAAATGATTTTTTTTTTCTAATAATTCAAGTGATATGTTAATGACAAATAAAATTATATCTTATATTTAAATTTGAATGTATTGATTTAAATTATTATTTTATATTATATATTATTAAATTATATTTATGATAAAAAATAAATAAATTATAATACAAATGAATTTTTTTTATGATACGTAATTTTTGAAAACTTTCTAAATTTTTTTTTATCATCTTACTTTATTTTAGAATCATGTCAACATTAGGAATTATTTATCTTATTAAGTACATATATTATTAATATTGATATTTTATATTTTATTTTTATTAAATTATATTCATATGTTTTATTTTAATTTGTTGAATAAATATAAAACTATATTATTTTTAAGTGATATTATTATTAAATTTTATTTTTAACTAATTAAATTATATCAATTTTATTAATAATTATTTACTAAATTAATCTATAATATTATAAATTTATATTATCTAAAATTATATCATATTTTAAATTTTATAAATAAAAATATTTATAATTATATTTCAAAAATAATTATAAAAAATAATATAATTTCATGTTGTGAATATATTTTTTAAAGATTTTTTAAATTTAATTAATAAAATATAATATTGTTAAATTTAATTATATTTATAGCACTCATAAAAAAAATTTATAATTAAATTTAATTAAAATTAATAAATAAATTTATATAAAATTGACTACATCTACTTATTACTATATATTATTTGTTTTAACATTGAATTAGAGCTCTTTAACTTTTTAATATTTATTTCACATTTTAAATATTTTTCTTATAATTATTAAAAAAATCTACTATCAAATAAAGACATAAATTAATTTTTAAAATATTATAAAAATATTTTTTTATAATTTTAATATTAATGTTTTAAACTATATTTATTTATTAATATTTTATATTCTAATTATGTGATTATTAATTTTTTTTAAATATTCAATAATGTAATGGATTTACAATTTATTCTTCAATTATAAACTAAATTATACTTAAAATATAAAATAAGATAAATAAATACTTTTGTATTGATATAATTATTTATATTATATTTTTAAATTTAATACTAATTTAAAAGTTAAAAATATTTTAAATTAGAGTTATTAATTATTATTATACATTTACTTATTATAATTCAAATTTAAATATATTTAAAATCATAAATTAATAATCTTATACATCATTCATGTTATTTATTTCAATTCTTAAAAAATAAAAATTAAACTTTGTTTAAATAGATTTTACTTAAATATAATTATTTATTAAAAAAATATTTTTTATTATATTTCTATTCATTGGTATATACTTTTTTTATATATATTTATTTTTATTTTAAAATATTTAATAACAATAATAATATAATAAATTTATTTTATTTATATTTAAAAATAATTAAAAATTTTACTGTTTATTCATGTTTTCTTTAATTTATTTTTTAAAAAATTTTTATGTTTATATCAACTAAATAAATAACAATTTTTATTATTGAAGAGGATGAAAAATATATAAAATATATGAAAATATTTATATATAAAAATATATTTATCATATTTTTTTAATATAATTATATTTAATATTATTTAATATAGTAATATTTTATTATTATATATTTTTATATTTAAATTATAATTTTTGTTTATTTTAAAATAAATTAATTTAATAAAAAAATATAAATAAATTTGTATAACACACAATTATATTTACTAATTTATAATTAAATTATTATTAATATTTAGAATATTTAAAGTTATATATAATTTAAGTTTAACTATTCTATTTATTTTAATATATAATTAATTTTAAAAAATAATCAAAGTTTTTATTTTTTTGTTACATTAAAAATAATTACTATTTGAATTATATTTATTTTAATATATAATTAATTAATAAAAATAAAAATATATTTATATAAATCTATACTTTGGATGGATATATTTATTAGTTAATATAATTTTTTGACACCTTTTAATTTTTTTATATATTAAAAACTATTTTGATTTAATTTCGAATTTAATGAGTCATACACATAATTTTATAACTTTTAATTACAGAAAAATTTATAAATTAATTTATCTTTTATTTCCTGTAATTATTTTAATTATTTAATAAAAATATTAATTTTTTAGATTTTATATATAACATTTAATATTTAATTTATAAAATATTAAAAGAGTATTAAAAAAATAAGTAGAAATATATTCCAAACTTTTCTAACACTTGAGTTTTTTTTTTAGAGCAATTGCTTGAACTCATTTTTGAGTCCCGCAGAATTAACAAACGGCTCAGATCTATTCATCTGAGGGTTTAGTATGTGGTAGCATCTATAAAAGTTAGAGGAAGCCTTCAAACCCTAACTCATCGCTACTGTGACTGCGCACTTCCTCACAATGGGTACTTCCTCTGTCCATTTCCTCCCTTGCTTTTACATTTGTTTTCTTATGAATTTGGTTTGAATCTTCTCTTTCGACGTTAAACTTGGTTCATAGAGTTCACAGTCATGTCGTGCATGCTAAGATGGACCTAGTTTCGCTTCATTTTGCAAGTTTTTTCGGTTTTGATAGTAAGATTTTAGGGACTGTAAGGTGTGGAAAATTGGTTAGGGAATGCGAGCATTTTGTGAATGACAGTGTTTCCATTTCATTTTTTATTTTGGATTTTTTATTGATTTAGTTGGTTGCACTAACCAGATTTTAAAATTTATGCAATTTTCTAGTGGTTATAGTCAAGTTTGCCCCATTTATAAACCTAAATGAAATGAATTATTGATGATATACGTAACTTTCAGGGGTTTTATAGTGACGTTTTGTCACTTGTTCCGATTTGGTTTTTGTAAGAATGTTGTTTATTCATTATGATGGCTTTGCTTGCTGTCATATTGTTTGACTATTCAAGTGAAATTAGGATTTAGTTGTGTTGGAATGAGTGGGGATTGATGAATTTTGTTGATTTATGTGTCCATAGGTGCCTACAAGTATGTTTCGGAGCTTTGGCGCAAGAAGCAATCTGATGTTATGAGATTCTTGCAGCGGGTGAGGTGCTGGGAGTATCGTCAGCAACCTTCTATTGTCCGTGTGACAAGGCCTACTCGCCCAGACAAGGCACGCCGTCTGGGGTACAAGGCTAAGCAGGTGAGTAAATTTTTGTTTGTTTGATATGATTTATAGCTGTTTATTTCTTTGTGTTCATTGACCTGCTAATTTTGTTTTCATTTTAAATGTCAAGAGTTGTATAATTTATTAGTTACTTTTTTCCTACTGTTTTCTGTCATTTTTTCTTGGGGCTTCTTAGCTGGGAGTGTTAATCTTTAAATAAATATAAGTCTTAGCTGGAAGGGAAACCCCCAATAGCCAAAGCAGGGAGGATTAGATGTAGTTCTGTATTTAATTTGTTTCTGAAAAAGGTGACAACTGCTCAGTACTATTAAAACGATATACAGAATGAAGCTAAGACATTGACTTTGGTAAATTTCTATGTAAGTATTCTACAACAGAGTGCTGGCTAAGCTGCGTCCTGATGCATATATATTTTCCCCTTGGGGAACTTGCATATGTACAAATGATTGGATGCTTCCTGATGCCAGCTACAGTAAAATAAGCAGTCGATTATCTGACCAAGCAAATTTTCTTCTTATCAAATTTGCTTTTGTAACAATCTGATACAGTTTTTTACCATTTTTATTAATTATTACTTAATAGGAAGAGCCTGCGATTGTGTTATATTATAAGTAGGTGAAATTTTTTTTATTTGTTTGACATGATTTTTAGTGATTTATTTTTCTGTGTTTACTCATGATAGTTTTGTTTGCATTTTAGTTATGAGAGTTGTATAATTTATTTAGTTTTTTTTTTTTTTTACTTTTTTGTGTCATTTTTTCCTTCTTGCTTCTTAGCTGCAAAGTTTTGCCCCAATAGCCAATGCAGTGGGAATTATATGTAGTTCCTTTCTTGTTTAATGAAACAAACAATGCGAAAAATGAATCATTGAGAGGAAGTTTCTATGAGTGTACAAGACAACAGTGTTAAGCCCTTTAGCGGTTAAACTTGCATATGTACAAATGATTGGATTCTTCTTCAGACCAGCTATAGTAAAGTGAGCAGTTGATCAGAGACTAAGCGTATTTCCTTACTAAATTTGCTGGTGTATCAATCTGACGCAGCTCTTCCCTATATTTATTAACCCGTTAATTGAGAAATGCATAGCTTGTGCCAGTCCTTGTATAGCAGTCTCACCTTGCTTCATTTGTTGTTTTCTGATCTTGATTGTGGTTATATTCTATAACATTCCAGGGTTATGTGATATACCGTGTTCGTGTTAGAAGGGGTGGCCGTAAGAGACCAGTTCCCAAAGGTATTGTTTATGGGAAGCCCACAAATCAAGGTGTTACTCAACTCAAATTTCAGCGAAGCAAGAGGTCTGTTGCTGAGGAGCGAGCAGGGCGGATGCTGGGTGGCCTCAGGGTCCTCAATTCGTACTGGGTGAATGAGGTTTGATATCATACCATTGATGAAATTGAAAGCTGGTTATGATGAATTGCTGGCTATCGAGCTTGACGCAATTGTTGTGTGTTACAGGACTCAACTTACAAATATTTTGAGATCATTCTGGTGGATGTTGCCCACAGTGCTATAAGAAATGATCCAAGGATCAACTGGCTCTGCAATCCAGTCCATAAACACAGGGAACTGCGAGGCCTCACTTCTGCTGGGAAAAGCAACAGGGGTTTACGGGGCAGAGGGCATCTGTACCACAAAGCACGTCCATCCCGCAGGGCAACCTGGAAGAGAAACAACACCCTTTCCCTTCGCCGCTACCGCTGATTTTATTGCTGTTATCTTATGTGGCTTCATTTTCCGAATATTTGGAGTGCATTATATTTTGACTTTGGAAATCGTCAAAATTTTGAACGCCTGAATCATGTCTTTTTTTGCGAATCTCGTCTTAGGGGTAAAATAGCGGAGATTAATGATCTAAGTTTTCTATTATATGCCAGAATTGTTTTCTTCTATATCTTTGTCGATCTTATAATCGTAGCAATTCTCGTGCTATGATTCATTTGGTATCTTTTTTTTTTTATCTTGTTTAATGGTTTTGGTAATTACTTACCGCGTTGCGATTGTCAAAGAAAATGATAAAGGTTCTTTTTCCGGGTAAAGGCAAAGTTTTAGACACAGTTTAGAGTTGGAAAGAGGAATGATAGTAATTTAACGATTTCGGTAAATTGCGAATGAATAATGTTTTGAAGTGTGATTTCATTTTGAATTAATAATAATGTGTTCGAAGTGTATTAGCATTTTTCGTAAAAGTTATAAATGGTAGTTTGATGACCATATTTTTAAATGAAATAATACCCGATTGAGTAGATTCAAGTTTGGTGAAGTTAATGCTGGAAAATTAAAGGATTGTTTGTACTCATTTTCTCCGTTCAGTTTCGGAGTTGAGTTTGGCTTAATTTGGGATAATTTAAACAGTTTTAGATTATCCAAATATTGATAGATGTGACCTAATAATTTAAAGTTATTAGTATTTTAAATATTACTCTGATAAGAAAAATAATTAAATCAGTTTTTTTTCATAAATATAAATTTTATTTTAAAAATTTTATAATAGTAAATGATATATATGGTAACTTGTATATTTAATGACATTAATTAAATAAGAATATAAAAAAATTAATAATTAATATATTTTAAATTTATTTTATGACGTGATATAATATATTTTTTAACAGTATAATAAATTCTAAATAATAATGAATTCTTAAATTCTAAAATAATGAGAAAAGATGAAGAAATTAAATTAAATAATAATAAATTTTTATGTATTAAAAAAATTTAATAGTTTTATCTTTTTATCGATCAAAATTATGTTCATATTATTGACTTAATTTTTATTTTTAAATTAAAAAAATCATAAATGAATGATTTAAACCATTATTCTTTAATTCATGTTATATTTTAGAAAGTATTAAAATCGTAGTGCCATTTTTTAGAAATATTATTTTAAACAAATAACTTGTACTTACTCTTATATATATATATATATATATATATATATATATATATATATATATTAAATAAAATTAATTTATTTCTCTTTATTAAATATTTTACATTTATTCATATAGTTCTCATGCACCATTTAACTATATTTATAACATTAAAATCATTTGATTATACATAACATATTAAAATATAACATGCAAGACCTTTTAAATATATAAACTCATATTAATTCTTATTTATTCTATTATTTTATGATCTTTCGAATATATAAACCCATTAATTTTAAAAAAAATAAATGCATTAAAACGTTAATATTAAAATTTAAAAAAAAGATAAATATGTTAATTACACTAAATTAATGCAATTGTAAATGTAAACTTCTCTCTAAAATTCAGAATAAATACATTAATATGTTAATATTAAAGTTACAAATAAATAAATAAATATGTTAATTACACTAAATCAACGTAGTTGTGAAAGCAAATTTTTTTCTAAAACTCATCTACTTTTATATATATTTATAATTTATAATTATAATTAGAAATTAAAAAATATTCTATTTTATTTTCTGTAAAAAAGAAGAAGATATTAAATTATTTTTTTAAAATAAAATTTATAAATTTATTTTATTTTATAAGTATAATGCAATAATTAGATTAATAAAGTTTAGAAAAATGTGTCAATTTGACACGTATGACGTATCGATTGAAAAATTAAATGTTAATAAAAAAGAAAAAAAGTCCTCACATGCTCTCTATAAATGGATCAGGAATTTATAAAATATACAACTGTCAAATATAACTGTGCCCTGATTTTTATTCTTATTTTTTTTGCTATATGTATTTTATTTTTATTGAATAATAACAGAGGTCCTTATAAATATATAAATCGCTCTGATAACCCAATTTATGAAATCAAATTCAAGTCATTTACTATAATAAATTCTTTTAACAAATAATATTGCTTCTAGCGCTAATTCAGCTCGTTAGCTCCTGATCCTAATTTATTAAGCTGTCAACTTTAACTATAAATCAATGTAAGTGCACAAAATATCCTTAAATAATTTGGATACACTAATAAAGTCTCTAATTCCACTCATCTCGCAAACCAAAATATTAAATTTTACCCAAAACAGAAAAATTCTCAAAATATTCTTTCTTTAAATTCTAATTTCGCATCTTATATTTTTTTTTCAAAATTTCATTAAATTTATAGTATCTAAAATTTTAAAATTATTTCGTGTCCTAAATCTATTATAAAACCCTGAATATTTAAATAGAAAATAAAAAAATAGAAATTTTAGGTAGAAATTCACAGTAAAATCAAATTTACTTGATTTTAAAAATAGAGACTTAATTGACATTAAAAAAATCATACATAAGAGATAATAATTATTTATTTTAAATTTTAAAATCTGTAAAATAATCATATAGGATTTTTTTAAAAATAAAATCGATCACTGTAGATCAAATTGATTGAGTAAAATTAAACGAACAATGCTGCGCTCATCGTTGCTTTATTTAAATTCGTACCACTTTAAAGTTCAAGATAACACAACCACAATTTAATCCTGGAAGTGGTAGAAACTGCGACTAATTGGACAATTATCCACTAGAAAAATAAAATGAAAACCACACAAAAGAAAGAGATTGGGAGAAAGGGCCTGACAATTTGCTAGATTGAGTGGTTAGGTTGTAGCAAAGTTAGAAGAAAGAACTTCGATTTCAGTAGAGTTTATTGTTTTGATCTGAAGGGATAATAACAAAAAAGGAGTGAAAAGAGAGAGAGAGAGATCAGAGTAAAATGACTAAAATCCTACACAGGTTTCAAATTTTCAGCAAAATTCTACAATTACAGTGCAAAATGTAATTAATAAAACACATCAGAGTAACTGTCTAAACAAGTATATGTATCACATCTCCATCCTAAAATTATATTAGAGCACCGTTATTTGGCTTAAACTTGCAGTTCTGGCTTATAATATTCCCGTTTCAGTTTACATAAAATGAGTTGCAAAAATAGAGGAGCTAACGCTACAAATAGACTAGTTTATGTGAAATAAATGTATATTTCACAATTCATATCGCACTTTTTCATGAGGGAGTGATAGCGTCACTTTGTAACAACAGCAAAGACAACAATTACTTTCACTTCCAAGTTGAAACACCTTCAAATTTTGAGTTCAACCATAACTTCCTCAATAGTAACAAATCGACCATTTTCTATAGAGAGTTGTGCTGCAACTCCCATAGCAACAGATATTAATCCATCTTGGAGATCTACACTGGGAACCTTTTCTCCTTTAGCTCTGATTGCAGACAAGAAGTTAAGGTGTTCTAGATAGCTAGACCCATGATGTAATCCATCATATCTGCAAAGGCCAAAATAAATAATCCAAAACATGGAATATTTTTCCATTATAATAAGACCCAATTTAATTTCATTTCACCATCTCAAAGCTTAGTTAATTGATGAAATATTTAACTAAAAATGAAGCTACCCACTTTATTCGATTATCCTCAGCTTTCAAAGTCTGGACACCGTCTCGCGCTGCTTTTCGTGTACCAAACCGCACAACACTCTCAGGAACAAGGGCTTCTCCCTATCGTAAGCATACTTAGTAACATATTGACATTTACCATGAAAGAAACTCATGCAAGAAAGACAAGTTGAATGTTTATTGTAGTTTTAAACCATGCACCCTATTGTTGAAATGTTAAACTGAAGCATTATTGATAAACCTCAATCATATCTTAATCAAGAAGTTACCTCAAGAAATACTATAAAACATAATAAGTACAGTGAATGGCTGATAGGAGAACTTCACCTTTCCGATGTCTCCGACAACAGATATTTCTTGCTCATTTTTACTCCCTTCGGCAAACATACAAAGGTCAAGCATTCCTCGAGAACCATTGTCAAATTCAACTATAACATAGGCATTGTCAATGATATCTGGCACCTGCCCAAAGTAAACTAGTGAATACCTAAATAAAACAATAATGCTTAAAGAAAAACTCCATCCCAGTTACTGCTTTCGCATAGAACAGTGACAGTATGAGCTTAAGTCCTTACCTGTGAACTTTGTAAAACAGAATATACCATAATCTTCATATTGAAAAAAGTCATAATCAGTAGTTATTCACCAACAAAGCACAAACACCAGGGAAACCCAATTCTGTTTAACTAAATCTTTCAAGTGCTCACTGTTATAAAAAGGTTACCCATTATACATTTGTCAGACTATTTGGTTTGAACTTTGAAATGCTTATTGGTTCAAGGGATTATGCATTATTATTGAACGGCTGAAAACAAGCTCGGTGCATATTCCCTTTTCTGGATTGAAGAATACTATACAGAGATTATAATCAGTATTAATCAAGGTATCATACAAATTACCAGACAGATTAATGTTTGAAGCTTGGTCTCATGGTAACTCAAGCGGAGTATATAATCTACCTTTCCATCATATATTTCGTCCTTGTGATTAACATCAACAGCTCCAGAAGCCATCACACGAACAGGATTTGCACCAACAAACAGCCTCATCAGATCAAAGAAGTGGCAACACTTCTCCACCAGAGTGCCCCCTGAGTTAATATTGAACCGATTCCAATTGTTCACCTATAACCAGTATCACTCTTTCAGCTGTCTCAGTAACAGAACAAAAACATGTAATGTAATTTCAATTAGTATAAATCTAACCTTAACCAAGAAAGGAAACCGATGCTCCCGAATTGCTACCATTCTGACACACCCAAGGCTTCCTCCCTTAACTATTTCTATCAGCTTTGCAACAGGTGGCATGTATCTATATTCCAGTCCAACTTGTACCAATATATCTGGTCTTTTTCTAGCAGCATCAACAACCTAATCCATAGTAATACAGTACAATAAATTAGTACATTGTCAAAAACATATTAGAGGGTCAAACAGCATAATTCAATTACTGCTACCTAATCGACATGTCCAATTATAATTAAAAAAAAAGCGCACACATCAAGTTTACTGTCTACCTTAACCATATTGGAAAAAAAAAAAAAACACAACATATTACAATCATACAATGAGTTAATTAATCTTTTTTTTGTAAGGACAAAAACAAATTCTACTCTATTATTTACTACGACAACAAAGAACCAAATATTACTATATTTATTTCTTTTTCTACTTCTTCAGTGCAGAAAGAGTACAGTACAAGTTACTCAAGGTCATTCATGACATCCCCCAGCTAACGGTAAGGAATCCAACAATAACAATACTCATTTGCCAGAGGAAAAACAGTTTATGTCATTTTTTATGCAGCATCTTGACTTGTGTATGAAGTCATACAGAATATCAAAATTCCAATGCCACATGATAACAATAAAGGAAATAACACAAGTATAGTTCATATCTCAATTCCTGATGGAGAACACAATAAAAGAGATATAAAAAGTTACAAACATTTTCCTATGAAGATCACTCATTGGTCTGTATACAAAATTACATTCTAAATGTTAAGCCTACAAGCAGCAACAAATTTTATGGGAGGAATAACAAACCTCTTTGCAGTGAGAGACTGTGGTGCACAAGGGCTTTTCTACCAGTACATGATGGGGTTTGGAATGATTGATTATGTCCAATAGTATCCTGTGATGGGTCATGTTAGGAGTTGATACCACCAAAACATCACATAGTCCACTGTCCAACAGCTCCTGGTGACCTGAGAAAACCTTCACAACTTTCAACTCAAGTCATTCATTCACCTAACTATGTAGCACTCTCTGCTTAACTAAACTATCAGCAAAATGTAAATACTGCCAAGATAATTGCAGATAGAACCAAAATATTTACCAATGAAACCTCAATAATTTTCTACATCCAAGTCAAAATAATAACAACAATAATATATCCAAGTCAAAATGCATAAACACATCTAATCATAAATTGTCAATATTAATTTTTGTACATCTATTTTAAAACTTACATCTATGATAATTTCTAATTTTCTTGCTGACAATTACACTGATAAAATATGAAAATTGAAGTTATTGTATACCTTGAGAGGCCAATTAAAGGAGTGTGCCAAGTCAAGAGCGAGTTGTTGTGAGGGAAGGTGAGGGTCAGCGATAGCAACAACCACTACGCCTTCGGTGCGAAGATGGTACAAATTCAGCAGATGTTCCCTACCCATCATTCCAACTCCTATGATTCCGTACTTTACAATAGACCCAACCATGGCCATCGATTCTGAATTCTGGTTCTTCTAATCTAATTTTACAACACCTCTTCAACTCTTTGGTTTGTCAAAAATCTGATAACTAGAGTAACAGAGATGTCATTCATTGGTCGTTCCCTATCCGACAAAATTATAATCTTAAATTCACTTTTAAACCTTCATGAACATGATTTTGTTTTAATGTTATTAATTGTAAGTCTTAAAATCCAAACATACGCTTATTTATTTATTTTATTTTATTTTCGATAAACTGAAAAGTTCTTTTTTTTTATGAAAATACATTAAGATCATTATTTTTTACCATCATTTCATGAATAATTTTTCTCTTTGATGATAATCTTTTAAAATAATTAGTAAATTTTGTCGTATACTACATTATTATTATATTAAATTAAAATTTTAAAATAAAAATACATTGTATTATTATTTTTAATTTTGAGAAATTTTTAAAAGAATATTTTTATTAATGATAAAAAATATTTATTATATTAAATAAATAATAAAATATTTTTAAAATTATAAAATTAATTAAAAAATAAATATTCAATATAAATATCATTATTCGCCACCAATACTCAGTACCCGTAGTCAAATTCATTATTCTCATTTTAGTTAACTAAAATATCATTTCTCATTGTGTACTTGTTTGGAAAACAAAAATGTTATTATACCATTAATATTAATAATAAATAAGTCAATAAAAAGAACATTGATAAAGAGCAAAAAAGGTAACTTAAATGAAGAAATATTCAAGGATAATCCAATTCCAAATTAAAAAACTTTACAAATAAAATCCTTTAACTTAATAAAAAATTATTTACAAAACATTGAAATTTAAGTTGTAAAATATAATAAATATATTTTGTGAATATGAACAGGAGTAATATAATACTCATACTCCTGTTTTATTTGTTGGTTTTCCTTTTCGTTCTCCAATGTAAAAAATATTTTTTAAAATTGGTTTTGAGTACGAAATTAAAGATTATTAACAAAAAAATAAATTCAAATTTAAGTGGTAAAATATAATACATATATGGTGTGAATATGAATAGGAGTGAATAATACTCATACTCCTACTTTATTTGTTGTTTTTTCTTTTCATTTTCTTAAGTAAAAATTTTACAAAATTAAAATTTTATACACTAATTTTTTAAAAATAAAATAATTTAGGCATTTACTAACTTATTAAAAAATAAAAATTAAAAAATATTTTTTTATGAAATAAGTTATGTCAATTTTTAAGCACTATGAAATGGAGATTTAGATCCTCTGCAATTTTGATAGAACTGTAGCTTGTAATACATTTTCATTTAAGCAAATTTTAATTCATTTAAGTGAAATATACAAAAAAATAAAATAAATTTTACTTAAAGCAATTTGAGAAAAAATAAAAAATGAAAAGGGAGTTAGGATGGAGAGAGAGGCTATGGCTGGAAGTGAAGGGAAGGGGTGAAGGAAAGAGAAAACTCGGTGGGAGAAGGGGGTTGAGATAAAGAAAGAGAAAGCAGAAGAGGCTAAAAGAGATGGCATTGTTTTTGTTTAAACAAAAACAAAATTATATGTTGCAGTTTCCACACAAACTACAAAGAATTTATTTCCCATGAAATGATGTATATTTTTTTTATAAGCTCAACTAACAAGTTCATATTATCTTTTTATGCACACGTGTTTACATTTGTAATTGATTGTATGACGTGGTCAAACAAAAGAAAGGGCATGCAAATTTATACTTAATTATATTTTTCATCTTTATAAATTAAAATTTAGTCTATATCATTAATTGTACTTAGTTAAGTGATGAATTAAATGACGAAAGTTTAGTTCATTATTGTCATGTCATTATGATATATAATTAAGTAAAAAAAATTAAAACTCATGCAATTTTTATAGTTTTTTTTTTCCTAGCATTCCTCACGTTGTTCTTATGAATTTTTCTTTTCATATCCACACTTCCGGCTCCAACAAAAGTCGCGTATCCTTTTTGAGGAAAACAAAGAGGACGAATGAATGGCGTCGGTCAAATGCCCAAGCCCCCATGGTCACACGTATTTGGATCTTCAAGATCCATTTAACCAACCAATTTTGAATTTAATGGTTTTTAGTTCCAGTTGATTTAATAATCCAGCTTGTTATAATTTGGGATAGATTTAGTTTTAGATTGAACTTGTAAAACTAGTTATTTTGCACGCTCCTATCTTTAGGTCCAAATTCAATTGCCATCGTTAATCTAAAATGGTCAATAACAACATCTGATTACCGCTTTATCAGACAGTTCTAAAAGCTAATGGCCATTGGAGACTTACTCCAAAGGTTCTTTTCAAATACAGTCGTTAATCCGTGGAGTAAAAGTAAATTATTTTCAGAGTTAAACCCCTCCTCTTTCGGTATAGTTCTTATTAACTGTTTAAATTAATTTATATATTAATGTAGTCAAAAACTCAAGAGTAGTTTGTATAGCATGCAAATTTTGTATGTCACACTTTTATTGTTTGCATACCCGCATTAGGTAGTTATCGCGTCACGAAAATAAGTAGTTCTGTTATAAGCCGGACAAGACCACTGCAAATATTTCCACTAATTTATGAGCCTATTAAACGGATGGTGCAGGTGCATTAAACAGCTGAATGAAACATCCTTGCATTTTCCACTTATCATAACATTCACATCCTTAACAATAAAAAAAGTGTAATTGTCAATTAAGTAATCCATTGTCATCAGCTAACCTTTCAAGACTTTTTGCTAGTCATATTTATTTATTTATTGGTGGAAGGAGGGAGGGAGGGTTTTTCCTCCATATTTGAAATCTCCATACTAGTACATCCTATGCTTCCTCTTTTAATCTAAAATTTCTTATTCAAAAAAATCTTGATTGTTTCATGCTGATAATCTAGAACTTCCAACAAAACCAAAATCATACCAATACTGTGATAGCCAAAATTTGCTGACAGTAACTTCTACAAGGACAGCTAATCTAGTCACACGTTGTACTCGAATAGAGCTCAAGGGCAAAATCTTTTACAAAAATATTGGGCGCTTAAAGTCATGTTGTTGTCAAACGTACTCTATCACCACCTCGAAAGCCAAGTGCTACATTGCACCCTTTCATGTCTTTCACAGTTTCTCACTCCAACACCACCTCAATTTATAAGTTTACTATCAATATATCTGGGTAATAAACCATGAAAACATTCACCCTACTAAATAATCGTGACTATTCTAGCTAATATGACATACACTGCTATTACAGTCTTTCTACATTAATAAAATAAAAGTTACTACCCTTATCAAACTAAAATGTCACTAACATTTCTAACAGGATACCCACAAATCTTTCAACTAGCAGAAGTTATCTATATATGAAATCATCCAAATAGTGAAAGCCAGTAACTGAAAGGATTCACATATTTGAAAGATCACTGCCTAACCTCAAGTTCATACTCCCTAAACCAATACAAATTCACAAGACTCGAGCATCCTCACAGAAAAAGACCAATTGATCAAATAGTCAAGGCCAGCATCAACACTCAAGTCTTCCTTCTTGCTTAAAAGTTAAAAAAAAAAATTAAATAAACAAATTAAAACCAAATCACGTGCATTGAAATTTTCTGTGCTACACAATACCGAATACCAGGAGTAAAGATGGGAAGACAATCAGCATGTATAGGAATTTAGAATCAGGTGAACAACCACATTTGGGATGTCAAAATGCATATACAATTGAACAACAAATTGTAGATCTGTTGAAGCCTCTAATCTAATCAATCACCCCCTCCAAACATATCCACTAAACCACAGGCTTCTCCCCTTATCACCACCATCACCATCATGTCTCTATATCAAATCAAAACCTTGTTCCTGAAATAGCAATCAAAATTAGTCCCACCCAAATACTCCTTCGATTTGATCTACTGACTCTAATTTGATGATAAATATAAAAACAACAATAATAATAATAAAAACACCTCCTTTTTCATCTCACTAACCGCAGCATTATAAGGAATTGGGTGATTTTTATGAGCCGCACGAAATAAAAATTAAAATAAAAACAAAGAATTGAAAAAAGAAAGGGCACACCTACGTCTGTTTGGAGTAAGAGGAAGAAGAGGGAACGCGCTTGTTACGGAACATCATGTAGCCGACGGGTAACACGACTCCGATCATCATAACGGCGGCTCCGATCAAGTATCTGAGTGGGCTTGGTGGCTCCACCTCTACTAAGCTTCTAATCTGCATCGTAACATTACAAATCACAATCCGATTAGTCCTAATCCCAAAATTGAAAACCCTAACAACATCATATTTGTCCCAACCGAACCGAACCAGATCTACTTACAGGCATGTCGACCAAACTCTCAAACAGAAAACGTTCCCACTCAGTGTTTTGTCGTTTGCTGCACTGTCAAGGTAAGGAAGGAAGCTTCTCCTGTTCTCTAACCCAATATATGAAACGATTTTGCATTTGCACTCTCATTTTCCATTTTTTTCCATATTTTTAACCAAGGAAGCTCCTTACGCCAACACGGATACGGCCCGAATACGGGTACACATACTGATACACGTATAACACAGTACACACCTTGTTAGTAAGATATGTATAAATGAAAATTTTCGTATTTTTATGAGTACTACATAAATTTTTAGGATTAAAGATATTTTTAATCCTTTAAAATATATTAAATTTTGTTTTTTTTATTTCTATATTTAAAATTAATAGTTTCATTTTTAGTCAATGATGATATAATTAATTCATATTGTCATATATCAATTTTTATACTACATGTTATTTTTTGTGAAATATACTAGTGACAGATTAAAATTAATATTTTTTAAAAAATGCATGAATTAAAACTAATAAAATAATTTCTAGGAATATATTTTAAAGAATCAAAAGATATTTAAGTAAAATCTTTAAATTATTTTAATATGTACATAGACATAAAAGGTTAAAATAATTTAACATTTAAAAATATAAAAAATAATTTAAAAGAGGGAGAGAAAGTGATGAAAATCCTTTATTTTGTTTGAAAGTTTGAAAAATAAAAAAATTAAATAATCTAAAAATCTTACTTGTGTAATTCTTACATGTTGCCTAATTAAAGAAAAATGAAAAAAGAGGACAAATAAAAAATTGATAAAAATCAATATAATAATTTGTTGCTTTAATAATCACCATTACAATAAATGAAAGAAAAAAGGTCTAATCACAGTTTGGTAACTTTGGTTACGTAGTTCTTAAACAAATTTAAACCATTTAAAAAAAGCACGAGATTTCTTCTTTCTTTGTTAAACTAAATAATCTTAACTTTCTATTTAACCCTTCAATTTCTCTTTTTGTCCAAGATGTTTGATTAATAAATATCAAAGCCCAACTCAGTCTAAGGCAATACAACAAAATTCAAAGAGGAGACAATATAATCAAATCCACTGTAGATTCACTTTTGAACTAAGTACAGATAAACCTTTATTTAATTAAGGGGTTGTCTCCTAGTTTTTGTTTTTGGTCAACCATTCTTAATTTTTGAATTGGGCCTTACTTTCTCCAAACCCAAATGCATTTCTATATGGATATGATTGGCCATATCTATTGAAAACATGGGCTAGCAGTAGCGGGTAGTGACCAAGGTATAGTTAATGCTTTGTGACCCAAACAACATCGTATAGTAAATGCTAAAAATGAACAACTTAAGGTAGCGTTTTGGATATCGTTTTTAGATAACATGGACAGAACTAAAATAATGAAAGTTAGATACACTAATATTTATATCTGTGTATTATATTTAAAAATAATAATAAAATATTATGTACTGCATCTTATATTATGTTTAAATATAAATAAAAAGAAAAAAAAAATATGAAATGACTATCTTACTTAAATAAAAATTATGAGAGAGAACAAAGAGAGTTAGGATTAAGAATAGTGTATATAATTTTACAAAATTATTTGGAATATTTTCATTTTTAAAAGTATAACCTCTATGTCTGTGGAGCTGGGACACTAGTATCCCTTCTTTTAAGAGATATATTAATATTTTTTGAATTTGTGTGTGTTTTTTTATATCTATGTCTCTCCAACAAAATACTAGTTAAATATAATACGCGTGTTTTCGTATCTCTGTTTTAATATCTTTATCTTTAAATCAAACATTACCTTATAAATGAATCATTAAGTGCAGAGTAAATAAAATCTTTGACCACTAAAAAACGTTACATCGAGCATTTTCATAAAGTAAAATAGAAATGATAAATTACTACACACAGAAGAAAACTTTTAGTGGCCAACTAATAAGCTTCTCATTTGTTTTAAAGTTAAAATCAGTTATGGTACTTATCAATTAAAAACACAGGTTCAAATATAAATATGTAGTTAGATTAATTTAAGCACATCTCAATCAGTCAATTATTTGAATTTAATTTCATAAAAAAATTACACACTACACACATGAAGAATATTGCTATCATCAATCCTTAATTTGAGATTATGCGTTCATTTTGTTCCAATGTAAACTCTGGTCAAATAACTAGTTAATTAGTTACTAAAAAATAAAGCAAAATTAATAAAACATAGATTAATAATTAATAGCAAAAAGAAAATCTTAGAAAAAAGGACTAGAGCAAGTAAAAAAGGAATCTATGGATGGATAAGCTTCTTGACTTTAGTGAGTGGACGATGTCATGCCAAACTAGCTTTGCCCAGGCAGATAATGCCTTTCACTTTCTCGCAACACTTTATACTAGCTAGGATGCCTATGGCAACGGAGATTTACACGAATTGATCAACTTCAGTTTTAAACTTCAATATTTATTTCAGCTTCATCTACAAAATGTACTTTCCCAAGTTTGTGAAGTTGATAAATTGATAATTAATCGAATTCATAAGATGTTTGTAAATGCCAAGTTATAAAATGGCATCTAAGATTGGTTTATTTGCATGAAACCACGGGAAGATTCAATCTTACGAAACATTTAGTTTTTTATATATATATTATGAGTCAAATCATGGCCAATTCCTTTACTCTGATGGAATAATACATCATATTGGTGCTACACAAATTAGTTTTGGGGCCACTTAAAAGCTTTTTGGTTCTAGCAGTAATGGAAAGTTGGATGCCTTATAATGTATATGCCATTATGTGGTTGGTTAGAAGTCATTTTCAGTTATTTTGGTATCAGATATATGTCGTGGACATCCAATTGTTCCTCAATCCTCATACGATGACACAGTCACATGATCGATTATGTGCCTAACTTGCACGATAACCTCTAATACTCTGACGCAACATTAGCCTAACTGGACCAATTGTTAGATGGATTTTCGAAAGCTTATGCATGTTAACTGTCACCAACAACAAAAGAGTAAAAGAAAAGAAAGGAAATGACACACCAATTGTATTCATGGTTTTTTTTAACGTGTGATGCACAATAAAAAGTTCATAAATTATAATTTTATATTAAAACTATAGTATTTAATATTATTAATGTATTACATTTTATAATACTATATCATTTTTAACAAAAATTTGTTATATACAAATTAAAAAAATAGTTATATCAATACTTATTTTGTCTTATTCTCTCTTTCTCTTTTTTATGTTTAAGATTGTATTAAAAATTGAGAAAATAATTTATATTTTTAAATTTTAATAAAAAAAATAATACTTAACTTTCTATTATATCATTGAATGTTTTAGTTTTTAAAGTTGCTTATAAATTAAGAAAGTTTTATTTTTAATTTTTTTACCAAATTTATTAACTCATAAATATAAAATCAGGATTACAGGAAGAAGTAAATTTTAAAATATAGGTATAGAAATTAATGGATATTGTAGTATTTTAGATGCCACCTATATTTGAAATCTATATTAATCTTATCAAACTTAAACATAATTATTTTTTATAAAATATACTCTTTTCAGTTTCAAATATAAACAAATCTAAACTGAAGCATGGTGATTTAAAATACAAGCAAATCTTAATTAATTTAACACTTTTTAATAAAATTATTCTTAAACTATTTTCATTTAATTCCAAATTTATTTTTAATCTTTTTTAATTTTCAAGATATAACATCAACAATTTCATACAACTTTTAAAATGAAAAGAGAAAATTTTACTTGAGACGAGTTTCCAAAATTTAAAATTTTCTCATAATTTTTTTTTCATTTAATATTAACACTTACTATAACAACTTTAACCATCAACTAATGTTATTTAATATTAATAAAAAATTTATATCATCTTTAAATAACTTATTTTTCTATGCAATAAATATCATCAAAGGCATATTAAAAGTTTAAGTTTATTTTTTAGATAAAATTAAGAACATTAAATGAGATTAACTAATTTTTAAGCATAATTTATTTTTTTCCTTACATTTGAAATCGAAAACAAGTTGATTCATTTATAAAATAAGTCCTAGTCTTTATTTCTAAGAATAGAACCAACAAGTATCATGTACATATATAAATACAGACAAAATGTAAAAAGAAAAAAAGGCAATCATCCATATATTTGATACATTTCACACATTTATATTTAAAAAGAAAAGAGAGATTTTTTTTTCTTAATCATGAAAGGTGGAAGTGGATGAGATACGAAAATATTAATAATGTGAAAAAATATAAAAAATAGAAAGTGTCAAAATAGCATAATTGAAAATATTTGTATTTGTTGACACCCCCGGGAATTGCAAAGGTTAGTGTCACGGGGAGCTGGGAATTAGCAACATACTAATATACGATAACGAAACCGCCCCCACCGCCGTCCAGTCTAAGGTCCATACAATGTTGTGATTATAGACACTGGTCCTTCCCGTTCACCCACTTTATTCCATTTTCCAACAACCCAAACTACCTACCCTTCTTCTTCACGACACATCTTAATAGTCTTTGTTTTAAATTAATATTAATAATGTTTCATTCATCGACAACAGTGCTTTGCATGAGTCCTACGAACCAATGCCCGGTTATTAAGGACTATGTCTTATTAAATTTATAGTATAATTTGTTTTTTGAGCTTCGTGAACACCCCATTGTCTCCGATTCTTTAATCAACTTCTACCTGAATTCATGGCGGTCCAAAGCACAATATTTAGATTAGTGTTCATGTAATCCGTTCTGCCTCATTGCTTCTAAGCTATCGCTTTTATTTGAGATTCAAGTTGCGGTAGCTAGCTTGGTTAAAATCTTCTGTTGAGATTGCAAGCTCTGTAAAGTTGGTCTCTTTATCTCTCTAAATTTTAATTTTTTTTACCATGGGAAATCTGATTGTTATATATTATGGATTCTCCCATTGAAGTTTATAAGGGCCTTAGTTGGGTTTTCTCAATGGATTTTTCTAATGTGCTTTCTAAAATTTAAAGTTTGCTAAGATGTTTTGTTGTATTCTTTTATTGATCACTTCTTCTTTTAGACGATCAGTTCAGTGAAGAGTTTGGAAAATAAGGCACGGTTTGCAAAGGATACTTTGGAAGTACTTATTATATGTTGCTGTTGTGCACAAACACTGAAACAGTACTCCGAGTCCATAAGCAACTTCTCAGCCGGTACTATCAAATCGCACCAAACTTTTGCCTTTGCCTATTTTAGCTCCCGTGAACCAATAATATAGTCTATATAATCAGAAGTTGGAACTAACCTTTTTTCTGCTTCTTGGGTCGTGTTATGTGCATATAAAGGATCCCAAGTTCTTGACTTGAGCATTCATTCGGTACTTGGTTGGAGACATATTGAAAGAAACCAAAATGGAAGGTGGGTTTTTTCCACCTCGCAAAATTGGTTCATGGCATGGGTTAGAGTTAGAGGATGTGCAAGAAAATGATGAACTCAAACTTGTCTCATCATTACCTGCCATACCTCAGCCACCTACCCCACATGAGCCAATGGAGTTCTTATCCAGGTCTTGGAGTCTCTCTGCTGCAGAAATTTCAAAGGCTCTTTTAGAAAAACAGAAGCATACTTTCAATGATAAGAATCAAGCCACGTTGCCAGAAGCTATTTTGGCACCTCAGCTAGTAGTAAGACACGCCCCTTCTCATCATGCAATGCCCATTTGCATTCATTATTTGATTGCATGATTTGCATCTCTTAATCTCATCATCTTCCATAAATCTAAATGACTATTGATTAATAAAAAAAGTGTTACCAAAATTACCGGCTGATTTCCAATTACCAAAGCCCAAATATGGGTATGTTTTGGGGTTTGTAATAGTGAACTCCCAAGATTTTTGTCTATAAAATGTTCATACAATTTTCAATATAATGTCTTTATTTCATTAATCCACTAAAGATGGGATTGTGTACTCCATGGATAACTTAGACAAACCCCCACATGATAAGTATACATGTTAGAACATTGAAATTCAAGTGTATAAAAACATGTACTATTTTGTCTTTCTACTCTTTCTTTTGCAGACAGGGAAGATCATACCTTTTGCGAATTGTCGAAAGATGGGAACTATTGGAAAATGGTTTCATCAGAGGCATCATGGGAATGCTAATATAACTGTGAGGAAGAAAGATAGGGCTCGTCTAGAAAACGCTCGTGTGCATTCTGCTGTGTCCATTGCTGGGCTAGCTTCAGCGTTGGCTGCTGTAGCTGCAGCAGAGGACTCTAGTGACTCTCATTCAAAGTTGAACCTTGCTCTGGCTTCAGCCACACAACTCTTGGCATCACATTGCATTGAATTGGCTGAACTAGCCGGAGCTGATCATGATCATGTGGCTTCTACTGTAAAATCTGCAGTTGATATTCATACCCCGGGTGATCTAATGACTCTTACTGCTGCAGCTGCAACAGGTTCTTGCTTAATGCCTGTTTGGTTTTTCTTTTTTTTAATTATTTTTTTAATGTGTATTCGGCCTTATTATAAAGTAGGTTTCAAATAAGCTTTTGGGTCAAGCCAAACCTTCAAAAAGGCCATACTAGCTCCTAAAAGAGAGCCCATATCAAGTAAACAGGTTTAGTATGAAGTAAGCTCAAGTCTAGTGAAGTTTAGCTTAACTCAGTCCGTTTTGACTCCAATTTTTGAAGATATGTTAATAGGTCTTAAATTGGACTTGAGTCCCAAAAGTTAGCTTGTAAAGTGAGAATTGTTTTACATTTATAGGTTCTTCTTTAATTATATTTGTGGTGGATATAGGACTTCAGTGATAATAATGTGATTATTTCTCCTAATAAAGAAAGCATTACCAATTTGAGAGTGTCTGTAAGCGTTGTTATAGAATAAGTTGTTGATGATTCACCGATTAAATTCGTTTTTATTTTTGCTTGACAAAATTAGCTTTGCGAGGAGAAGCAGCTCTAAAAGCAAGATTGCCAAACGAAGCAAAGAGGAATGCATCTATAAGTCCCTATGATAGGGTACAAATACCGCAATCTCATTGGCATCCTGCTTTAGAAAGTCACATGAGTGAACATCATCCTCCATGTGTGGGAGATTTATTGCAGCTCACACGAAAAGGTGATGATGACATTCTCCACTATAGTCAAGTTTTAATTTTAAAGATCAAGAAGTACACGAATATATACACGAATACATGTGATCAATTAATAGGAATTTGCTGCATTGGATTTGATTGTCACCATTTCTAAGACTGTTTAGCTTTACTTTTTCAGGTGTGTTACGATTGAAGCATGTTTCTGTTTACATCAACAAGAAGTGTCAGGTATGCTTAAATCCCGAATTAAACAAATATTCATGTGATTTCAAGGAAAGAATTTTTTAATTCTCCTTTTGAATTCAGGTCAAAATCAAGATCAAAAGCAAGCATGTTGGAGGAGCCTTCTCCAAAAAGAATAAATGTAAACATTTTCTCAAATTAAAAACTCTATCAATCGCATACCCATCTTTATCCAAGCATCCATTGGCATCGTTAGAGGAAAAAAAACTAAGTGCAGTTTCTCAAGGGCTTTTGAGGTTGTTCTCTGATTAAAGGAAAAAATTTAGGTGAAATTTTTTTATATGCTTTTAATACTGTTTGTCAACTAAAATTAAAAATTTTATCTTGATAATTGGGATAACATTAAATACAGACTTTTTATTGAGATAAAGCTTTGATTTTAATGGATAAACAACACTAAAAACACCTAAAAAGTTGCACTTAGGTTTTGTGTCCAATTAAAATTAAATCATATCTTGGTAATGTTCACATTGATTTTGCTAGTCTATCCATGATACTATTCCTTTCTTTATTAGAATAATGAGTAATCCTAACTTTGATTATTGTACTAGGTGTGGTTTATGGAGTCTGTGATAAAGATGGTGCATGGCCATACAGAAAAGAAAGGGAAACATCGGAAGAGTTTTACTTTGGCCTCAAAACTGCACAAGGTCTTCTAGAGTTCAAATGCAATACTAAACTCCACAAGCAGAGATGGGTTGATGGGATAGGGGATCTACTTCGTCGAGTCAACTCTGTTGAAGCAACAGAGCGTTCTCTAGAATTTTTAAGCATTAGCACCACCATATGACTTGTTTGAGTTGTATTGTATATGTATACGTATACAAATTATGTATGTGTATCTATCTAGCAGAGTAGGACAAAATTTTGCCAAACACTGTACTCTTATAAAGCAATGGGGTTCATTTCCTTCGTATTTCAAGTTCATAAATCATCATAACAATTAAAATGGAATTTTTTCAAGAAAGGGATGTGTAATTGAATTAATATGAAATTATTAGAGCCTGGTAGGATTCTTAGAATGTGGAAGAGTATGACATATATACATATAACAGACAAGGAAGATGAAGAGTGTAGAATTATCACAATTATAATCAGAAGCTCAAGTTCTTTATGTATTGTATTGGTGATGCAAGTGTGCGGCGGTCGTGATCTCAAATTAGAAGTGCTGATGAAGAATGCTAGGCGCCTGCATTGATGCACTTTTTTAAACACATTTTTTAACACAGTTATTTTGATTAATTCTTTTTAAAAAAAGTTAAATAATTCTGAAAAAATAAAGAACTTTAACTTTTTTTTAAAGTACTTATAATATATATAGGAAGGGGATTAAATTATATTGATATAAATTACATTCATTCTTACACCATCAACAACTTAATATAAAGATAAATTTTACTAATTTAACTGTTAAATTATAATTATAATTATATATTATTTAAATTATTTATGTTAAATTTTGTTAAAATTAAACAACTAAAAAATTATTATTAAAATTCTTTATATATATATATATATATATTATGTTAAATTTGACGTGTATGAATAAGGTATTAAATAATTTTAAACTAATATTAAATTTTATAAATATAATTTATGTGATTAAAACTTTTAAGTAAATTGATTTTAAAAATAAACGTTGAAGCAAATTAAGGTGGAATGTGAAAGCAATGATACATTTGGGCCGAAGTCAGGAAAGTGGCAGAGGGTAGTAATTAGAAGTGTTTTTACCTATTTAATACTTGTATTTATAGGCGTTGACGAGTTGGTGCATGAATAGATTGGGTTGGCGGTCCTAAACCCAAATAACACGCTTATGTTTTTGTCAATAAAGATCTCTAACCCACCCTTTTCTTGTTCGAGTGGAAAGAAAATAAATGAAGAGGGGAAAAAATCTTGAAAAAAAAAGGAAGAAAATAAATTTTGAATTATTGAGTAAAGGAGAGGAATTTTTTTTTAATTTTTTTTTAATTTTTTTCTCTTTCTTTTCATCCTCTCTTCAATTAAACAAAAAAAAAAGAAGCACCATCATCTGATTTTTTCTTCTTTCTTCTCCACAACCAAACATACCATTACAGCTTATTAAAAACCATTTAACGGAAAATTTCAATTTATTAAGGCTCTTTGAACTGAACCATAAAAAAGAAAACCTTTTTGAAGACTGCTTATCTTAATTATAATTTATAAATCTTACTAAAATTATTTTGTCTCATCTTTCCACTCCCAACACCATTTTGTGGGAATCAATTGTAACTAAAAGATAATTTATGAATATAACTTTTAGAACAAGTATTTCTTTTATTTTGCAATTTCTATAACTAATTTCTAGTCCTACTTTTGTTTTAAAAGAACTCATTTCTCTTATTATAATTTATGAATATAGCTTTTTGAATGAGCGTTTTTAAAAAAAATTCAAATAGAATCACTTTTAAAAATTGATTTTTGTAAGGATTTTGTTAACATTAAAAGAAATTGAGAATAAACAGCTAATAATAATAAATTTTTATTAGAAAAATAATATTTATTGTATTTTTTTATATTAAAAATTTATTTTTAAATTTTATTTTTTAAAATTCACAAGTTATCTATTCATTTAATATAATAAAAGATTTATTTTTAATAGTTTTACTCTTTTTAAATTTATAAAATGTAATAAATTTTAAAAGATCATAATATATATTTTAAATTGTTTTTTAGTTACTTTAATTTGATAATATAATACACAAGAATATCATTACTAAAATGCAAGAAAGGAAAGATAAGTCAAAACAGAAGAAAGCAATCTCGAGACCTAAAGTGCATGACACAATCAACTTTGAGGAAACATTCCTAGGACTTCCTTATCTATTTTCCATCAGTTTAGCACGTCACGCTGCAATGGTTCTACGTTTCTTCTTTTTAACGATACCATTTAGGAGAAGCCCCACAGTTTATTAGTGACTACCTTGGCACAAGTTGCTTAATTCATTTTACGAAATTAAAACAGTGATTAAGAGCAAAACAATTAAGTTCAGTCTTCTTTTCATGCTCATTTTTCGCAACTGAAGCGTGATATTATTTGAATTTTCCCAGTAAATGATTGAATACAAATACAGATGCACCCTATTTTGGTTCACTATCTTTTATTAGCTGTCCCTCAAAATACAACAGTCTTCTTTTCTTCATAAGGTAACACTCGAAGTTCACAATAAGATCTAATAGCCTTGGAAAGGCATTGTTTCTCAAGGTTTTCTGATTTCTGCACAAAGCTCTGCAAGTTATCTCTGTGGGAGACTCTCTCAACCTACAAATGAAATTAAACAATTTTACCCTCTGATCAATAGCCCATTAAAGTATATGTTATAACATGCATCTGCACAGTCTTTAAGTATGCTTAATTTACAGTCTAGCAAATGACACAGGAAAAAGGTTGCAGTGAAAAGTAAAAGACTCAAATATATCTTGGAAACTCGATCTGCCTGTAACTGAGCAGAAACCTTTGGTATTTCATGCTGAACAGATTCTTCTGCAGCAGTATTAATTTCTATTTTGTCAACAGGAGGGGTGCTGATGAATCTTAACGCACCAAATGTAATCTATAGTACTATAAAAACTGTCCAGAATTTGGAAAGATGTCAACCTTTGAGGCAATATTTTCCAATCATTAGTTGTTCCTTTTTTTTTTTTTGCTGTTAGTGCATTGGAATTGGAATTTCTACCCCATGCAAAATCTCAGGTGCTGCTCTAGTTGTCTTTTATCTTAGATCAAGAAAATAACAAAACTTGCTTAAGAACATCTACAAGGAAACCCATACTCAGAAAACATAAATCTTGCATGAGATTGATAAACTGAAAGTTAGCCTTGCAATTTAGGTAGCACAAAATATGTTTCTTTTTCCAACAAATGATGGCAATGTCAAACATGAAATGGTTTGGACATAACTATTCGAAGGAGAGACATAAAATTGCAAGATCGACTGGCACATACATCAAGACTCAAAATTCCTTTTGCCCATTGCACCTACACTTTGTCACTCTATCTTAGTGGCCTATCTAACTCTAGGTGGTTCTGGACTTCGGGTTTTGTGGATGGATCAGATGGCAGACGCAGAAATATTTCACAAATGATCTCAATCTCCAGCATAAAGTTTAATTAAAAAGTCAAGAATGCGGTAAATAAATGGAATTAATCATGCTAATGTCTATTAGCCTACAAAAAGGAAGCAATGAAACATGACCAACAGAAAAACAAGTGTAAAAAGAAAAATGATGTTCACCATTTGTTCTATTATAGGTCCTGCATCAAGCTCTTCTGTCACAAAGTGACTTGTTGCACCAATTAATTTAACACCTGCCTCAAAGGCCTGCCAAAATAATCTAGCATATTAAACATGTACACAAATGAAGAAAGGAATCAGACAGAGCACATAACAAACAGTTAAAAATTGCAACAGTTTAACCTGTGAAGGTGCAGGAGGGCCTACCTGTTTAGATGGATTACCACCTTTGAATGATGGCAACAAGCCATGGTGAATGTTAATTATATCGTTCCCATAGCTCCTTAAAAAGTTTCCGGACAATATCTTTGCATATAAATCAAGGCTGTAAGTATTAATGGTTCAATACTATCAAATATTAAAAATGGCAAACAATAGGAGATAATTATAAACTACTATCAGATTTTCATAAATGTAGAGTCAGTTCTTCCCAGAAGCACCGAAATTTCAAGAATAAGTCCAATTACCAAAACCTAACTCATTTATATATTAGAAATATAATAAATACAAAGAGACCAGGAATTCTTTATAGATATTTACCTGCATATACCTCGCAAGTACTAAAAAATCAGTATTCTGAACCAGCTGCAATATCTCCCCTTCACTTTTATTTTCTTTAGTTGTGCATAAATAATGATAAGGAATACCATGCCTTTCAAGAAAACGAACCACATGGGTGTTGGAACCTCTATGATGGTTACTAGTGAATGCATCAGAAAAAACAATTACAAAATAAATAAATAAGAGACATATAAATCAATTTAATTGTGTAAGTAATTAATGATATTTCACCTAATTACACAAGTGATATCCACCGGAAGTCTTCCATCCTGCCATCCATGTAATAAATCAACCAGGCAGTGATCCTGAAGCAAAAAAAAAAAAAAACAACAAAAACTTCAACAAATATCAATATTTATCCTCACATTCACATATAATTCTTTTGAAAACAAAAGAAGGCAAGAAAAGAGAAAGCGATAAAGCACACCTGCTTTGAAGCCAGAACAGCTATCTTATATTTAGGATCGAGAGCTGGCACTCTTACAACAGATCTTGTTGCATTGAATGTTTGTGAAAGCTTTAAAAAGTCCTCCTCCATTTGCACCCGTGGCCATTTAACAGGATCAAAAACAAAATCACTGGAATGATCAACACAAGTTAATGTAGAATTGTAGATGCAGTTACTTTTTTCTTATAACCATTCAAATGGCTAAAAGCAAACTAGTTGAACTCGACCTGACAGCATTTTAGCATGCATCGGATTAAGGAACTCCAACACCACAAACTGAACGTATCCACAGTGAAATCAGATTGGAAAATTTTCAACAGTAAGCGGAGTCAGCATTAGCATTTAGCCACACGCAGAAGGAGAGAGATTCCTTTCACCCATTCAAACGTTACTACCTTTGTCTCTAAAAAATAGTCTCTAAGTATAATAGTAAATTTCATCATACTTTTTAATGAAAAACAAAATAATTAAATGTATTTCTTAATTCTTGTGTGACAGTCTTAAACAACTATTTTTCAGAGACAGGCATGATATTGGATTTAGTACCATAGACACTACCAGTATTGTATTGGCATTTCATGTGATTAACCGCGGCTTTCATTTTGATAACTAAAATTGACAGCAATTACCAAGATGAAAAGTAGATTTTAATTGGAAAACAGCTTCACAAGTCAGTATGATTGCCTGTGTGTTACATGCTTCATAAAAACAAGAGAATAAGTTTACCTTCTAGAGTAGAAGACTTGCTTATTTTCAGGTACGAAAACATCAGCAGCAAGAATGTTACCACCTCTAGAGGCAATACAGTCGGATAGCTTAGCTACAATTCCTACTGCATCCTATTCACAAAACCAAATTCAATTTCCTTTCCAATAACACAATTCACAATTCACAAACCAAAATGTGACTTACGGGGCAATGAAAGACGTGGATTCCGTGGGTGAGGGAGGATGGAGGATCCAAAGATTTGAAGGAAAAGTACCTGTTCCTATTGCCCAATCCAACAACAAATTGAGGGACTCTTCGGACCATCGCCATTCTCTCTCTCAATCGCAACGTTCTGATTCAAGCGCCACCAACCTTCCACATGTTCAACCAACACCTCTCTCTCTCTCCCCTCCGCCATCTTATCCCTTGATCCGTTTCGTTGCAGTGTGAGTCATGTGCTGTTACACGACATGCCGTTTTGCTTCTTGTATTTCTTTTAATTAAATATGTTTTTGGGGTTTATATTTTTTTTGTAAAATTTTTATTTTAGTTTTTTCTTGACTTTTTGTATTTAGTTTTACCTCAAATTTTTAAAATCAAATAATTAATAAATTAATATTTGTCAATTTTTAAAAATTTATATTATTAGTGCTAATATTGAATTCATGTTGTTTTTTAAATGTTTAAATTAAGTCTCTCACTTCAATACTTTTATTGTATTTTTTATTTTTATTAGAATATTTTGTATACTTTTTTACTTATTTGCTTAATTAATAAAATGGCATATTTTTATTATATTTTATTAATTATTAGATAAATTTTAGGATATAAAACTTAATTTGAATATTTAAAAAACTATAAAAACTGAATGCGGGTCATTGAAATTAAAAATATCAAAATTATATATACATTAAAGTATTGCAATTAAGCTTTATAATAAAAAGTCTTAAACAAATTTGCATAGAATGTTGATCTGATTTCATTATTTGCTAAAGCTCAAAATCAACTTAGATATGTCTAAGATGGTTATGGATTTTAAATTTTGAAATATAATTTAAAAAATTATAATCAACTGAAATAAAATTGAATTAATTCTTAATTAATTTCAAAATATTTTTTACCTTATATTTTTAAACCAATAAAAGGTATTTCTATTTTTTTATAAAATATAAAATACAATCAACGTTGTGTCTCTCTCAAAACAAACCACAATAATTATAACTAATATTACCAATATTATTATTATGGACTGTCACTTGTATTATTGTTGTCACTAATTTATTATTATTTTACCCAAATTTATCACTATTAATATAAAAATAATATCACCATAAAACTTTCGACCACTAAACATATTTAAATTAAAATATAAAAATAAATTTATGTAGTCTGATTTTAAAAATACAATGCTAAATTAAAAAAATCACAATATTTTGAACTAAAAAATAGATTTAATTTTTTAAAAAGTAATACTTAAACTATAAAATATATCAATGGACCTTAATAAAGGTTTAGAGCAATTTTTAATTTGAAAAAATTAGGCAAGATTGAGTTGTTTTGGAAGTAATTCTTTCATTTAACTTGAACTAAATTTATAAACAATCAATGCTTAAAAAAAATAATAATAACTCAATAGAAAACGAAAGAGAAAAAAATAAAGTTCATTAAAAACTTTTATAATACCATAAAAAAGGAAGTTTACTATGTTATATTTCCGTTATTTTAACCCAATAGATAACTCAAACCATTGAAACTAAGGATTTTATTGTTTTTTAGATTAAAAAAAAATAAGTTTCGCATTTTTTTTAAAAATAAAAAACATATGTTTTAATAAAAATATAGTTTAGAAAAAATTATACATGAATGTCAATTATATTTAATAATTTAAAATTAATTTTAATAAAATCAATTTTATTTACTTTTAAATCAAATAAACACTAGTAATTTAATTTTTTTTATGCTCAAATTTGTACACATTCTAATGAATAAACAAAATTACATTTTTATTATTCTTTGTTCAGATTCATATTTATTATTAAATACTATTACAGGTGGCATGTAAATGAGCAGCTCGAAATTATTTACTGATATCCAATGTCAAAAATGGCTAGCAAATAAAGTCCATTTATTTGTAGATTTTTATATTTTTGCTGTTTCGTTCATTTGTAGATTTTAGTGTATAGAATTGATCAATTAATTATTAAAAAAATTGAACGGCATATTTACAAAATTGGTTTAACTTTTAAGACTCAAGTCACATTTTTCCATTCTTGTTGTTTTGCCATGCAAGTCATTCTATTATTAATAAATGTATAATAAAGTGGAAGGTAATAAAGGTGAAAATAATATCATTAATTAATAACAATGTCAAATAAAATCCAATATATAAGTCACGAAAAAAACAAACTAACATTGAGACATTTTTAAAGAAAACTATAGAAATATAATATAATATAATTTATATAAAATTAAAAAGAGCAAAAAAAGAGTTTATATAATACTCAAACCCACCATAATACCTAATATCTATGGCCAATAGATTAATCCACTTAGCAAACTTTGGTTGCTTAAGATAATTTCCCAAACATCAATTCAAAACTCATCATTGTGAGAATTTAAACAAATACAATTCATAAATCATGTTTATTTATAGTAGTGTTTTTTTGTTACAAAAGGAAATAAAAGACAAACACTAGATACATAAAACCTATACTCCTAAACTATCAGCCAAAAGAAGATGAGAAAGGTCAGGTGGAACGTTTTCTGCAATCACAAGCACTGCAGTTGGGAAGCTTCTTTTTTAGTCAAGTGGTTTGCCATAAAAATTTCCTTACCTGAGCATATGTTTGAGATTAACTTTTCATTCTTGATTCAACAATTCACTGATAAAGTATATAATACCATGATAAGTATGGAAATTTGGGGGTCCAACAAGTATTAAATTAGTAACCTCCAAACAATCAGAATAATAATTACTTTTAATTCTTGCTCCATGCAATACTTAACCCCATGAAAAAATCTCATATAATTATGTTAATAAGTTATTTGTATAACCCAAGCTGCCATAGAAACCAATGATCCAGTTGCCCTCTGCATATTTGATTAAGCCTCCAAACCCAGCTATACTCGGGTTACCCATAGAGCTTCCATTTACGTTAATTAAGAAGTTGTCTTCTGGTTGAGAAAGCTACTTTATCTACCTCTCTTCTCTCGAAATACCAAGTTGAGCAGACTTTACAATGTCATAGTCTAACTTTACCATTTTGATCTCACTCAAAATAAAATTTATAGACCCTTCAAACACCTAATGATCCCTCATACCATGAGAAAAAAAATATTAATTAAGAGTAACATTCATGTGATATTTTTAGTTTTCAATAAATTTTAGTTAATAATAAACTAAGCATTACACAAAGTGTGTTCTTAGCATTTCTCTTTCTTGTTTAATAGATCAATTAATTTTTTATGCTAAAAATACATTTTTATTAACACATTTTTCACTATTAGCTAAAATTTATTAAAAATTTCAAAATTACACGTGTTTTACTTTTTTTCACTTTTAAATTAATATTTATTTATTTTATTTTTATAGTTTTCAATAAATTTACTCTTTCTTAAATTTATTAATTTTAATATAACCATGTCAAACATTTAAAATTATTTATTTAAAAAATATTTTAATTCTATAACACTCATAGAATAAATAAAAATTAGAAAAAAATTATTTTTCAAAGTAAAGCGCTTTTAAAATTGAATTTTTTCCTCAAAATGTCAAGTGACTTTTTATATATTAAATATCAATTTTTTAATTTAATATCAATTTTATTTTATTTTTCATAAATTTTTAATTTAAAAATATTTATTTATTTATTATAATAAAATAATTTTAATTATTAATTATAATATTTATTCTTTTATCATTTATAAAATTTATTATTTTTTAAAAAAATAATATATTTTAAAATTTTTATTCAAAGATTTTTATTTTAAATCAGGAAATTTGTTAACTTCAATGTTAGATTAACTTTAAGCATTAAATATAGTGTTTATTATAAAATAACACATTTATTATTTATTGTTATGAAAGTATGTTGAATAATTTATTTTGTTTGATAACATTTTACTATTATCAATGGTTTAAATTCAACCTTAAAAGAAAGAAAATAATCAACCAAAAGTAATACATTTTTAGCCTATGTCTTTAAAATTTTGTTTATTAGGTTCAGCACCTAAGTAGTAAATTTTTATTTTAAAAATAAGTATTTATCATCCTTTTATAATTTAAATATAGTAAGATTTAATTTTTTTTCTTAAATATAACTAAATTTAACTAAAACATGATGGTCTAAAATATAAGTAAATTTCAATTAATTTTACCCTATTTAATGAGATTATCTTTAATTCTTTATAATATATTTATTTAATTTAAATTTTATTTTTAATGATTCTTTTATTTTAAGATATAAATTATTAATTTCATACAACTTAAAAAAAAACTCCTTGAAAATAGTTAATAATTTTTTTTATTGAGATACCAAAATAAAAAGTAACTTATAATTTATTTAAGATTTTAGACTTTATTAAATGTTTAGTAGATAAAAAAAATAAAATAAACTTATAGTTTTTTAAAGTTAACTTTTTGAAAATCATTTAAAAAAAGTTTAATTTTTAAAAGATAACTATAAATGTTTCTATTGTTATTTTTCTTTCTTTATTTTAAAAAAACACAATTAAAACTTTACATATATTAATTTTAATTTTTTTGTTTTTTTTAATTTTTTTATTTTCTCTATTTTTTCATGGCTCTCTAGTAAATTATTTTCTCTTTATTTTTCTTTATGTATACACAACTTTAAATTAGTTTTATAATTATAAAGTTTACAACTTATTTTACCAAATAAAACTTAAATAATTTTTTGTATAGACAAAATATATATAACTAAAAAGTTTATGAAAAACTCAAAACTCATATATATCTATATATATATATATTAAAAAAATTAACATTTATATAAGAATAAACAAACTCATGTTAAATTAAAATGAATGTAATGTCGTCCGTTTAAATACCAATCAATCAATATAATTTTTTTTTTTTTACTAAAAAGTGACTGCTACTTCCAAAACTTTAAAATAACAAAATCTAAAATTTTACTCTCATTCAAAACATAAACATCATTCTATTTCTAAATAACAAAAATTATCACTATACTTACTCAAACTTAATTTTTTTTATAACTTAATTTTAATATTTAATATATCAATTTAAATTATCAACTAATAATATTTAATTTTGACAAATCATCCTTAAATTATTTAAAAAGATATTTTAGACAATATAATTATTTTTTTTATAAAATTAAGAATATTAAACAAAATTAATTAATTATTTTAATTAGTATAATTTAGTTATTTTTGTTTATATTTGAAATTAGAGGGAATAACGTTAACATTTTACGTTTTTATTAAGAAAGTATTTATCACTTTGAGAATAAAAGAAAACAAATTCTGTAATTTTTAAATAAAAATTATTATTTTTAGATGTTTAAACTTAATTTTGCAGTTAACAGAATTTAATTTAACAGTATAATTGAAAAATTTAGTAATTATTTACCTTTGTATATACATTATGAGTAATAATTTTTGAAAAAAAAAACATTTTTATAAATATTTTCAATTGAAAGTATTTCTATTAGTTATTTTTTATTATGTTAATTAAATTTTTTACATTATATGTTTATTTATTTAATTTAATATTAAGTGAAGTCTAAAACTTTAGGGAGTTATAAATCTTATTTTACATAATAAAATATTTATTATTAATTATAATATGTTTTTTAGTTTATAAAATTAAAATAATTGTATAATAAAATTTAATTATTTATTTTAAAAATATAATTTGATTTAATAGTAAGGACACAAAAAAGTTCCTAGTTCCTAAATTTATATCAAACTTAAATAAAAAATTATATCAAACTTTTATTGGATGCGGATTCTCAAATTGTTACCTACCCTTTCAATTTCGCCACCTGTTTTGATTGTTTTCTCTGCCTTGGAAAAGACAAAAATGCAAAATAAATAAATAAAAAAACAATTCAATACTCTTTTTCTCAGCCAAGCCAGGGAAGAATAATAAAGGAGAGGGAAAGAAAAATAAAAATCAAAAATTAAAAAAATCCGCTGGGAAAGCGTCACACACTTCGCGTGTTGGTCTGTTTCCACTCCTCTCCTCTCTCTCTCTCTCTCTCTCTCTCTCTCTATTTTTCTATCTCTTTTGTCGCCGGAACCCTAATTCGATCCACCGGACTTCGAATTCACCGGTGAGACACTGGCTTCCGGCGAGGTTTCATTGACCTTGTTGGTTTTCTTATACTTTTTTCTTCGAAGTTTAGTTAGTTGATTTAGGTTACCCTCACAAAGCCTGAATTGTTGATGCAGTAGATGACTGTACGATTGTGGAATAGGTGAGATCAAAGGGGCTGGATTTCCTCGCCGGATGGAGGGAGGTAGCGTCTTTAGACTTTCTTCTTCTGGTACTGTTCATGTCCAACTTTTTTTTTTTTTGGGTGATATAGGGTGCTCGTTCTCGTTTTTTGTTGTTCTGATTGGGCTTGCTTTTCTTTGTAGTGTTGAATTTTTCGTTCTTTTCTTCTGATTAGGGTGGTTTGCTTTGAGATATATTTCCGCTGTTGTTTGGATTTTTTTTTTTTTGCTTGGAAATCGTGAGTTTTTTTTTTCTCACTGTTCGGTCTGCCTGGTTGGTGCTGAGAAGAATTGTTCTATATCTGCTTTTGATCCAACAAAGAAGGTGGTCAATCTATGAAAACTATTTTGGAAGGTTTTTAAGGAAGCCTTGTTAAGGAATATGACTGCTCCATCCATTGGGAAGGTTGGCGCTGTGTGTGACTGGAAGTGTAAACTGACCGTGTCACTGGTAAAGTGGACATCCTGTATCCATTTTTCAACCTGGTGTCTTTTCAATAAGAAATATGATATTGGTTACAAAACTTTTTACGAGATTGGTTATGAATTCAGGCATGATATCTGTCAAACAGTTACCTTATTTTAATTCTCATTTATTTATTATATTTTGGTTGATAAAAATGAGAAAGTTATACAAGCTAATGGGAGCAAATTCCGTGTAAAAATTATCATGACATATAGCAGTGCTGTTTTAATAAAACGGCTTGATTTGAAGAAGCCAACCTAGTGCTATAGTGGCAGTATGCAGAAGAAATTTTCTTACTCCATGATGATTGTGTTAATTATCTGTGTAGTGAACGAATGGAAACCACATGGATGGCTTCAATTAGTTGTATTGTATTTATTATGTACATCTTCTTACCACATTATACTATTCAAAACAGCATTCCCAGATCAGTACAAAGTCTCTAAACCAGAGAGGCATCAAGCTGTTTGCCACTGCTCTTCCCTCTCTATGTGCAGTGCCTTTTTAATTGTATTAGTTATAGATTAGATAGATTCATAAATATTAATCCATAATGACTCAAGGTATTTTGTATATGAATGTGTTTTCTGGTTTTTCATTATTCAAATATTTTAGGCAATTCTTGAATTGAGTCAATATTTTAAATTATTTAATCGCCAAATGTTTAATGCTGAAGTTGTTTTCTGCTTTGGCTTATTTGGGGTTATGTGTTACCCTGCTTTGTGTAGGGTGGCTGTTCCTAAGTAATCAATCGCAGCTGGAGTGGAGTTAGGTGGGTGGAGTTTTCCAGCTCCCAGATGCTTGTGGTGGAGTGTTTTAGTATAATGGTGGGGTGCACCTCAATTTTGGCCCTTCAGACATGGGTGGTGTATAAAGCAGTTGCCATTAGGGTTTCTGGTCTAGATCTGGGTGGGCCAAGGTCACTTTAGCCTGTAGATCTTGATCAAATAACCCATAGTGCATCCAGCCAGGACTGGAAATTCCATTTATATTTAATTGTAGCTTGTCGAGGAAGTTCTCTTTCTGTTTTGTTTTAGACAGGAGGTGCAGAGTTAGGTTTCTTATGCTCAAATTTGAACTTTTTCTTTAAGAAAACTTTTTTAGTTCTAGATAATAGGAAATCACTGTTCTTTTTCTCTAGTAATTGGCATTACTGTCCTTTTTACTTTCTTTACTTGTTTGGTTAAGTTTTCAAGACTTGTTATTGCTACTTTAATTCTTTAAGTAACTTGGGCAAATGTGAATGATGGATTTTTTTCTTGAATTTTGAATATTGAAATTTTTCTTATGGTACGTAGTTTTAAAACTATTAACAAGCAATATTAATTTTGTGTGTTTAAACAACATTATTGTGTTGTTTGATTCATGGTAATAAAAATCAGGATTCGAATTGTAAAATTGTGGATTTTAAGATTTAGGAAGGCTTTAGCGATTCAAATCACAAGTAGAATTGTGGGATGCTGAAATTGCTGTAAAATCTGGATTTAAGCATAAATTCCCTTAAATCATGGGATTCACTTCGATGCTGAAAGCCCAGATTTTGGATCTGGATTTGTGACATGGTTGAAAATAAATCCAAAAAGCTTATAAACCCTAACTGCACTTAGATGCCTCTTTCTTTTCTGTTCTTTTTCAAACGTAATCTAACTCAAGCAGACCTGGCTTCCCTAGTCGGAGATTCCCTTTGAACCCTAGATGCCATTATCAACCTCCAGCAGTCTGAGCCTTGTACTACTTAGTCTGCAACTAAGCATTGTGTGTCTGCTTTAGACGCCACTATTCTCTGTTATACTGCTGCCTGTTCTCATATTGTTGTATACCCTTCTTTGTTTTTGTGTTGGAATTAAAATGGCTTCTAAAGGGGCTGCTGGTGGTGGTGGTACTAGGTTGTGGCTAGCTCCGCTGCGGCTGGCTCTTCAACTGGGTTGTCAAGTTTTTCAGTATTTTATGGCTTATGCATGACATTCTTATGGAATATGGATTATGATTCATGAGTGCTGTTTTATTTAAGTGTTTTTAGTGATTTAAGTTTTTCCTCCTAATTTATACTATTTCATGTGCATATGTATGAATTTATATGCACATAATACATATATATGAATATATCATAATAGTCAATCTCAAACAGCAGCGTGGAGTGGTTGACTCCAAAAACACTATAGCAGCATAGCAGGTAGCAGGATGACCACTATTATGAAGTTTAAGTATACCTAATATGAAATTAATATCCAAAACAGAGTAGGAAAATAAATAGAGAGAAAGAAATAAAAAACAGAGAAGGAAATAAGAAAACAGAGAATTAGTCACTAGAAAATGTGCAAGTTCAACAGATGTTTTGTCAGAGATAAAGAAGATGAACTAAAAATGTCAGGGTCATGTCAGAAGTTTTGCCGGAGTTGAAGTAGACAACTAGAGATGATGACGATGACTTGAAAACATCTAAGTCACGTTGGAAGCTTCGCCAGAGATAAAGAAGATAATCGGTCAAAAGCCTCGCTAGAGATGGAGGACACTAGAAGCAAGAGAATGTTGTAGAGAACGAAGATGGGGAAGAATGAACCAGAGAGAACTGAGAGGAGAAATGAGAATGAAAACTTAGGGCTCACAAGGAAAAAGAAAATATCAGAAATGTAAAAGGGGGAAAAAATCCCAAGATTACCCCTATATAAAGTCGTCCAATGTTAAGAAAGGGAGGGCAAAGTTGGGTTTTGGCCAGGGATGAAATAGTGGCTGCTATGGCTGTGATTCTCCCGTGATTTGGCTGCTATTTGTGGTGCGATGGCCACTCCACTGAAATGCAATGCTACAAGCTCCTGATAGCGGTGACCTACTGTTTTGCTCCACTCCTCCGCGATAGTGGCCATTATAGCTGCTATTGACTACTATGGAATATTTATGCATATATGTGTATGTGTGCATGGATTTTGTAAAATCTTATAAATCAATTTAAGATTTTCAATCCCCTTTCTGATTCAAGGTAAAATTCCAATTTTAACTACCTTGGTTTGATCCATGTAGCATATTGTACCTACTGAGAAAAGACTTGGTTGTTGTTGTGGCACATGATTTTAAAACTGATAAGAATATCAATTTTTGGGATGTTTTACACATTTTCAATTTTTTCATTCTAGCTGCTATTATCTTTGTGGTAGCAGCCACTCCATGATCTTTTATGCTCCTGCAGTGCTTTTTTTGGGGGAGGGGGTACGCCTTTTGCATGAACTACTTTAGGTTGTTCATTATTCTAAATTCAAAAAAATAGTTTTTATTTCTTTGTATTTGTGTTTGTTTGCTGATGCATGGCCATCTGATGTGTACGTCTGTGTGGTGGTTCTTATGTACACTGTCTACCTCTGCTTGTGAATTTGTTTGTTTGTGCATGTGTATCAATTTATGAATATATTTATGTTGAATTTAAGAACAGTTGTCTAGTTATTTGATTTATTTCTCTTATTTTGATGTGCTTATTTGTTTTAGGGATACACCCATGGATTATGATGACAGTGATTTTCAAAGCCAGAATCTCCATTTAGCTGGTGAAGGGAGCACAAAATTTCCTCCATATGCTCTCTCTAAGTTTGATTTTGATGAAAGCCTTCAAGGGCATTTAAGATTTGATAGTTTGGTTGAAACTGAAGTTTTCCTTGGTATTGAAAGTAACGAAGATAACCAGTGGATTGACGTGTATTCCCGGGGGACTAGTGGCATAGAGTTCAGTTCAACTGCAGCTGAATCCTGCTCTATATTGAGGGCTAATAATGTTTGGTCTGAGGCCACTTCCTCAGAATCTGTTGAAATGCTATTAAAATCTGTTGGACAGGAGGAATTTATCCCTAGAGAAACTGTTATACAGGAATCTGATGCCTGTGATGAACTGGCATGCTTAGCTAAGCAAATGGAGTCCAATCCAAAACCTGATGATAAAAATGAATTTAAAGGTAATGATACTGATTTACAGCCCCCAGGCTATATCCATGAAAACTTGTCTGTATTAAAGGAGGATGTAGAAAGGGAACCGTCTCTGGCTGGAGTTTCCCAAGGTGAATTATCCATTGATGGAAGTTTAAGAAATGTGCAACCACATGATATGCATGGTAATATTGACTTGCCTGTGTGTAGGGAGGTTCTCTTTACTGATGGCAAAAGTAATGATACAGATCAAAGTAAAGTTGAGAATAAGGCTGATGGTTCTCTCGAAGAAAAAACTCAAGAGGGTTCATCTGCTTCTGGCATAAAGACTAGTATTACTTCAACTTCTGCACAAAATATCTCTTCCACTTGTGATGACTTAAATATTCAAAATTTGCAAGATCAAGTAATTGGAATGGGTGATGATGAGAAAAAATCTTTACAAATACCAGCTAATGAGCAAGATTTGGATTCTTCTGCAATTAACAAAGATTCTAATGTTGACAATCAAACTTTGGACGTAGATGCAGTTGAGGGTGAAGTGCATCATTCTGATAAACCTCCGTGTTCAATCCCCATAGAAGAAGCATTGGAAAGTGGCAATGTAGTTGAAGGCCTAGAGACTGCTGGAAGTAGTTTAGAGGGCTCCATGAGCATGGTATCTGATGATATTTCTGACTTGCAGAAAGCAGAAAGATGCAATGACGATACATGTTTCAGTAATTTGACTCAGGGCAATGCAAAGGAAGATGCTTTGGTGGGTAATCAATCTGCACCAATTACAAGTGACTCACCAAGGGTTGCTATTAAAAATGATTCCAGTTCTGAGGGGCATGTAGTAGAGGTCAGCAATTCCGATTGTAATACATGTTCTAATTTTCAGCAGAATGTGGTTACTGTTGAGAAGACATATAGTGAGAGCAGTGTTGCTAAGGAAAAGGAGTTATTGAACATTGGTAACCAGATGGATACAGAGGTTTTCTTAAGTAAGTCAGAGCCATCTATGTTTGCTTTGGGGGATAAAAATACTTCTACTGTTAGTAAGGGAAATAGTGATAGCGAAGTAGGAGATTTTTCTAGTTTAGGTGCAGTGGCTTCCACAAAATCTTGTATTTTGGGTGAGGCAACTCAATTGTGTGAAAACAGTGATCATGACAAGCAGGGTGAAAATGAAAACTTTTGTCAAGAGGTTTCTGTCATTGACCAGGAGAATAAAAAGGTCCCTTTTGATTCTTGCCTAATGCATTGTGATGTGGACCAATCCCATCTTGTTGATACAGGAGTTAGTTCTTCATCTATTAATGCTGGTACAACGGAAATTTCGATGACAACTCCCCCAGTATCAGTTGATGGCATGCCTGTCAATAATTCAGGTACGTTATATAATTTAAGAAAATAAAGTTGATTCAATATATTATAAGGATAGGATCTAACTCATTATAGGTTTAACTGTTTAACAAGGTTCCTTTTCATCTTACTTTTCAGCTTCACAATGTATATCAGAAAATATTAGTTCAACATCCTGTGAGATAGTGAATGTTCCGCCTGCGCCTAGCAGAGTTGGGTCCACACATGAAGTTGCAGATCACTATGAAGTTCAAGGAGTGATGCTTGTTGGGTCTGCTTCTATTGTTGAAAAGGAAGACTCTAAAGCTAAAATAGTAGATGAAGCAAGCATGTCTCTTCCTGTTGGGTCTTCTGAACAGGAAACTGCTCCTTGTCCTGTAACTGGAACTCAAAAACTAGATTTTTCTGTTGCGTCTAGGCAACTGTTGGATGAGACCTTAAGCAGTTGTGTGATTACTGCTACTGAGAAGATTGATGAACCTCAAGAAACACTAAGTGATAAGGTTCATCAAGAATGCACAAAAGAGGATGGTGTATCTGCTGTTCTGTGGGAATCAGTTGAGAAACAGGTTGATGAAGTTGCAGTTTCTTTTACTGAGGATGACAAGGAGGCAACACAAGAGAACCATGACAAGTCATCCTCAAAAATATCAGGTATTCTTTAATCTAGTCTTGTCCATTTTTGTGATTCCTTTCGAATTCCGTGGTTTGTTATATAAGATTTATGTGTCCATTCTAGAGCATGGGAAAAAACTATTACATGATATATTACTCTAATTATGCAAATTTCTCTTCTTTCCTCTAATTAAATGATTTTAGTAAATTTTCGCTTATGTACTCATTTTTGTGACTGTTGATTATGCTATATAACTTTTAGGAAAGCATTGTCATTATGTATCAATTCATGAAATATTATGTCAATAGAGTTTCATTATTCTTTAAAGTGTTTATTGTTACAATATAAGAAATTTCATTCCTGTGTTTGTTCTGTCCTTTTGTTAATTTTAGTACTCTTAATGAGGCTTTTGCAAAATAATTATCAGTTTTTTTTTAGGATGCTTGACTATTCTGTTTAAAAAAGTGGCTTTGTGGTTTCTCAGACGTCAAACTAATTGTACACTGTGAAATACCTAGTCGTCGTGTCTGTGGAAGATTTTTACTGCACCACTCAGAAAATTACTAGTGTACCCTTGTTTTGGCTTCATTGTGGATTGAATCTCTGGTTTGACTATTGCTCTAATAATCAACTTGGGCTTATAGGACTTGTCCCTTTTTTTCCCATAAGAAACTAGAAAGCAATACATGTGTATGTATGGTTAAGATGAAAACGATGGGGGTAAGGGAAAATGGAGTTTTAGATCAAGGGAGAAGAGAAAATGAAGTTTAATAATTTAGTAGTATTTATATATGATATCCTGATAGATTTTTCTGTAACTGCTATTAGTTTATTGAAAAAAAGCTTTTGACTGAACTGAGAACTGCTCGGAACCAAAAGTGAAAACAAAAAACTATCTTTCTGTGCTATATTGTTCCCTCCTTTTTCCTTTACCAACAATAGGAAAAAAGTATGAAAGGCGTCAAGTGGTTGAGTTGTTCTACCCATATAATATATAATCAATATTACATCAGCCTTTAAATTTAAAAAATGGAATTCCAAACTAGTACAGTTTAGAATTTGCTGAGCGGAATATATGATCCTGGGCCAACAAACACAAGATTGATTATATGGGCAGTTAGAACTTGGAAGTGCTCTTTAATTTTCAAAATAATTTATATAATAGACAATGCTCATTCAAAAATGTTTTGTGTTGTGAACTTATGATGTCCCCTCATCTCAAAAACTGGGAACTTCAAATCCCTTTGCGTATGAACTATGAAGGAGGGTTCTTGAAATGAAGGCCTTCAATGAAGCATCCTTCCAAATGCAAAATCAGAGCAGAGCCGCTGTTGGTAAAGAATGAGAAGGAATGATGTACAAAAGAGGGATGAACATAAGAGATGACTCTTCCAAGATTATCAGTCACTACAAAAATAGCAAAAACCTGTTCCCACAGGTTTGGATTGACTACATGGATCAAACTCACAAGTCACATGAGTATCGTTTGTGCCAGTCTTCTCAGAATGTTCATCCTGACGATCGTTTTCTCTCTTAATCACCCTATCCCTGTTTGTCGTGTGTGTGTTCCGCTTACTTAATGGTCTCTGCCTATTGCATTTGGTGGCATTCTCTTTGTTTTTACTTGTCTAATTTTTCAAATTACATTTGTTCTGCCGTGTTTATTCTTGTTTCTGCATAGTAGTGAACCTCTGGTGAATACAGGAAAATGTTTAGCAATTTTTTACTGCTTGTCCTGTCTTGTTTTAGAATTAACCAATCTTATGGTGGTAGAACTGTCAAATGTAGCATGTACAAATTACATCTTAGTTGTTGTATAATTGTACATTGCATCTCCTGTTCTGTCTGTTAACATTATTCAAGTGATTCCACACCTAGTAGAAGATGAATTAATTTTGTATTTGACGTTTTATTTGCAAATGAAGGTTCCAAATCTTCTTTACCTGATTCTCACACCGAGTTGCATGAAACTGGAAGCAGTCATGCCAATCATACTGATAATACTTGTGATACCTCTATTATAATTGGAAACCCTCCTGAAACTGAAAAGGATGTGAATCTAGTTAAGGCTTCTGCTAATCCGAATCCTCCTGTTTCTGAGTGCAAAAATAAGGATGTGTCAAACATGTCTACTGATCATGATCCTAAGGGGAATGATGCATCTAAAGATGAGAGAAGCTTAACTCTTGAGGTAAATCCTGTGGCAAATTCGTCCAAAACTGATGTTTCAGAAAAGACTACAAAAGGAAGAAATGCTGGTAAGCGGCAACAAGATCATGTTACTATAGTCGACAAAGCTTCAACGGTAATTCTTGTTGCAGTTCATAATCTAAATCTTAATGCACTATTATCTGAACGTTGTTCTCTGTATTGTTTATATCATGATTAGTTTCCCTGATATGCATGGTGGTTTTTTGAAACTTGGAAGATTTATTTGTAAGATATATATACACCAGCTAAAGATATACTCATTTTTATACCGTTTAATAACTTTTTGTTGGATTATCATAAATTGAACCATTAAGTTAAAATTTCCAGTCACATAGCTCGTATTTGACACCTTATTCATATATATCAAAATTATTGTAATATATACTTTTGAAATATATGAAGATAAAGATCCTTTGATAACAATCATATATATATATTCAATTTTGACAAAATTTGACACAAATAATCTAGGTAAATATAACTGTAATTCAACGGTTGGATTGATAAAAATTGTTTTCAATATCAAGTTATTAAATGTGTAAGAGTGATGTAATTTAATCCCTCCTCTATATATATATCATTATGCAGTGATCTAATGCACTCATTTTATTATTTTTTTTCTCATACTTTTCCTTATTATTGAAGGTTGTAGAGGATTTTCCACTGGTTTCTGCACTAGGTACTCCCAAAACCAAAGTAGCAGGAAATATCTCACTTGGGAGTCCACAAATATCTGATGGTGACACAACACGTAATGTTACTCAAGGTACACCTGAACGCAAAACTAGGCGAGCATCTAACAAGACATCTGGGAAGGAATCATCTAGAAAGGGAAATAAAGGAAAAACTTCAGCGAGACAGTCAGAAAGAGGGGATAGATCAACTGCTGTGTCTCTGAGCCCATCACCTTGTTTCCAGCTGATGCAATCCAACGAGGTGCAGCAGTATGGGCATGTTGATTCTGTCTCTAAAATGCCATTTGCTATTTTAAATGCTTCAACATCTAGCCTTCCTGATTTGAACTCTTCTGCTTCTCTACCTGTTCTTTTTCAACAGCCTTTCATGGATATTCAACAAGTACAATTGCGTGCACAGATCTTTGTCTATGGAGCTTTGATGTGAGTTTGTTAGCTATGCTGTATTTTGTTCATTGTTATGGATGTTACATAGATGTGATGTGCACATGTGCTTGTGAAGTGTTTCTTCATCCATTCCCACCACACTTATTCCTCACTTGACTTTACCAATTCCTCATAGTTAATTTAAAAATGGCAATCCAGTTTTATTGCTAGGATTTAAGATTTAATTGATGCATTGAACCTTTAACCTGACCTATTTTCTGCTTGTTCAATCAATATCATATCTTAAGCTAAGGGAAAGGTTGGACAAGTGTACCTTCATGAGATAGTAATTTACTAAGGCAGCTTGATATGATCTATACTGTTGGGTATGATAATCATTTTGTGCCAATTAATTATCTTATTGTTTTTGATTGTTGCTGCAGTCAAGGCACAGTACCTGATGAGGCATATATGATATCAGCTTTTGGGGGCCCAGGTTTTTTAAACCATGTTCCCTTTGCACATTTTTTTCTCTTATTTGTTTGTAATGAAGTGTTGAGTTCCTAATTATTGTGTTTTTAGATGGTGGAAGGAGCATTTGGCAGAGTGCTTGGTCTTCCTGCGTGGAAAGGCAGCATGGTAATAAAGCTCATCCCATTAACTCAGAAACTCCAGTGCAATCACGATCTGGTATCCTTTATGATATTTATTTTGATTTTATTTTCTTTTTTCACTCTGGTTTGATTGTGTAACTATTGAGAATTGAGATCTGCAGGTCCTAGAACTGCTGATTTGGCAGTAAAGCAAAATGCACTTCAAGGAAAAGGCATCCCTTCACCTCTTGGCCTAGTCAGTAGCAAGGCTACTCCAACAATTGCAAACCCTTTAATACCCCTTTCATCTCCCCTTTGGAGTCTACCTACTCCCTGTGATTCCCTTCAACCTAGTGCCCTTGCAAGAGGTTCTGTTGTGGATTATCCACAGGCACTTACATCTTTGCATCCTTATCAAACTCCACCTCTGAGAAACTTTCTTGGACATAACACAGCTTGGATGTCCCAAGCTCCCCTTCGTGGACCATGGACTCCTACTCCTGCACATGATAACAACAGTTCCCATCTTTCTGCATCAGCTTCCACTGATACAATTAAGTTAAGTTCGGTCAAAGGATCTGCTGTGCCTCCTTCCTCTAGCATAAAAAATGTTCTGCCTGGTCAGCCAACTTCTAGTACAGGTCTACAAAGTGTATTTGTAGCAACTTCCCCTCTGCTTGATACCAACAATGTGACTGTATCACATGCTCAGCATTCTACAGATCCAAAGCCCAAAAAAAGGAAAAAGGTTGTAGTGTCTGAGGATCCTGGCCAGAAGGCTATGCATTTGCAGTCTCAAGTAGTGCCAACTCCTGTTGTAAGCAGCCATATACCTACTGCTGTTGCTACTGCAATCCCTGTTGGGAGTGTGCCCATAACTACTGTTGAAAAATCAATTGTCTCTGTAACTCCTCTATCTTTTGCTGATCACCTCAAAAGTGACTGGAATATTGAGAAGAGGATTATGTCAGATGAGTCTCTTATGAAAATTAAAGAGGCGAGTGTAAATGCGGAGGAAGCTTTTGCTCTTTCTGCTGCTGCTGTGAATCATAGCCTGGAGATATGGAAACAGTTGGATAAGCAGAAAAATTCTGGATTGGTCTCAGATATTGAGGCAAAATTAGCTTCTGCAGCAGTTGCAGCTGCAGCAGCTGCTGCTGTTTCAAAGGCAGCGGCTGCTGCTGCCAATGTAGCATCAAATGCTGCATTGCAGGCAAAACTGATGGCTGATGAAGCATTGGTCTCAAAAGGTTATGAGAGTTCTTACCAAATTTCTCATTCAGAGGGTATTAGTAACTTGGGAAATGCAACCCCTGCCTCCATCTTGAAGGGTATTATTGGAACAAATAGCTCTAGTTCTATTATTGGTGCTGCAAAGGAGGCTGCAAGAAGGAGAGTGGAAGCTGCATCAGCTGCCAGAAAACGAGCTGAAAATATGGATGCTATTGTTAAGGCTGCTGAGCTGGCGGCAGAAGCTGTATCACAGGCTGGAAAGATTGTAACTATGGGTGATCCTTTGGCATTAAATGACTTAGTAGAATCTGGTCCAGGCGGTTGTTGGAAATCAGCCCCCGAGTCTTCTCATCAAGTTGAAATATTGAAAGACATGACCAGTGGTCTGGTGAATATAGACAATGTTGGAGACAGACCGGAAACCTCTCATACATCTAATAGAGATATTTCATCTGATGAAATGCGGAGGAAGATTGCTGCAAGTGAGAAATCACCTTTTCATATACATGATGAAATCTCTCAGGACCATATGAGATCCATTGGTATTTCTCCAATTAATAATGTCAGTGAAAAGAGTTCGAAAGGACCAAAGGGCCGCAAGGTTTCTGATTTAGTCAATTCCATTGATGTGCTTCCTGAATCTGAGTCTGAAATACAGACTTCTTTTACTGTTGTTAATGGACTTGGAAATCGGGATGAAAATAACATCAAGGAGGGCTCACTTGTAGAGGTTGCTTTCATGATTTCTTTGTTTTTTTAAGTTGATTTGGTTAAAGTAGCTAGATTAATAACCATTTGCTCTCTTGATATCACAACAACTCTGATGATATGATCGGGTCATTGTTTATAATTAAAATTAGATGGATTTTTCCAATTTGGAACTGCTTTTAAATTATATATTTTCTTGGTTATCTGAAGCAATCATATGTATCAGGTTTTCAAAGACGGAGAAGGATTTAAAGCAGCATGGTACACAGCCAATATATTAAGTTTGAAGGATGGTAAAGCTTATGTATCCTACAGTGTGCTTGTAGACGATGAAGGTTGGTCAAGCTTATACATTTTCTTTTTGATGAGAATGAAATACCTTAACTACTTGACCTGTGAGACAGATTATATGAATTTCTTTTGCAACTTTTTTACCATTTGCAAGTGCCAAGATTGACTTGGGTTCATTGTGTGTACATTCTGGACTCTTAGAATTGAACATTGGAATGCAAAAGCTATTAAATCAGATCATATAAAACTGCATCTGATATTTTTCTGAAGGTGTTTGTCGTAGGTTTAATACATAAACATTTAATTGAGGATTAGAAAATTAATAAAATATCATTGTTTTCTAGGTGCAGGGCCTTTAAAGGAATGGGTTTCACTTGAAGTTGAAGAAGACCAACCTCCCAGAATACGTACTGCTCGTCCTCTGGCAGGTTTGCATAATGAAGGAACAAGGAAGAGACGAAGAGCAACTTTGATAGAATATACTTGGTCTGTTGGGGATAGGATTGATGCCTGGATACAGGAAAGGTGTGCTTATCTACAGTTTTAAATTATGATTATGGGATGGAAAGTGTTGTTTCATACTTGAATATAATAGTATGTTTTAAGAGGTATTTTTCTGTGACACTTTCTATTGCTTTCTTATAATGTTTTATTTGTTTGACACCACTCCAACGGAAAAGGGGGAAATAATTTATTTCCAACTTGCTTTTCTTTTCGATAAATGAAGAAACCAAATATGTTTGTTAGTAACTGTATTGTATTGTCTATTGAGTGCATCTAGTATTGGATGCTTTGGTTGTTGATACGGGAAAATTTCTATGGGTTCATTTATTGTAGTTCAGATGCAGATCAAGAAATTTGCCAAAGGGTATGAATTTTATTGTGCTGATAGGATTATTATGCTCAAAGCACAGTAACAATCGTTCTTGATATAGTCTTAAATTCAGAGTAACCACCATTTTGAGGAACTTTTTCAGATAACACCGATAGATACCATCTTTAATTACACATTTGGTTCCTTCAGGAGTAAGATATACACTAAAATTTTACAGATTCCACTGCCTTACAGAAACTTCAAAGCTGCCATGTTTGGCATTGAAGTATTATTGTTTTTATTACTGCAAATTTTTTGTGCTACGGCACCTTTTTTTAATCTATTTCCTATGTAGTTCTGTTCTATACATTACATCTATATTTCGCTGAGGAAGTTATTTCACATTTGATACTTTTGTTATCAGCTGGCAGGAAGGAGTTATTACAGATAAGAACAAGAGAGATAAAACAACATTAACTGTTCACTTCCCAGGTATGTACGTTATTTGATTTTACATAAATGTATATTGTGCTTATAGAACCAGCCTATTGGAAAGTCATAATCTATTTGGTTTATTGCAGCTAGTGGAGAAACATCAGTTGTCAGAGCTTGGCAGCTACGTCCATCCCTTATTTGGAAGGATGGAAAATGGATTGAGTCTCCCAAGGTTGGAGCAAATGAAAGTTCAACCCATGAGGTACTTTATTTGCAACCTCTGATGTTTTCACCTAATGCATGTCTTTACTCATTTATACAATTTGCTTGCAGGGTGATACCCCTCGTGAAAAACGACCTAAATTAGGTAGCCCTGCAGTAGAGGTAAAAGGGAAAGACAAGATTCCAAAAGGTACTGATGCTGTCAAGTCAGCTAATCCCAGTGAGTTGAGGATACTTGACTTGACTGAAAATGATAAGGTGTTCAATATTGGTAAGAACAGCAAGAATGAAAATAAAGCTGATGGTCATAGAATGGTGAGGACTGGTCTTCAAAAAGAAGGATCAAGAGTGATTTTCGGTGTTCCTAAACCTGGAAAGAAAAGGAAATTTATGGAAGTAAGCAAGCATTACGTTGCAGATGGGACAAGTAAGATCAAAGATGGAAATGATTCAGTTAAGCTTGCAAATTTTTTGATGCCTCAAGGTTCTGGATCGCGTGGGTGGAAAAATATTTCAAAAAATGATACGAAGGAGAAACTAGGAGCTGACTCCAAGCCCTCGAAGTCTGGAAAGCCACAGGGTGTTTTGGGTAGAGTGCTCCCATCAAAAGAAAACTCTTTATCAAACTCTCATGCCAATAATCTGATAAGTCGTACAGAAAGGATCAAGGATTCTGCAAGTCATTTTAAGAATGCATCTGGGAGTGAAAATCATTCGGAAAGAGCATCCTATTCTGGAAACAGTGGAGCTGGAGCTGGTCCAATCTTGTATTCATCACTTGCTTCTTCAACTGATTCTCATTCCACTAAAAAGACATCAACATCAAGGGCAAGTAAAGGAAAACTTGCCCCTGCTGGTGGAAGGTTGGGCAAAGTTGATGAGCTAAAAATTTTAAACGAAAATCCAGTGAAATCAACATCTGAAGTCACTGAGCCTCGGAGATCCAATCGCAGAATCCAGCCAACATCAAGAGTAAGAACATGGTCATTAACTGAAATTGATTGTTCTAGGTTGTGTCTAAATTTTCTCATCATCTTTTTGTCAAAAGTATAATCTGCCATTTCTATTCTCAGACCTGTAAAAAATGCATTTTTTATATTGTCTTCTGAGTCTGATGGGGTTTGACTTTGGGTTGACAGCTATTGGAAGGATTGCAGAGCTCTTTAATTATCTCAAAGATTCCTTCTGGTTCACATGAAAAGGGACAAAAAAACCAGAATCGTAATACTTCTAGGGGTGAGAATCTGTGCATATAACTCTTCGAGTGAGTCGCCTGCTTTTGTAGTAGCTTTGTGAATCTATGTTTTACATGTCAACCTTTTGACTGTAACAGGTAATAACCAGAGTTGATGGAGTAGTTGCATTGTGCCGATCAGTTGAATGACCGACGCACTCAGCATATATGTGTATATTTATTTACAGTAGGGAACATAGGAATGGAAATTCTTGTTTCCTTCGGTTTAGGCAAACTAGTTCTGTAGATGTTAATAGTGATTTTATCTTGTTTACAATATGATTTGATTTAATCCTGTAGGCTGTATATGGAATTTCCTCCTTGACTTGTTTATAGAGGTTTATTGATATGATCAAATGGCAACGTCATGTTCCTCTTCATTGGGTGTCGACTTGTACCTGTCTACCGTTCCACCTCCGTTGTCCTTTGTGACACTAATCTGTAGTAAGTTTAGGTTGACAAAATTTGGGGTTAATAAGAATAAAAATTCGGATGAACTTACTGAAATTCATCATGGCAGTCGAGATGATAAATTTAGAAGAATTGAAAACTTTGTCCATTGTGAGTTATTTATTGTTTGATAAATTAATTTATCATACGTGTCAGTCTACCCATCAACTTCCACTTTTGTTAATCATTGAAGTAATTTCCCTCAATTTTTAGGGCATGTCTTAGTCATCTGGCAATCTACTAAATGAACGGGCCTCGCAAGTAACAAGGACGGATTACCTATTAAGAGTTCAACCGAATCTACACCAAGCATATCTATTATCAACAATTGAACCGCATTGACGTCTCTTTCTTTTCATACCCTATACATGGATCTGAGTTGAGCCATTCACGATGAATGAGGTGGATTTTCATCATGGCCGTGACTAATTAAATTTGCACCAACTTGATTTCCAAATCATAAGTGAGAATGGGAGGCATTGCTGTAGAGCATTTGTTATCATTAACCACTTTTATTTCTTTCTTCCACTAATGACGTCGGTCTTAAGTTACTCATCCTTATCACGTACTGGCCCTTCTCCCACTTCCTTTTTGTATTACAACACTATATGCATTTCCTCCATTCATTGCGGAGTCTGCCAGTTTAGGGGGGCGAAATCCATTTTGGCTCAGTTCATCCACAAACGGTTTCTCACATACGCAAGTGCTGGGAAATTCATGAAACTCTCCTCGTCCTGGTCTCATCTCATCTGGTTCTCCCATGAATCCTCTTTGGCACGCCTTGACCTTACTGGCAAACGTATCCCAGTCCATCTGATGCCTGGACATGAACAGTGCGCTAAGCTTCTTTGCATTTGGCCTGATGGTTCTTTTATGACCAAAATACCTCCTGTTCCGCACAAAAATAATTCAGCTAGAAGTTGATGTTAAAAGCAATAATACAATAAAGTTTTATTTTGTACTATTTTTTGAATCTCAGAGGAAGAAAAAAAATGACATCAGAGTTAATTTATGTATTCTTACCTACGACCAGCAAGAATCTTGGCCATGTTACCGTTGTTGTTAGTCACAAATACGTTACTTTCATCACAAACAATGTAGTCGATTGCAGCAAGGCGGGAAGAGAATGGAAGATAAGGTTTCAGCTCTTCTTGAGCAAGCATGTCCTTGGTATAAATGTTGGGGAAAAGATCTTTGAGAGGCTGCATGGTCTCATCCCCACCATATATTTCTCCTGATGCAACATAGAGGTATGTGTCATTTGTAAAACCAAGTGCTCGCAGCATCAAACCCACTTCATGCGGAGTAAGAGGACATTTCCCACGCTTTCGCTCTCCATCAGGGCTCAAATCCTGTATTACCACAAGGTAATAAGCCATTCATATCAGCAAGGAAATATCTAGTTTCACTACTTTGGGACTTCAGTGCAGAGTGCAAAAAGGACAAACTGTCATCAACTTGTCCTCTTGCCAGTATGATAAGATTTTGTCGTTAGAAGTTAGGATTGTAGTCTTACAGGCAATGTTGTCCACCTTTTTCTGATTTCACCAAGCTCACGTCTTTCTTTTTCACCCCCACCAAAATAACAACCTGAAAATGCCAGCATATCTGGCTCAAACCTGCCATGAATCATGAATTATGAGAACCCAAACATTTTGTCGGCAACAGCCATATTTCAAAGCTACTACATTGCTGTTATTATATTTGCATCAGAGATTTGACATTTTCCAATTGTTCAATTCAAACAATTACAATCTTGTCAGAAAACCATAAAGGAGTTGTGAAAAAGGGAAGTCAAATCAACCACATTGGAAAAGTGTAAAGATATTGAAGTGGATAATAAGATTGGACAGCATTTATGAGACTGGAGAGCGAGAGAGAGCAAATGAAAGAAAATAAGTTGTAAGATCTACAAAATTATGTGATAGGCCAACCTGCCCCAGTTGGTTTAAGATGAAAGTTGAATTTAAAATCTATACATCAGATTCATTGAACAAACCTCAAATGGACTGCTATAAAACGGCTTGCCATCTTTCGCATTCTCATTACAAGTCTTTGACCAAGTTCTCGTATAGGTTTTGTAAATCGCAAAGCATGATAATTAACACGACATCGTAATTTTTGTAGCTCATCATCAAGATTATTTGCAAGTCTATAATCAAATTTTGTCAATTGCAAAACCTGCAAAATATCCCAAAAGTTAGTAACCACCACAGCCCAAATCATAAGGGAATTAACCAAACTGTCATTAAGCAACAACACTTCATCATAGCAACCATTTACAGAATCAACATTTTGCAGTGGGATAATTAAGAAATTTCAAACATGTATCGTATCAATCATAAAATGTGCCATTACCCGTCTTCTCAAGAGAATTGGCAAAACTTGATCAAGATAATATTCAGGCTCTGATTTCCTTGGGACACGCATTGTATAAGGGGGTTTATCCATTGATCGCATGATCTTATCAGGAACTCTTTTGACAATAGTAATATCTTTTGCGAGATAAGTAATGAACCATTTAACATCAAAAATATTGGAAAAGTCACTGTATTCAAACAAAAGTGCTTTTGTTAAAAGAACAATTGCTAATTAGATTTTGTCAACTTTCATCCGAGTAACAGAAGTATGATAGGATATGCAGACTACCTGTCATCCTTCCAAAAAGAATGATGATCCAACTCAGGTACAACTAGTGTAGCATTGAGGATCCGTGCAACAACAACAGCATCAGTTATCTGTAGGCAAGAACATGATTGTCATTTCCATAGAAAGAACTTATCAATTCTATTTAAAAAGGAGAATACTGATTATAGTGGCTACAATGAGAAGTATCCAAGCCTCGGATGCTCTTATTTAAAACAACTGAACTAGAACCAATGAGCTAACTGCATGTTTGGTTTGGCTTAATTTGAGAAAATAATCGCTTATTTTGTTAGCTTTGCAAAGAGAGTTTTCTAAAAATAAGTAATTATTTCCCTGAAAAAAAAAAGCTAATTCAAACATGAACTATGAGAAAATTGTCCCATTTTTTTTTTATGATTTTTAATCAATTAGCGAGCAACTAGGACACCAAACACACTCTTTTGTATCCACAAATGTGTAATTGATCACCAAACCAGTGACCAGCAGATATTATAGAAAGATTCTTACAATGTAACAATGAAAATATACCATATAAAATAAACGCCCTACTTACCCCAGTTCTTTGTTGGTTTAGTCCTCCACTAGTTGCAATAAGCAAGTAGCCATTTGACATGCGCTCACGTACAGCAGCTATATTATCCAATTACCAAAATAAGATAGAAAGCAACAAGTGGATAAGTTATTACACAGTTCAGCCTAATCTTGGGATGCATTTGTTTAGAAATAAAACAAAATATAAGATGGAAACCTCAAATTTGTTCACAAGTCACATAAAGGATGGTACAAAAACCTCTTACAACCCAGATTGCACCAGTCTAGTTTTTTTTCAGCATGTGTGTGTGTGTGTGTGTATACAAACTTGAACATAAACGAGAGATCAAGACACATTAAAAATGTTTAAGGGATAAGGACGATACTCTCTTCACCTGCACTTAATGCATACATGTTCAAAAAGCAGAAAGACGAGGACTTATCATACAGAGTTTTAGTAAAAGGTCAAATTGTCAAAATTTTGTCAAGCATTCAGCTGCCACAATTAATCTGGAAGAATTTGATATCCATAAAACTGTACTATATACAAAAAAAAGCAAAACACCATGCCTAAAATGATTGTTCATAGCTGTTGAAGTAGAATCACTTCTACTGTTATAAGCCTATCTAGCACAGCACCCATGGGTTCTGCGGAGAAATTGAAGTACTCACCTTCTGTTACTAAGAATCCCACAAGAAGCTAAGTTTCATTACCATATAACACCAGAAGTATACAAACTTGACAATAGACAAAAAGTAATCATCCACATGGCAAGACGAAAACTCACAAGACCCTCGAATCAAAAATTCCTAAAATTGCCATTAGGTTACAAAACTTCATACATCAGCAATTACCACATCATACCTAAAAAAGATTCGTACCCTGGCTTATACAGAAACTTAAAGCAACAGCAACATTAACATCACAAAGTGACAATACTTCAAATTTGGCACAGGGATAAGCCAAATTGCAACACACGAAAAACCACACATTTCAATGGAATTATCGTCACACAGTAAACGATAAACACGAGGAATCGCTGAATTAACTCACGAGCAAAATGACGTCCCCTTTCTTTGCATCCATAATAGTATTTAGCATATTGTGATTTCCAAATATCAATTGGTGCACGATCATTTCCATCCTACAAAAAAGAGACACACCAATTAATTGTAGTAGCCAAGCAAAATCATTGGTAACCCGAACATGATAAGAAGATCACGAACCAGTGAGTAGAAAGTGCGGTGAACGAGTCGTTGAGAGTACCATTCAAGATGAGAAGCTACGTGACCCGTTAAGAGGGAAATTAGACCCAAACCGAATAGCATTAACCCGCAAACCATCGACCAAGAAATGGACTTGGGCGTTGCCATGGATCTCCAACAAACATGTTTACCGTTAGGGTGCAACAGAGCCAGGTTGGTCCACACCCACCACGCCTTGCCCACACCCATTTCGATTTTGCGTCACAAAAACCAATCTTTCATCGATTCCAATTCTAAAAACCCCGTTGCCGTTGGGGGAAGATGCAGTGTGGTGCAGTTTCGAGTGTAGCAATGAAAGCAATGTGGATGTGGAGGAAGAAGAACCCTGATTTAGGGTTTTTCAGGATTGTGTACTCTGAAATGTGAACGTGTGTTGTGGTTGGAGAACAAGAAGAGTTTCTCCTTTTTACGCACAACTTTCAAGCTTCTTTCCTTTACCAAAATGAAAAATGTTTCAATTTTTGTTTTGTTAATTATTTTGATTTACTTTAGATTGGCGTAGTTTACATTTGATTTGATAATGAAGTATGATAGAAATATAGTGAAATGAGATGAGTAGGGAGTGGGGGCAAGAAATAATGCCATATCAACCTGGTTTTGTCAGTTGAAAGCACGGAGAGAAAACGAAAATGACAGAAAATGAAATTACGGGAATTACGACGGAGACACAGATCGTAGTTCTTGAATGCAAACCCACCCTATCAATGTTTTTAGAGTAAATCATATTTACCTGTAAACATAGTAAAATTGAATTATAGTTTTTAATATATATCTTCAGTCATTTTAAAGTATGCAAAAAGAAAAAAACTGCAACTTAAACTAAAATTCGATTAAATAAACGTGAAATTACAGCACGTAATTTCTGTCAAAACTACGAGCGATCCAAATTCAGAAAGAAAAAGCTTAAATTATGTAACAATTATAACATGTATATCTTAGGTAAGAGATGAAAAGATTAAATAAATAATTTTTATTAAAAATTAATAATCATTTTTTCTAATGTTAAGGTAAAAGTGTTTTGAAACATATTTAGAAATTAAATAAGAACATGTTTGTTATATTTTATGGATTTTTTTTTATTTTTATAAATCAATAATATGTGACAGTTTTATTATATTTTTATTAATTACTTGATGAAATTAAAAAAACTAATTTAAATAGCTAAAAAAATAAAAAATAATTAAAAACTGCTAAAAAATTGAGGATAAAAGCACAAATATAAGTTATAACCTTTCTTTTTTTCATTTCTCTCCGATGAATGATAGTTAGATTCATATATCAAGGCGAACTGCCTTATATTTGTAATTCTCATACAAACTTGCCCACATCACATATGCAAACTAAATAAAAAATAAATAAAATATTTTCAGATATATATGTGTTCAATAATTTTTTTATTCATTTAATGAATAATAATACATCACTTTTATCGATTTAATCCGTATAAATTGTTTGAACTAAGTCTATGAAAGAATTTCAAAAGCTATGAACACAGAATGGAGTAACATGCAGGAGCAGTCGACCCAGTTACCGAAAGTATCGACCTTGCTCTATGATTTTACACAGTATCCGTATGAACAGAAACAACAATGTATTATTGTATTTCACAGGTGAGTGAGACGAGCAATTAATGTTGGCGTGTGTTAGTAGGCACTAGGCATAAATGATTACCCACCAATGGTTGAATATTGTGATTTGAGTTTTATTATATATTATTTAGATTTCTTAAATAAATTAATTATTTTATAAGGTAAGTATTACATAAATATATATTTATTAATTTAAAATTATAAAAATCAATATCTTTTAATAATTAAGAGAATTTATAAATATAAAGATAAAAAAATTAAATTATTCTTACAATATATATAATAGCTTACACAAATTGTTTTCTAAGGCCAGTTTAGTTTGCCGATATATGTTATATGTTTTCCTTTTATTTCATACTTCCTTATGATAAGAGCTGAAAAATATTTAGTATGCGTTTAGAAGTTCATTAAAATTATATTTTAATATAAAAATTATAATTTATAGGTTAAAATATATTTGCTTTAAAAGTAAAAACTGACTCTTGGAGATTGACCAAAATCATGTACGGGTCCCAGAAATTCATTATTTGAGTCATGACCCACCAAAAAAAGTATTTTGTCGTTTGTTTTTACTGTTTTTCTCCGTTTTCTGTCCATTCCACTGCTTCCAACGACTTCAATCTCGTCATCGTCAAAAGAAGACATAATATGGACCTATTATCTTTTAGTCTCAGTCGCAGATATGACCATTTAAAGTAATTTACTAATTAATTAATATGCATTGAATGGGTTATGTATGTGTCATATTGATTAACAGGGAAATGAATACTTGTTTGAATGTTGAGAAATGTTAATACTTAGCCATATCCATAATTAGGGCCACCCATTCTTTCAATAGCCGAATAGGAGGATATAGATAGTTAATGCAATTGCACTTGCATTTTCACAATGGCTGTCGTTTTCTTTTTCTTCTTTTTTGGCCTTTGACTAATTACAATGTTATTATTTAATGTTTCTCTTTAACAAATGTTCACAAATAAAGGAAAATTAGCCAATCACCTGTATGCGTAGGTCGTACCAGAGAAGTCAATTTTTCAATATACTATTTCTTTTCTTATTTAAAAAACAAATACCTAATTTATTAAGATTGATAAAAAATAATTAATGTCATAAATTTATACTTATTTTAAAAATATTCATAATATTAAATAGTTAAATTAGTCTGTTATATATTAAATAAATAAATGTATCAATTTTTATAAATAAATGGCTAGTATTTCATTAATATAATTCTTATAACAAATAAGGATAACAAAAAAAAAATCACAATTAATACATTTGAAAAGAAATAAATTATTTCTTATATTTAATATCAAATAATTTTGTTAAATAGTAAATCTGACATTTATATCACTTAGATCTCATCCATAGGTAGTGAATGTGAATCTTGTGCAACCCCTTGATCTCAATTTTTATTAAATAATATGTCATAATCACTATTATTTTTGTAATTTATTATTGTAAAAACTAATAGAAAAATATGGTCGAGAAGATTACAAGGAATAAGGCATTGATTGAAGAACAAGTATTTTCTCTCTCAACAAGAATACAAGACAAAGGGGTTTATGTATACAAATATCTCTCCTAACTTATACCTAACTAAAATTGTTATAAGTAGCCTACAAACCCAATAAAAACATGATAGCTGTGCAAAGAATGAAAAATAGCGAAAAAAAAAATGAAGATTACGTAAGAAGGACTTAATGCTTTTTTGTGTGTGATTATATATATATATATATATATATATATATATATATATTAATAAACTAAAATTTATTAAAATAATCTGAAACAAATTATTCATAAACTTTTTGTAAAAAACACATGTAAATAATAACTAAGCCATTAATTGACCCTATTGTCAAGGAAGTCTTTCACTCATTCCTCGATTCAAGAGTTTCCTTGAGTTAGAATATGTTTATCTTCAATTTTCTCCCAAGGTTAGATGGACGTATACTTAGTTTTGTGGTTGTATTAAATTTATATTTTTACTGAAATTTTTTCTTTATACAATAGTAATTAATGAATAAAATTATCATTTAAAAAAATAATAGGCTAAAAACAATTATTATTTTTACCTCTTTCCACTAAAACTGGTCTACCATCTATTATCACCCTGGAGAATAATATGTTGCCTCAACATTTGCATGACTCTACACTTTTGTTTGTTTCTACAATTGCTCGAGTTTGCCCTTACTTTTTACTCGTATCTTCGTCCGACTCTACCAAACAATGGACAGTATATCTCCGTGATTAATGTACTTCATAGGATGGAGATTTTACAAAGCACAAAAATAACTTACACCTCTTTGGTGCAGCATATCGATTACATGGTGCTTATTCCATCTTTATTGAAAAGACAAATGCTAAAAAAAAAAAAAGATTTCATAAATATCTTATTGCAAAGACTAAATTGTTGTGTGAAAAGTAAAAACACAGGGAAGGTGAGGAGAAACTGTGATGTCGTGGATGAGACAAGTAGAAGAAGAGAGAATAAAAATGATAAACAGTCAAGCGAAATACCAAAAAATGATGACGAGGCAACAAAACTAGGACAATAATCCATAGGCGACAAAAGTGGAAGATGATCACGTATAAAAAACACCAATACTACCGTTTAATCGTAAGTGACAATAATACCAACTCGTTTGTATAAATTGTACGACTAATTTTTAGGGCTTTTTATTTTAAAATCTATTTTTTAAAATTTATTTATTTCAAAATATACAAATAAAATAATTTGATCATGTATATAATATATATCACCCATATTAAAGGTGAGAATATTATGTATATTTTCTGTCAAGAAGCGTATTTTTATTTATACCAGTAAGCATTTCCCAAAAAGATTAATCTTTTTTTGTCAACCCTAAATTTAATGGGTTAGTAATATTAAGAGTTGCATGAGCAATCCTTGAAAGGATGTCTTCGTCTGCAACCAATTTAGTGAATGGAGTGGATATGTGGTTTCATGATATTGTTATTCAGTTGGTGCCTACTACAACTACATCCAAAAAGGCCCAATAACCCACTTGCCAGACCCGATCCTATTTATTTCGAAGGAGTGAAACAAAATCAAAAACCCTAAACCCTTGCTTGCGCTGTTCTCGTTCCTCCTCCGATCTGATCTCATCGTCAATGGCTTCAACGTGTAGCAGAATCGCACAGAGAGCATCGATTTCGTCCATAAAATCGGCCATTAAATCCAACATTCGTACTTCTTCTTTCACCAAACCAACCTCCTCCTCTGCTCCTCTTCCCCGATCCTTCCTGACCAGGTTCCCTTCATCCCACGATGTTCATTTCTGTTCCTAAACGCAAACAACGCTTAAAGTTATCGATCTCATTGTTGTCGTTTGTCTTACGCAGGATTGCGCCGGAACTGAGATGCGTGCAGTCGATGTTGCCGCTGCACAGTGCGGTGGCGGTGGCCAGAATGATGTCGTGCCTGAGCATAACTTCTAGAAGCTGCCGAGCGCTTTCTCAGGGTACTCTCTGCTGCACCTCTCCCGGCCTCTAATACTTTCTTTTTCAAAATTATTCGCAAAGTGTGAGTAGCTTCCTTGCTTCTTGGGTTGAGATTTTCTACGGATTTTCTTTCTTTTGCTGCATTTGGATAAGCCTTACGAGTGAAAAATATGACTAAAATAAAGCGCTTTAATCGGTTTGTTTTGTTTCATTAAGGGGCCCCTGCATTGGTATTTTGCTTCTGGAACTGCTGCTGCTTGTTAACTTTGCGGCCTCTTGATGATTTTGGTGTGTTTAATGTTAATAGTAGGTACTTAAATTAAAGAAATAGAGAATTCACAAAAATAAGAAAAAAAGAAAAAGGTATAGAAAATTTAGCTGATAGAAAAAAGTTGGTGTAGAGACCATTTCGGAAAATTCGTAGTCAAACTCTATACTTTGTTCACTTGGTGAATAGAATATTACACTTTTCGTATTTTCAAATCTGTCTTTCACTATGTAGACTTTGTCAAGCTAATGTATAGATACTCGTGTCGGAATGGTCTTTAGCAATCTTATCATGTAGTGTCTACCCAAGAATATCTTGAACAGTCATGAGTGTTTCAGACTGCCTTGTGTGGTCTAGTAACTGGGTAGTCACTAGTTTATATAATGGGGCACGGTAGCTTGGGTACGTAGGCTTCATGGATAAAACAATTTGGAGGCCATGAGTACGAAGTGAAAGTTCTTGAACTGGGAGTTTCAATGTCAACTAACTGTAAAATTTGGTTCCTGCAGGCACATAGTTAATTGGGAATTTGCGGGACCAGCCAATTATGGCGTACTGCTTCATTATCAAGTATGGAAAAATAAGTGTTCTTTTTTAACATTTAATAATCTCTTCAGCAATATTAGAATAGATCTTCCTTTTCTGTTATCTTAGAAAAAGAAACTCTGTTGGTGGCTTCTGCAGTTATTTTAAGTCTGGATGGATTTGCTTGGAATGATGGCTTCCCTTTTCCTTTGTTTGGGAAATGAAGAGGGGTGGGAAAAAAGTGAGAGGAATTTAATTCATTTCCTATGGTTTCCTCTGTCTTAATGTTTCCTTAGCGAGGATTTAATTATATTCCACTTTTCACAGCAATCGTTCATTGTTAATGGTCTGATGATTTCTTTTTGAGCATCCGAATCTTGCCTTTTTTCAATTTAAATAAAGAGCTAGACTGATATATTATTGAAACATTGGATGAGCATTTTGTCAGTCATTTTTTTGGTTTGATGCCTCACTAATAATCACTACATTTCTTCCATTCATTTGTTGAACTTGATGTCTTGTAAGCTCCATTCTGTGTAAAGCTTTAGCTACTGATTTCAGTTTGTTACCTCAATCTGTATATTTATATTCTGTTTACCCTTAACTAATTGGATGATGAGCTCTTGCCATGATGTGAAACAATCAAGCTTATAGGCACTGGATGTGTTGCCAGTAGGATGACTAGTTTGTTATTTGAGATTCACGAATCTTATTGTTAAATTAAAAAAACCTTGAGTGAGGACCAAGCACTTGGGCACTTGAGCTGACAATAGCATTTCCCTGAAAAATTACATGTATGTAATTTTATTCAATTCTTCAAATTTACACTAAGTATGCAACAAGGTGGCCAGAGTGAGTGTACTGGTTTCACTTGTCTTTTGTGTTCATGATTTGTTGGTGCAAATTTTCTCACCAGTGGGATATATTTGGAAGTACCAAGGAAAAGCCTTGCAGTGTTATACGCAGGGAAATTGAAATTAGGAATGCACTGGGTGTTGAATGTTGAATAGATGATTAAGTACTGTTACGAAAGCCAACCAGACTCTTGAATGCTATCTGCCTTAAAATTTTATAATATATTGAATAATCATCTTATAGTAAGCAAATATAATATGATAACATAACTGCTACTTTCCCCAGATGGAATTGATGGAACGTGAGACATGCATATGCTGTTCTTAAGGTGGGATCCTTTTGTCTTTGTCGCCTGAAAAACAATCTGGAGAACCATAGCTAATGGCCATCTCGCAATTTGTGCTTAAAATTGTGTTGAGCTATATAGATATTATTCTAAGAAAACTGTTGGAACATGTTACCGGAGCTTAAATTTTCAGATTACACATTAAACATTTTATTTCTTCCTTGTACTGGACTAGCGATGTTATTTATGTTGTTTAAATTTTTGGTTCTTCAGGCTTTGGCCCTTTGCTTTATTATTTAGGCTTTTCTACTTGAGCGTGTTGCTTATTGACCCTATGTTTCATTTGTTTTAGAGCTTGGTCTATCGGTTCCAAGGTGACCTGCTAGAAGAGATTGAAGAAAGCCTTTTACGTTTGTAAGCTTGGATTTATGGTTGTTATATCATACGCAGGAAGCGGCTACACTCACTGTAATTCTTTCAGTCTGAGACAATGATTTTTGACTGAATAAAAGATACTCGCCTGAAACTGTCGACACCCGTCTCCGTGTTACTTTCATCTCCCAATACTGTTGATTTTTTTTAACTGATTCGGCGGCTTTTATAATAAATTCATCAAGAAATCGATGTGGTGTATAAACGAGAGAAGATGGTAGGAATTAATGGTCAAAGTGAGGAAAACGGATCAAAACGAACATGGATGTTAATATCATAAATCTTACGTAAAACGAAGGAGGTAGTGACGTAAAATGCTGTCTTAATACAAAACATAAAGAGGTCGTGCTACAACAGTTGCAAATAAGGAACGATACCATTGTTGAAACTGATCTGAATAGCAGAGCACCAGAGTTTCACACACCTACAAGGAAATTAGAGCCCAGCCATAAGCCGCTGAAAAACAAACACAGTGGAAGGTTGCAAACTTAGAAGCTTATAAGAGATTTAGAAGTAAGGCATACAATCTCTCAGCCAGAACACAATGACCCACGAATTTCAGGAATCAAAATTTGGAAACTCAGTAACACAAATAACTAACAATCTTGATATCACAAGAATAGGGAAATCACATTCAAGCTACAGAACAGGAACCTATTTGCCAAATAGGATTAAAATACAGCTTAAGTTTATATAACCGCTCACATATAAAACAATCAATAAAAGAGTGATCGAACTAGATACCAAAAATTATGTAGTTAAGACCTTTTGCAGCGGATGGTATACCAGGTTTGAATAAATGTGAGAGTAAGACCAAGCATGGCTGCCGATTGCCAACAAAGCAATGACGGTCCAAGGTGATCGAAAGTAGATATGGGAAGCCTTTCCCATCCAATGCATGACTTTGATCTTGCCACGTTTGGATTTAAAATGCGCTTCAATGTGGTCTCTGATGAGAGCAAATGTAGCTGTCTCGGGCACCAACAACACATTCATCTTCTTAAAACAGATCTGCCACCTCTTTATCACTGGCAAGTTGGTTACAAAGTAACCTGCACGCCTTAGCTCCTTCACGCACTCTGGCTGCTCCACGACAGAGCTGAGAAACAAAATGAGTGAGTTGATCATTTTTTGTTCCTACGGGATCTGAGCTTTACCAAAATCTGCAGCCTCAGGCATTATTTTCCAGCACGTAACACAAGCTAAAGAGGGGTATGCTTCCAAGCAAAACTGTCTTCGACTTCCAAGTTAATGTAGAACTCTTTAAGTGGTAGGGTGAGTTGACTAGTTTGTGTGGAAGTCGGAAATCATCGAGAAACAAACTTGTCGGCTCAATACACTTTTTTTTTTTTTTTAAACTTCGATTTGTATTTAAATTTTTATTTAAAAATTAAATGATTTAATATGTGTGTTCAAATTATGTTAGAAACATAATGTCCATCATCCAATTCAATCAGCTGCAATCTCAACTTATCGTTACCTCTTCTGAGTTCCATAAGCTCAAAACAAGGGTCTCCAGACCAATCCACATGTCTCTAAACAGACTATGCATCCTCTTCTCTGTCTCTGCTACCCCCAACCCTCCTTTTTCTCTCCAGCGTGGCTTAATCACTTGACAGTAATGTTCAATAACTTCAATAGTTGGCACATTCCCAAGTGCGTTGATCGAAGAAAAAATACAAGTATATAATAGCCTCAAATGGTATTTGGCCATAGAACGTGGTTATTATTAGGAGGTGGACAAGAAATGCAGACAAAAAGGAGGAAGTGCAGGAGACTGCTGCTCGGATTAAAAAAAGCCATTGGCGCGCAAGACCCCTTGAGAGAAGCTTTCTTTTTCGTTGCTGGAGAAAGTTTCTTATGGTTATTTCGAACCTTTTGCAGCCCACCCACCCTCTTTTTCCCCTCCCAAATGTTTATGGTTAATCTGAAAAAGTAGTTATTGCTTTTTCTGTTGTTTGATCTCACTGTGATCCCATTGCTAATGGAAACAGCCTGCACCTCATCTATTCGCCATCACTGATTTACACCTTTGAACCAAAAACATTTTCCCTCTTCGAGCATGACCACAACCCCAAAGCCACTCACGTCTTTTAAGACCAAACACGCCTTCCTCCAGCAAACCCAAAAGAAAACTAAAGTTCGTCAAAGCATTAAAAATTGACAGAAGGATAGCTTGTTACTGAGAAATTTAGGAGGCATACAAACTCACCCAGGACATGAGATACACGCAGATCAAGAACAAGAAACTAAATATCGCGCAATTTTAACATAACAAGAAAGGATCACAATCAAGCCGCAATAAATCACAACATAAGTTCAGATAAAAAGGCGATGCATATTTTACACCAAATTATTGACATACTACAGTTCCTAAATGAGATTATTGCTTTACCATTAGGAACCTTTAGGGTGGATGGCAAACCAGGTCTGGATAAAAGTGAGAGTAAGACCAAGAATGGCAGCCATCAAGGCAATGACGGTCCATGGTGATCGGAAGTAGCTACTGTAAGCCTCTCCCATCCAACCCAACATTTTGATCTTCCCACGCCTCGACACAAAATGCTCTTCAATTTGGTCTCTGATTCGAGCATATGCGTCGGTCTGGGGCACCAACACCACATCCATCTTATTAAAGAGATCTGCCACCTCTTTATCACTGGCAAGTTCGTTGCGAAGTATGCCAGCTCTCCTTAACTCCTTCACATCCTCTGGCTGGTCAATGAGAGAGCTCAGAAACACTAGGAATGAGCTGATCTCGAAGTCGTTGACAAAGTCTGGGCATATCTCGTACGCTATCAGATTCAAGAACATAATAGCTGTTGAGCCGTCCACAGTGATCTCGGGAAGTTGTAGTTCTCCATCGGCAGTGAAAATGGGGTAGAAAGAGGTGCTATTGGGACTTTTGGTTACTCGAATCCCTGCTGCCCTCAGCTCCCGTACGGTCCCAATCCTGTATTTTCTGAGATGCAGCGATTTCCGCTTCTTAGTCGTCAATTTGATTTCTTTATGGATTTGCGTTTTGTCCCTTCTGAGGAGTGCCCTCCGCAGATAGTCTAAAAGATGAAATGGTTCTTCTTCTTTTTCATGGTCTTGGACTATTGTTATATTGTGCTCCCCATCACCATCACCATCACCATCAGTTCTTCTGGATGCCTCCTCAATGCCATGAATTATAAGGAAATTGCGCATGCATCTCTTTAGCCTCGCTCTATCCTCGCCGCATATGAGCTCGAGTAATTGAAAGGGAATTTGGTTCTCCAAGAGGAGCAGATCTTGATGGACCCGCACCAGCTTGTCAGTGCTAATCATGAGTTCTTCTTCTGGATTATCAGAATCCACAGATTTGTCCAACACTTGAAGTATTGAACAGCCATCCTCCATTAAAACAAGGTATGGCCAATTATTTGGTTTTCTGAAAGAAGAGTGGTACTGGTAGTAGTCCTCAGGGAATTCTTGCGGCCATGGGTATGGTGCGTATGAGTGCCGCATAAATACTAATCGTTGGAAACTGTAAATTCTAAAAAATAATTTATCGTAGGTTTGGTGGGTTTCATTAAGATACATTGCAGTCCATAGTTTCTTGTATCGACAACCTTGCTCTACATAAGGTCTAGAACAATGAAATGGACCAATTGAAATAAGATTAGGCAAGTAGAATCTTTTAAACTCTTCCCGTCCTCCCATATAATCTGGAACCCTTTGAATCTTAGGCATCGAAACTTGATTACCTTCTGTTCTAATGTCTGCAAGGATGCTTAGTTCTTTTTCTATACTTTCCCTACGCCAATAAATGAAGCCATCCATGCCATCAACATCTTCATAAGAATATTGGCCTTCTTCCGAAAACGCCATTTTCGAATGCGCAGACAAGCGGTATGGGTAGGCTTGTAAGCTTCAACTTTGAGGTTAGTAAGTGCGGATTTTGAAGGAAGCAAACGTAGCTCTGTTTAAGGGGCATATGGTGATTGGTGACCAGTGAGTTGACTACCTATCGCAGCGCATACCCATAATTGTACTCTCAATTCTACAGTTAAAAGATAAAAAAATTGTAAAGTATATTATTATTCTTTCAATGTAAGTATATATATATATATATATATATATATATATATATATTTTTTTTTTTCATATTTTTATTGATTTACAGTTCATATTTGATTAAAGTACATAGCAAGAAATTCCTGGCCATTCGGAGCATGCATAGATAATTTTGTTCGTAAAAAATGGCACACTCACCAGCGATATTATATATTTTCTTCAAATTCTTAGACTCAAAATGCCTTGTTGTAGCACACTTCACCAATTTTTTTCCCCATAAAACTGAAATCATCTAAAATATCAATAAAAATATTGGTAAGTGTTTTGCAGTATATAATTGCAAATTGGAGTGTGTTTGCGTCAATTTGATCAATTAAATTAGTCAAGCCAAATTGATTAATTTATTTTAATTTAGTTAAGTTGATAAATATTTGATAATTTACTGCGTAATAAGCTAATTTTCCTAACAATTTTAAAAGGTGGTAGTGGCGGTTTACTTTAACTTCCATTCATCACTTCAATGATAATTTTAAATTTGATGAAAATAATTTGTTGGGAGATATTTCATGTAGAATGGTGCCCCCCTTAAATGGGTAATCTCCTTTCAAATTTACCCCAAACTAGTGTAATATTTAAAAAATTTACCAGTATAGTGTAATTTGTATTTTATTAATACAACTTACTATTTTTTTAGTGTAAATAAGTTGCGGCGATATATTTTTTTGGATGATCCAATTTGCTGCGTTACACAAAATCATTTAACATTTAATCATAGTTCAGAAGCCATTATCTAAAAGGTATTTAAAATAAACTTAGTCCTAAAAGTTAGTCAAATACATGCTTAGGTTCATACTAGATGTAAAAGACTTCTTGTTTTAGCATGCTCTAAGATGTTCCATCACCACTTTTCTCATTTTGTATCTTAAAAAAATTATTATTCCATTATAAAAATACAATTCATTTAACATGACATGTAAAGTTTCGATACGTTTGACCATTACATATATAATAAGAAACTAACGTATTTTGCAGGTATCTCATCAAACACATAGAAGCCAAAAACACCACTACTATTGTTCTGAATGAAGTGAAGGCAAAGAGCAAAGAAATGCAATATAAGGGGCATACAGAAGAACATGTATTCCACAACTGAAATTTTATTTCCTATTTCATTTAACAACCGAAAAGAACATCATATCAGCAAAGAACTCATCTTTCTTACAACACTTTTTCAATAATTAAGTAGGGTTGCAAAAAATTCGATTATTCAAGTCTAATACATAACTAATTTTAAATTGATTTAAAAAATTTGAATGCATATTAAATTAATTTCTTGGTTCATAATATTTTTTAATCAAATTAGTGTTTTAAATTTAATTTTTAAAATTGAAATTTTTTTGTTCATTTAAATCCAATTTGTACACGGAGACATTTCATTTCGACTTATTAGACCTCTACGTACAAAAAAACTAAATATATGACTAGTGTATTTACCTATAAAAAGAATATTGACAAAATTTCTTTCATGACCACATTTTACATCTAATATTTTTTTTTATAAACTTTAATTCTTATAATTAAAATCAAATAGTTAAAAATAAATATGTTTAAAATATAATTATTATATTAAAGATTATAATATAATAAATATATTTAAATTAATTATTATTATATTTAAATTTATTTTTAAATTTTTTAAAATATTAAACATAATATTTTGTTATTATTTAATATTATTCATATTTATTGTTCTAAGTTTTAATTTAAACTTTTGATAAGTGCCAAGTTTTAGTTAATTGTTCCATGAATTTGAGCATTGATTTACTTTAACGTATTGAATCTATATCTTTATTTTCTTTTAATTTAAAAGAATTTGATTTAAGTGTTTTTTTCTTATACTTAAAAATTAAGATGAAGGTTTATCTTAATCATCTTTTGCTAAAATTCTTAATTTTAGGAGTGCAATAAAGGTGGAAGGCTAAGACATAAGGAAGATGATTTTGATCCTTTCTTGTTCAAGTGTGAATCCCTCGCATGAGTGAAAATGCGTGCATTAAACTTAAGTTTCTGCCTTATTTTCGCTTAAGTGAAAATTATTTGTTTAAGCAAAAATGTCTTTGGCTTGAGCAAGACTTTCTAACTCAAACGAGAATTCATTTATTTTAATTTTAAAGAAAGAGAATCAGAAAGAAGGGAGTATAGCAAGAAAATAGAATAAAGAAGGGAGAACTAAGGTAAGGAGTTTAGGGCATCGATTCATCTCATCTCTTTTCTCTCTTTCTTGAATTGTAATGGCTACTGTAGGTAACTAGATGTGTTAGAGGGCAAGTGTACCGGTCGAGAAGTAATAAAGGGTTCTAAAGTAAATTTTCGAGATATTGTTCTATAAAGATTGATTTCTAATTTTTAAGAATTTCTTAATTCAATTATTTGAGCCTAAAAAATGTGAAATTAAGTAAGAACTATAATTTAATTATGAATAAAAGTAAATAACATAACACACGTCTTAGTTGAACTTATAGAAAAATAACCTAGGACATATGAGTTTTCTCATTCAATCCTTTATGTTATTTTTCTGTTTAATCCTAAATTTAATTTCATTGCGATCACCAATCATTCATACAAATACTATTAATACCCAATAATCATACAATACTAATATTCTTTTCTTTAAATTAATATCCCCAATGATCATGCAAGACATCAATTAAAGAAAGCAGAAAACACCAACAAACTTGTTAATTAATAACGATTGAAAGAGAAAGATTGGTTTAGTCCGCCTAATCCTTTGTCTCGTTTAATCCTATAGATATATTAACTAATTGAGGTACGGCTGCCTGACGATATGATTAATTAGGATTATAATTATACACAATAAGATAAAAGCTAATCACAAATGGAAACTAAATATAGATTCTAACTTCAAAATTTCATAAATTTATGAACAATAGTTCCTATAACTCTAGCTATGAATTTAGTTACTCATGCTAAAGAGAAGAACTAAAATAATCATAAATAAAGCCATAGAAAAAAGCAAATGAGAAAGATGATTTTCCAGTTTTTAAGTACGGTCGCTAGAAGTTCCAAATCTCACAAAAAGTATGCCAACGATCTCGTGCAAGAGAAATAAAATGAAAGATATATAAAAGAGTAAAAGACAATATGTAAAACGTGTCTAATAAGATGCTTGATGTATTTCTTTTATAAGGTTTGAAAATTCTAAAAGCTCCAATCTGAAGTAGCTACTGTAAGCCTCTCCCATCCAACCCAACATTTTGATCTTCCCACGCCTCGACACAAAATGCTCTTCAATTTGGTGTCTGATTCGGGCATATGCATCGGTCTCGGGCACCAACACCACATCCATCTTATTAAAGAGATCTGCCACCTCTTTATCGCTGGCAAGTTCGTTGCGAAGTATGCCAGCACTCCTTAACTCCTTCACATCTTCTGGCTGGTCAATGAGAGAGCTGAGAAACACTAAGAATGAGCTGATCTCGAAGTCGTTGACAAAGTCTGGGCACATCTCGTACGCTATCAGATTCAAGAACATAATAGCTGTTGAGTCGTCCACAGTGATCTCGGGAAGTTGTAGTTTTCCATCGGCAGTGAAATTGGGGTAGAAAGAGGTGCTATTGGGACTTTTGGTTACTCGAATCCCTGCTGCCTTCAGCTCCCGTACGGTTCCAATCCTGTATTTTCTGAGATGCAGTGATTTTCGCTTCTTAGTCTTCAATTTAATTTCTTTATGGTTTTGCGTTTTGTCCCTTCTAAGGAGTGCCCTCCGCAGATAGTCTAAAAGATGAAATGATTCTTCTTCTTTTTCATGGTCTTGGACTATTGTTATATTGTGCTCCCCATCACCATCACCATCAGTTCTTCTGGATGCCTCCTCAATACCATGAATTATAAGGAAATTGTGCATGCATCTCTTTAGCCTCGCTCTATCCTCGTCGCATATGAGCTTGAGCAATTGGAAGGGAATTTGGTTCTCCAAGAGGAGCAGATCTTGATGGACCTGCACCAGCTTGTCAGTGCTAACCATGAGTTCTTTTTCTGGATTATCCGAATACACAGATTTGTCCAAAACTTGAAGTATCAAACACCCATCCTCCATCATCACATGTTCTCGCCACCACTGTCTACTTATGCTGCGGTCTTCCCGAGGGGGAGAAAGTGACCATGAGCCTGAAGCGTAAGAGTTCCGCCCAATATATTCGCTTAGGGAAACGAAAATTCTTTTAAATAAATCATCGTAGGTTTGATTGGTGTCTCTAAGATACATTGCAGTCCATAGTTTCTTGTATCGATAACCTTGCTCCACATAAGGTTAAAAACAATGAATTGGACCAACTGAAATGAGATTAGGCAAGTAGAATCTTTTAAACTCTTCCCGTCCTCCCATATAATCTGGAACCCTTTGAATCTTAGGCCTCGAAACTTCATTACCTTTTGTTCTAATCTCTTCATGGATGCGTAGTTCTTCTTCTATCCTTTCCCTACGCTCTCCCGCTATATCAACCTCGTCAGCTAGTAACTTCATTTTCCAATTGCGTTCCTCTTCATCAGAATCTTCACCATTTGTCGGAAACTCCATTTTCGAATGCCCAGACTTTACTTGGCGTAGCTCTGTTTCGGTTGAAGGGGAATATGACGACGAGTGACTTGACTACCGTCCCGGCCCCACCCATAATTCTAGAATAAATAATATAATTTAATAATTAAAAAATAAAATTTGAAATTTTGTAAGTAATTATTTATATATAATAAAAAAAATTTAAAATAAAAAAATTTAAATAATTTATTTTAAAATA